GCAAATCTGTTTGATGAATGACTGCCTATTACCTAAATATGATTTAAAACATTCTAAAACTGTGCCTGAGAGGCTGACCCAGCATTCAAGATGCTGGATTAAAATCTTGTGGTCAACAGTATCTAAAGTATACATACGGTATATATACATATACATATATGCACAAGGAGTGGCCTAATCAAAGATCTGACCTGAATCCTAGTGAGAAGCTGTCGCAGTAGGAATGAAAGATTAATTGTATTTACATCCAAATTATCATTTGAAAGTGTATTTTTCAAATTGCAAGATCTCAAATTTTTATTATTGCTTACATTAACAACAGCATTGTCTTAACAAATTGGGGAACGAAAGTGGGGAAATTAACACAATAACATGGAGCTCATTATTTGCTTTTAGATGAATCAGACAAATAAAAAAAAACAAATATGACATCTCAATAGCAAATGGCAGACTAGCGCACTACATTCAGCATTCAAACTTCATGCCAGAAGAACTAAATTTGCTGGTGTTCTTGGCCAAAAAAACAGGCTTTAATCTTGTTTTATAGAAAATAATTGCAGTTAAATTAAATATTTTCTCCAAATTGTTCAGCCCTATGTCATAGGACTCTTAACGAGCAGTTCACGCTCAAAAGCCCTCCACTGTGGCTGAATTAAAGCAATTCTGCAAAGATGAGTGGGCCTCCACAGCAGTGTAAAGACTGATCTCCAGTTATAGGAAGCATTTGGATGAAGCTGCTGCTAAAGGTGGAACAGCTAGTTTAGGGGCATTTTTTTACATGGGTGATATAACTTTTTTCCGTCAATAAATGAAACGATCATCTATCATTTCCTCATGTCGTATATTAAATTCTGAAAGCATTTAGTGTCACAAATACACAAACAATAGAGGAAATCAGGCAAGTTGTTTTTCACAGCACTGTATAAGGCTCTTCGACTGATGTGGACTTGCTTTTGTTTGGTGAGACGTTTTAAAAACAGGTGCAAACATACCACAGCTGATTGTTCTGTAACCTCACGACAACAGAACGTAGCAAAGATGTCAGCAAAGTAATGGATACTGCAGTAGGACAGTATCCATTGACAAGAGAGCTCACATGCTGTTCTCCCGCTGGATTTCTCACCTTCTCCCTCCTCAGTTTGTAAGGGTCAAGCATTTAAAGTGCTGCATCCATAATGTTGCCCATAAAAGTGTTCAAATGAGCAGTTGTGTAGAAAAATGCTAATGTCATCTTATATGAAGAAAACACCAATCAAACACCTAAACACTTCACCAAGATCAAAGTCCCTACGTTGTGTGACTCTCAGCCTTAGAGAAAGAAAAAAGGCACTGAGAAATCACAACAGCACTGTAAAGCTACTGCAAATGATAAACAGTTGGATAAATCAACTGAAGTGAACAAATGGATGGATGATTCATTTGACTGTCAAATAAATCATCATTCCAATAAAGCTACTCTTTATTTTGATAGTCCTCACAGATTTTCTATAGATGTTTAAACTGTTAATAAACTAATTGGTAAAACACAGCTGGCTATCAACAGTGTTGGAGTTAAGGTTAGGTTTAGGATTAGGTTTAAGTCAGGTATTAAGGTAGGTATTAGGTATTAAGATATTAAGTCAGAATTGTTCGCAGCAGTAGTGATAGGAACCAGATGTCTCAAGAGTTTAAGGCCTCTAAAACCTATATCACAGGAAGTTATATACTCAGTCTGATGTCTGAGACATTGTTTTACAGTAGTTTTGAGATAAGTTTTTAAGTTTTCTAAAACATATTTTAATCATTTTTTCTAGTCTGTTTATGGTGTAGGGATATATTTAGAGTGTTCTAAGGCAAAATAGTCCTCAAAGAAAAGTCTTTTTTTTTAGATTTACCACTATTTTGCTATCATCAACAACACATATAAAACCTCAGAAGACTTGTGTACATTGGTGGTTTTAAATATTACATAAAATGGCTATATTTATGTTGTAGACATCAGGATCCCTGGTTTCTATCACCACCGCTGTAAATAAGTCAGAGTCAGCAAGTTTCTCTACAAATGAACTATTTTACATCAAACCACCCTGAATGACATTGGTTACATTTCAATCACTGAATCATGCAAAAAATTGGAGGAATTCCCCTTTAAGTCGACAATTTAATTTATTTACACCTGCAGGTTAGGATTCTCCTTATATCCTCAGATTGGAGTTGGGGGTTGGGGCAGGTAAGAGGCAGTTGTCAGTTAGAGACAAGTGGATCTACAATGCATCTATGAGGGGTTCTCAAAATAAAGTGTTAATGCATTCTTTAAGCCAACCCTCCAAGAACTTTCAGTAATAATGAGTATCTCTCTACACGTCCCTTCAAGAGCCCCCTAATGCAGCTACTACACCTCTCTGATAGAAGTGCTGTGGGCTGCTGACATCTGCTGGTCATATGATCCTCATGCAGCCTAGAGATGTGATTTACAGCATCTCTTATCAAATATTCTCACATTTTCCTACAACCACACATTCTGCATAGAACCACAGTTCTACATAGTGTCCCAATACACTCTGTGAAATAGTGTTTTCTAGCTATAATTTTCAAACGTTTCTGAATATAAACCACTTCATTTCTATCATTTTTTTCTGCAAAGTAATAGTGATGCATGATTTGAGAGCAAGTGAGCAATAAGGGGACTTACACTCAATATGCAAATATCAATATAACCTCAGTTATTGAACACTCTTAAATAAGAATCCTTTTGTAAAGAAAATAGTTCTATATAGAACCATGAACACTCAAGAAAACATTTGCAAGGTTCAAAGATTCTTTGCATCATTAAATGGTTCTACAGAGTGATGGAGAATGTGCTGTAGATGGTTCTGCATATAGAACCTTTTTGAAAAGGGTTTTATACAACACCAAAAAGGGTTCTTGTTGTTATGATGTCAGCCTTGTAACAATAGAAGAACCCTTTTTGGTGCTATCTAGAACTCTTTTCTATATAGAACCATGTAAAATACATTCTCTATCAATCTGAAGAAACTTTTCATGATGCAAAAGAACCATGCAAAGGGTTCTTTGAGTGTTTATGGTTCTATATAGTACCATTTTCTTTACTGAAGAACCTTTGAAGAACCATCTTTTTTAAGTGTGAATAAGTAATCAACATGAGTAAATAACAACCTAATGAAGTGAATAAACACACACACACACACATTTTCTAAGCTGCTCATCCTTCTGAGTCTCAGGGGGAGCAGGAGCCTATCCCAGCAGTCAGTAAATGAACAAACACATAAAATTAAAATGAAAAAAATTAATGTCATTTGACTGGAGCCCTACAATGGACTGGCAACCAGTCCAGGGTGTATCCTGCCTTCTGCCTTAACCCAGAAAGATAAGCAGCTTAGATGATGTGTGTGTGTCTTTGTGTGTGTGTGTGTTTGACTGGAGCAGTAAGGAGCCTGTGTGGGTGAGTAAGTAAGTAAGTAAATAAATACAATAAGTTTCTTTTACTCTCTGGTACGACACACATGGAAATTTTAGTTTATAAGATTATAATCATAAATAAAAAGTTTTCATTATTTGATTCTCCATTGTTTTTCATTTAATTATTACTTCAAACTGCAAGGTGACAGAAAGTGTATGGTTGCAGTTGTTCCTGCTAAAGGTTACACAGTTATTAAGTTTAGAGGGCAATTACTTTTTACATGGATGATAATGGGTGTTGCCAAACTTCTTTCTTTCAGTGATTTAAAACTTTTTAAAAACTGTGCTTTTTTTATATTTCCTCATATTCTCCCTCCTCCATCAGTAAAATAGTCTTACTACAACATACACTGAAAAAAAAGAAAAGTCAAGTCAGCTTGAAAAATCATGAGAAACTTTCAAAGCCCATGCAGGTCACATGAGTTCATTCACCTTTTCATTCTTTCTTGGACATTTAAGCAACTTTGTGGTACCTGAGTGGGACAACCATCTGCCTACCTGCTCATCAAGCAATCGTGAAGTTCAAATCCCGGCAAGAAAAACTCAGAAGAAAAAAGTCTCAGAAGAGGAAGGCTTCACCCCCCCTGGCTGGGGGCACTGTGTCATCAGGTGGCTGAGAATTAGCAATGACTAAACTGGACAATGAACTGAGTAAAGGCTCACCAAAGTTACACACTGCTGCATTTTTCTTGGTTTCATCCCATGCAGACAATAAATGATGTAAACTCTAATTATCCTAACTCATACACTTTTTACTTACTCATTAGACTTATTAATAAGCAGGTTTCTTTTGTGTCTACATCGGAACAGTTTTAGTGTAAGATGAACCTGAATCACAATTTCTTGTCTTTTTCTTTTAAGCTAAACTCAGTGGTACATTGAAAGGTAAATGCTAACAGCACTATCACTTACTGTCTAAACCATCACATTTCAATAGCAAACAAAAATTCAGTCAGTCAATAATATGATCAAACTTCAGGTGCCTGAGAGCAGATAACATTCCCTCTTTTATTTCCATTATTTAGTCATTTTTACATATTATTTTAAGGGGTTAATCTCAGTTTCTACTTGAGTTTGAGGGACCTCAAAAGACGATAGTAGCTCAAGAAAAAAAAAATCAATAAGAAATATTAATCAAAAATGATCAGACAGTTGTTTATTATCATTTGTATTTAAAAGTAAAAACGAATGCATTGAGTCGTCACTAGTCTAATTAAACCATTAAACCATCTAATTAATGCCATCAGGTAACTCTACAGAATCTTTTGTGTGCTCACATTTCATTTTTATTGCTGTATAAGTAAATGAATTAGAGTGGGGCATGTGATCAGACTGGGCCCCCAGTGATTTCCCTGTAGCGCAGAGCGTCAGAGGTGAGTCTTACTGTTTTAGTTCCACTCCTCCTGCGTTAGGATTGGCTGGTTGTGTCTCTTCTCCTGCGCTTTGATTGGCTAGTAGTTCATCTTTGCCAGAAGTTCACCGCACTCCCAGCCAATCATAGCGCAGGAGTCGGGGCTTGTCCATAGTGAGTAATATAAAAACACAGCGCGTGCCTGAGGAGACCTCTGCGTGGAGAAACCCAAACCTCCAGCATGGTGAACAGGAGGCGACACGGTTCACGCGCACATTCACATCAGCGCCGCAGCCCTCCACCAGCCCAGGTAAAAACAGACCGCGCCTTCAGCTCCTTTACGGAGTTTCCTGCTGCTGTTCTTCATCCTTCTGTACAGACACAGTCCGCGGCGGAGATGATTAAAGGGGAATTCCACTGATTTTTCAAAGTTTCTGCGTAATTTAGTCGTTGAGCTGTAAACAAAGTCATTCAGAGTGATGTTTAAGGGTTCACTGTAGAGAAACTTACCCACACAGATGTCTTTACAGTGGTGATAGGAACCAGGTGTCACAATGTCTACAACACAAAAATATAAAATATACAGTTTTATTTACTATACAAAATGAGTGTCTTTTGAGTGTTTATAAGTAATGTTGATAATGTAAAACTGAAAAAAAGACTTCTCCTCTCAGCCATTAATGGATTAAAACACATTTTAAGTCAAAATCTTAACCGAAAACTAATAAAATAATCTCCAGCTTTAGGTGGCATATTCTTAGGCATTTCATGTTAGAACTTTCTGTGAGGGAGCTTTTAGAGGCATTAAACTCTTCAGACGTCTGGCTCCTGTCACCACCACTGTAAACAATTCTGACTCTGTAAGTATCTCTAGAGTGGAGCACTTCACACCAAACCATTTGAATGACTTTTTTACATCTTGATGATTTTTATTATGCAGAAATTTTAAAAGTGGTGGAATTCCACTCCTGTGCCTCAGTGAGTTACAATACAGTAACAAGTTAGACTTTTTGTAGCTTAACTCTTCATCTTTTGTCAAGTCAGCTTCAACGTATAACAATAATCTAGCTTTTATCACTGACAACTCTTTTTTGAGTTTTGTTTAGGTTTAAGGCTGCGTGATGATATCACAATCATATTGGTATCTACAAATAATTGTTTTTAGAAAATTATCAGCATTTGATAGATTTTTACATTGCACTCATAATTCATTTCAAAATTTAATGATGCATTTATTGTGTTGTGGAGGAGCAGAATGTTTAGGTGACACTGGGCTGCTGTGATAAAATGTATTTATTTGTGTATTTTACTGTACATTTTATACCCTATTAGCATTTCTCTGTAAGGCTAATCTAAGTAGGTCTAGACTCAGTTTCTACATTTTAAATTTTAATGTATCGGCTTCCACAGATATGGACATAAAAAATGTAGGATATCAGCATTGGCCTTGAATTCACATATCAGTGCATCCCTGGTGAAGTCAAAAGTCTTTTCCAGTGATTCACATTTTAATAATTATGTGACTTTTTTTAATACAAATTATTTAAATATATAAATAATAGTGTTTGGAATTCTGGACCAGTGCCGATATCTAATATTTTTCAGGTACAAATCAAAACTACCTGGATTTGCATTACAGAGAAATATAACCTTTATTTATGTTGTTTTACAAAATCAGTAAAATGAATAAAATGCTGATATTTTATCACAATAACCCAACATCACCAAAAATATCTGCACTTCCAGACTGCAATCAGTACATCATCAACTACTGGTTTAAAACATAAGTTAAATCTAATCATCTGTTCGATGCAGATGAATTTGATTTGACAATGATCTGCTGACATGGATATGATTCCAATATCATTGTGCATCCCTAACAAATAAATACATACACACAGTTGTATGCAAAAGTTTGAACTCCTAAGTCAAATGATATATTGAATTTATAAGTCAAAATAAGTAAAAACATCCTCTACAGAGAACAAACTTAAATATGTCATTTTTTCTGCAAGTTGTAATTGACAGTTTCTATTGATTTGCAGAATTTAATATACTGGGAAAAAGGAAACGTTAAATATAAAATGCGCCATAACCATTGCTCAGGCCACATATTATATTTTATCTGCCCCCCAACATGCAAGCAAATAAACAGTAATTGTGCATTAAAATGTGCAGAAGTGTTTGCTCTGTAGACGATTCACTAATTGTCACTTAGAAAATCAACAAAGCATATAATTTGACCATGTGACTGGAAGACTGTTCCAACTAAACCGCACCTTCAGTCTATTACACTTAATACACGTAATGAAGATTATCACTTTATGTGTACAAAAACTTGTATAAAACTTTACTGAAGTATTATTACATAGTAACTCTTTATCCATTTAAATTATAGATTATAGTTCATGTTATGTGTGTGTGTGTGTGTGTGTGTGTGTGTGTGTGTGTGTGTGTTTAATTGTAATCCAAATTAACTGACAAAAGGCAAAATGAAATTTTTAATTTTTAATGTTGGATGCTGTTTTTACAGTACTTGGCATTTGTATACACTGCTTGAACATTCATTCAGGTCTGATTTGTAGTCATTCCTACAACACATGGTCTTCTGTGATAATGCTGTGGAGTAAATCAATAAAACTCTTACATAATATTTGTGTGCACACGAGTAGTTTGCTCATCCGAGTCAGCTCCATCTAAGACTTGCTCTACCATGCAGTGGCCCACAGTTAACATGCAGTGGGGCACAGTTAGCATGCAGTGGGGCACTGTTAACATACAGTGGGGCACAGTTAACCCCTTAAATGGCCAGGGCCCACCAGCAGGCCCAAAGTTTCATTACACAATTCTATAACCTAAGCATAACTCAGCCAGATTACATTGAAGTCCCTGTAGTTACTGAACCATAAGCCTTAGAATGTAATAAGCCTGGGATTTTAAGGGCTTAACATGCAGTGAGGCACAGTTAACATGCAGTGGAGCACAGGTAACATATAGTGGGGCACAGGTAAGATGCAGAGGGTCACAGGTAACATGCAGTGGGGCACAGATAACACGCTGTGGGGCACACTCATCAGTATGAATTTGCACAGTTATTTTATTTTGCCTCTCTTTGTACAACCCCATTTCCAAAAAAGTTGGGATGCTGTACAGAATGTAAATAAAGATAGAATGCATTGATATGCAAATCATGTAAACCATATTTTTAAAGGAAAATTCTACAAAGACAACATATCAAATGTTGAAACTGAGACATTTTATTGTTTTTGGAAGAACATATGCCCATTTTGAATTTGATGCCAATAACATGTTCCAAAAAAGTTGGGACTGGGACATGTTTACCATTGTGTTTCATCACCTCTTCTTTTAACAACAAGTGTTTGGTAACTGAGGAGACCAACTGCTGTAGTTTTGAGAGTGAAATGCTTCCCATTTTTGTTTGATATAGGATTTCAGCTGCTCAAAAGTTCGGGGTCTCCTTTGCCGTTTTTTTCATTTCATAATGCACCAAATGTTTTCAGTGGGTCACAGGTCTGGACTGCAGGCAGGTCAGTTTAGCACTGTGGTTTGTCACTGTCTTGCTGAAATAATCAAGGCCTTTCCTGAAAAAGACATTGTCTGGGTGGCAACATATGTTGCCAAAACCTGTATTTATTGTTCAGCATTAATGGTGCCTTCACAGATGTGCAAGTCACCCATGCCATGCGCACTAATGCACCTCTATACCATCATGAATACTGGCTTTTGAACTGTGTGCTGATAACAAGTTGAGTGGTCTTTAGCCCGGAGGACGCAGTGTCCATGATTTCCAAAGAGAATTTCAAATTTTGATTTGTCAGACCACAGGACACTTTTCCACATCCCCTCAGTCCATTTTAAATGAGCTCAGGCCCAGAGAAGGTGGCAGCATTCCTGGATCCTTTTTATATGACAACAAACTGTTTTCACAGACTGTGGTTTTCAGAAGTGTTTCTGTGCACATGCAGTGATTTATACTACAGAATTATGTCTGTTTTGAATGCAGTGCTGCCTGAGGACCCAAAGATCACAGCCAGCAAATACTGGATTTTGGTCTTGTTCCTTACATACAGAAATTTCTCCAGATTCTCTGAATCGTTTAATGATATTATATACCGTAGATGATGAAAAGCAAAAGTTCTTTGCTATTTTATGTTGAGTAATGTTATTCTTGAATTGTTTGCTTGTGCAGTCTTTCACAGAGTGGTGAACCCCTCCTCTTTACTTCTGAAAGACTCAGCCTCTCTGGGATGTTCTTTTTATAGCCAGTCATGTTACTGACCTGTTGCCAATCAACCACCAAGTGTTTTTTTAGCATTACACAACTTTACCAGCCTTTTATTTCCCCCTGTCCCAACTTTTTTGGAACGTGTTATTGGCATCAAATTCAAAATATACAATATAATCTCTCTGTTTCAACATTTGATATGTTGTCTTTATACTATTTTCAAACATAGGGTTTAAATGATTTGCACATCATTGCATTTTGTTTTTATTTACATTTTGCACAGCGTCCCAACTTTTTTGGAAATGGGGTTGTAATTCTGTAACGTTATGAAGATATTTCAATAGAAAATGCTTTTAGAAGTACCAGTTATCCATATGTTTACAATATATGGGCCTGTCATCTGTGTTGTTGTTACAGTGAAACTACATATTTAATTGAAATCTTTATGTAAACTGTGACGTTTTCCATGTTTATCTTCAACACATTTGTTCTTGTCCAATGTAAAGTTTATGTAGTCACTGTGTGGCTTGTTTGTGTTAACTGTACGACATGGTTTACATGACATTTCCATGCATCTAACCTGTAATAACTTCTGCACACAGAACTATATGTGACAGGACAACTCTGTGTGTCTCCACTTTGCCCATATTGACCATAAACAGGGTTTCAACATAAAATATCCAGATCCTCAGCCACTGAGTGCTATGAAATGCCTCTCACTCTTCTTGTTTGTCCTCTATTGGCTGTTCTTAGGATGTTCTCTCAACAGCTGATGGTCCAAAGGCCACTGACAACATCACAGAGTTAGAGTACATGTACATATTCTGTGTATTTATTGCGTGTCTGTGGAGCGTTTGTCATTGCAGTTTCTTATCTAATTCCAGATAGGAAGAACTGAGTGAACGAACATAGCAGTTATGTCAGAATTGTTCACAGTGGTGGTGAGCGCTACCATATGTCTGAATGCTTCTAAAAGCTATATTTATTTATTTTCCCAGATAGTTATTACATGAAATGGTTACTAATGTTGCCCGCTGCCTGAGATAGCTTCGAGATAAAATTTAAAACATATTTTTAAATCCAGTCTTAGTGGAATGGTACATGCAGGTTGTTATAAAGCAAGATAGTTCCCAAAGAATACTTATCTTTTTGGATTTACCACTATTTTACCATGATCAACATTATATAGAAAAACTCAGGACACATACAGTCATGTGGAAAAAGTAAGTACACCCCTGGTTTCGGTAACTGGTACTGCCCCTTTTGATAGAAACAAATTTATGTTGGCATTTCCTGTAACTGTCTACCAGTTCCTGGAATCTACTGGAAGAATTCTTTGCCTATTCCTTCATGCAAAGTTATTTTAACTGTACAGTGGTTTAGGGACTTCTTGCATGTACAGCCTGTTTCAAATCCCCCCACAGCATTTCAGTGGGTTTCAGATCTGGGCTTTACTAGACTCAATTACTTCCTTTTGAGCCATTCCTTGGTGGATTTACTAGTATGTTTGGGATCTTTATCCTGTCGAAAGGTCCACTTCTTCAGCTTTAGCTTTTGATCAGATGGCCTCACATTCTCCTTGACCAGGCCCTGATGCAGCAGAGCAGCCCCAAACCATAACATTTCCACCACCATGCCTTACCATTGGTATGACACTCTTCTGCTCAAATGCAGACTCATCTTTGACTCATCTGTCCAGAGCACATTGTTCCAGAAGTCCTAGTCCTTGCCTAGATATTGATTAGCAAACTTTAGCCTTGCCCTGATGTTCTTTTAGACAGCAATTGCTTCATCCTGGTGCGCCTCCCATGTAGGTTAAATTTGTGCAGTCTCTAATGGTACTTTGACATCCACAGTGGCAAGAGCTAATTGCAGATCCTGTGATGAAATTTTGAATTTTTCAAAGAATTTTGAATTTTTCAAAGAATTCATGATGAAATTCAAAATTTCATCATGAATTCTTAGAGACTTATTTTTGCATCTTATGGTCTGCTCTTGGGTTAAATGTGCTGCAACAGCCTGGCTTAGACATGTTAGCAGTGGTTTTAAATGTTTTCTACTTGTAGATAATCTTCCAGACAGTGGAAGGATTCATTTCCAAAATTTTGAAAACCTTTTTTAAACTCCTTCCCCGACTCATAGGCATCTACAACTTTCTTTCTGAAGGCCTCAGAAAACTCTTTAGATCTAGACATGATGATGCCACACACTCCAATAATGAAGAGAAAACCAGACCTGATATCTGAGGTTTAAACAAGACAAGTTCTTCCCACATATTCTCTAATGGTGTTCTGATCATTCGCACCTGATTGGGTGCACCTGATTTCAAATTGACACATTTGAAGAAGTGAATTATATAGGGGTGTACTTACTTCTTCACATGACTGTATGTAGGCTCACTGGTTGTTTTGAATAGTAAACAAAATGGCTATAATCTGAACTGGTTTCTCTATAATGTACCATTTCACATCATACCACTTTGAATGATTCTGTCTGAATTATGCAGAAATTTTGAAAAAAATCTAGGGAGTTGCCCTTTCAGTCTTATACCTGGTGCCCCACAGCTCAGAACAGTTTCATGTATCCCCTGCCCCGGAGAACCTGATTCAGCTTATCAGCGAATTATCAAACTCTTCATGAGAAGGAGAAGGTGTGTTGAGGCTGCGAGTAGTGCTGTGGCCTAGAGAAATTATCTTTATGGCAGTAGGAGACTGTATCATTAGTTATGGCCATTTAAATGCTTGGCAGACTATTATCAGGTCAGAGCACGCAGTCCAACTCTGCCCAGCATAATCCTGCCTCTAATGACCTGACACAATATCTCTCTCTCTCTCTCTCTCTCTCTCTCTCTCTCTCTCTCTCTCTCTCTCTCTCTCTCTCTCTTTCACTCTCTCTGCGGAAAGTAAACACTGCTGAAGGCCAGACCACACTGACCCAACAAAGGCCAGCATGCCCAAACACTGAGTTGGTTTGACAATGATACCTGGGTGTCATTGTTGAAAGTCTGTAGGCTATTTTGCTCATTCACACTGATCTAGAATGTTCTCCACTCTCACACTGTTCTAGATTGTTCTCACCATTCACACTGTTCTAGAATGTTATCCCAATTCATGCTGCTCTAGAATTATCTCCTCATTCACACTGTTCTAGAATGTTATCCCAATTAATGCTGCTCTAGAATTATCTCCTCATTCACACTGTTCTCCTCCATTCACGCTGTTCTAGAATGTTCTTCCCATTCACACTGATCTAGACTGTTCTACCCATTCACACTGTTATAGACTATTGTCCTCATCTACAGTGTCCTAGAATATTTTCCCAGTTCTAGACTGTTCAATATTTTTCCCGGTTCTAGACTGTTCAATTCACACAAGTTTGTTTTGTTTAGCAGTTTTCTTAACATTCTAAAACTACTGCCAACCCCAGAATGTTGGTGTTTGTCGATGTTTGCTGGGTTGATTTCTGTTAGACACAATTCAGGTTTTACGTTTTCTGTTTGGCACTGGAAACGATGAAATCCATGTAAAATCTCTTTTGACAGACTCTGAGACAACCAGCAGTCTTTGCTAAAGCATCAGGCTCTGATTCTGATGTCCCTCATGATAAGCTGACCTTAGCCCAGGCCCGGCGGGGCACTCCTGGTAAGGCCAATTCTCTTTTCCTCATAGGTGGACTGATAGATTTCTTGGTAGAGCTGAACTTTGTTGGAACATGGAACAGTGTGCAGGGCAGAGACTGAGGTGATGAATGCTGCAATCTTAAAAATAAGGGTTCCAAAAAAGGATTTTAAAGCAATGCCAAAAAAGAACCACAATTGATTCCCTAAAAATGGCTCTTTTAAAGATTTTTTCTTGTAAATGAGATGTGTGAGTGTGAAGAATCTATTTAAAGTTTAAAAAAAACTCTACAAAATGTAAAGGTATACCAATTAAGATATTTTCCTAGAACCATATGTCAATCAACCAAGAACCATTAAAGAACCTATTTTTTAAAAGTATATGGAAACAGTGAGCTTTCTAGTAACGTCCCTTCTCCTCCAGCTCACCGGCCTGTGAGAGTCTACGCTGATGGAATCTTTGACCTCTTCCACTCTGGCCACGCACGAGCTCTAATGCAAGCCAAGAATCTGTTCCCCAACACACACTTGATTGTTGGAGGTGAGCTACACACACATAAACAGCTCACAGACACACTGACTACCAGCAGAGAAACATGAGTCTTCTGCCTAATTTGAAACATTTACACCAGGGGTGTCCAATCTTATCTGCAAAGGGCCTGTGTGGCTGCAGGTTTTCACTCCAAACAATGATTCTACTTCTTTAATTAATGGTCAGTCTTCAAACTACTGATCATGTGAGCTCCTGCTTGGTTGGAATGAAAACCTGCAGCCACACCAGCCCCCTGATCTACACCAGACAGCCCTGATCTACACCAAGTTTAAATGAGGCCTAATAAAGCTTTGACTTGCACTGTAGAAAACAAGCATATTTAATCATATCTGTGCATATCTGTCTCAGTATGTAATGACGAGCTGACACATAAGTATAAAGGCTACACAGTGATGACTGAAGCTGAGCGCTACGAGGCCCTCATCCACTGCCGCTACGTAGACGAGGTTGTCCGCAATGCCCCATGGACCCTCACACCTGAGTTCCTGAAGAGGCATAGGGTCAGTAGAGTGCTGTGCAATCACATTCCTCAACCAGCATACAACTGTGCATTTTATTGATTATTGACACTGTCAAGAACTGTCAGCCCAGAGCTGGTTGGTGTCTGATGCCACATTAACAAGATTTTCAAATGCTTAATCTAAATTTACTGACATGCAGCAGTTGTTTCATTTATACAGATTGACTTTGTAGCCCATGATGATATCCCATACACTTCTGCTGGATCAGATGATGTCTACAAACATATCAAAGCAGCAGGTAGGGACAGACCCTGCATTTCCCTGAACCAGACGTTATATGCAGCTATGAATAACACAAAACTGTGACAGTGTGCACTGTGGCAATGTGACAAATGCATCATGGAGAATAGATATTCTAGTAATTATGCTGTTATGCAATGACATTTTTTGAACACTAAAGTTTGCAATCAGCACCATCAACAACTCACTCCTGCACTTTTCCTGCCACCTAGCTCTACTGTTGTCAGAAAGTTGTGCAACAACATTATTTTAGTCATAATTTTTAGATGATGGACCTGGCTTAATGCTCACTCACGTTTAGCAGGCTGAAGATTCACCACCGTGCTGTTAGCACTCAAATAGCTTTTGCTGCTTCACATCAATGACATTGTGTGTCTTTGTTCTTCGTTTGAATTTTGTTTTAATTTTTTTTGTTTTGTTTTTGAGAATATCAAGTCATGAACCATTGTGAATCGAATCGAATCATAGGCAGAGTGTATTGATACATCCCTATTTATACGTTTTCTCTTACATTTGAACTCTAAATTTTGATTATCAGTCATCTTTGTTTAATTTTGAGGGAGGTAAATAATTAAATGGACCAAATGTCTCTGGTGGGTTTGTGTGTCTGTTAGGAATGTTTGTAGCCACTCAGAGGACAGAAGGCATCTCCACCTCTGACCTTATCACACGTATAGTCCGAGACTATGACGTCTACGTCAGACGGAACCTCCAGAGAGGCTACACAGCCCGGGAACTGAACGTTGGTTTTATCAATGTAAGAATCCTTAAATATACTTGTAGGAAAAACCTTTAACCTTTGTTTGGCTTTTTTTGTACCCCATTTTTGAGTTTTACTAACTTTTTGCTGACTTCACATTTACAGGAGAAAAAGTATCGTCTGCAGAACCAGGTAGATAAGATGAAGGAGACGGTGAGGACGGTGGAGGAGAAGTCCAAACACTTAGTACACCGCGTAGAGGAGAAGAGCCACGACCTCATCTTCAAATGGGAGGAAAAATCTAGAGAGTTTATTGGGAACTTTCTGGAACTCTTTGGTCCTGATGGAGCGTGGGTGAGTGTATGAGGGTGCTACAGTATGAAATGGACATCCACTCCTTATTCAGGTCCTGACCTATTCAGTAATGAGATTTGGAGATTTGAGGCTGTTTCTGACTACTTTCTTGTATGAAGTGAATAAGGGACTTTAGGTAGATTACAGAACAAAAATGTCCAGTAACCTTATTAGCAGAGGTGGGTAAAGTGGCTTAAGCCCATGCTCAAATAAACCTATTGGTACTTCAGTGAAATAACTAAAAAAAAACATACATTACCAAAAAAAAACCTGGGTAGAAATTGTACAAAAGTGTAAAAGTGAAACTGTAGTGAAATGTCTTAATACATCCAGAAACTACCAGCACAGGAACCGAAGTTTGGATCTGATAATCACAAATACATACTAAATCTGAAAAGAAAGAGGTGTGAGCAACCACAAAGCAGTCTACATGTTTTCAACAAAATGACACAGAGAAATTACATACAAAAAGTAACTTTTTACTGTCGTAATCAAACGTTAATGACCAATGACAATTGAGAATAAAGTACAAATCCATCCTAACCTTGTTTAGTACCTGTAACTGTCTTGATGTTACTAGTTATTTGCTGCTCCAAGTGCTGTTGAAAAGGCTTGTAGAGCTCCGACTCAGCAGCCTCAAAATGATATCGTTTGTTGACATGGAGACCTCCTAGGCCTGCCCCAGTGATCGTTTCAAAAGTTCTTTTATAATTCAGTTAAAACATTCACAGATAATATAGGGATTGTTTGAAAAGCAAACTTACCATTTACAGTTAAAGTAGCCCCAGTAACAATATACTGATCTTCAAAATAGTGATGCTTAAATTTCCCACAATTTAAAGTCTACCAGAGCCAGGTTTCAAGCAAATGTGTCCTGGCTGTTGGACATTGCTCATTGGATCAGTGTTTGTGACTGACATGGAACTGTTGGAACTAAGTTTGGACTGTTTATCTATCTGTGTGTGGTCACTGTTGCATGTTCTGCTGTTTGTCTCTGACCTGCTCTGTTTGTTACTGATATTTGTATGGAGCACAGGTTAAGCTTCTCAGGTGACTGTAAACACTATATTGTAGTCAAAAGGTGCATCAGGACAAGTGTTACAGGACTGGGTCATATAACATATTCTGCTGATATCAACCCAATATCAATATCCATGGATACCTAGGAATCAATTGTAACACTTCATTTACATGTATTGCATACTTCCAATGTTAAAGGGAAAATGAACAGCTTTTTAAAAAATGTGTGCATAATTAAGTGTTTGAGATCATTCAGAGTGGTTTGATGTGAAATTATAGACTTCACAGTGGTGGTGAAATATCTGCCTGCCAGGAATGGATTTTAAAATACACTTTAGACCAAAATCTTTTAAAAGTCATAGACCACTGAACGTGTGCGTCATTCCGTAGTGGCTGTTGTGCCATATTTGGATTTAAGCTTGATTTCTCTATGGCAAAAATGAATGTTTTGTCCTGTGTGCATTTTCTCCTGAATATCACTGGATCCTCTGAATTACGAGGTTGATAAACAGTTATATTACTAATATTGCTACATGCAAGCTAATGCTGCTATGCAATTTTTGTTATGTCACTAAGCTACACGGAAGTAATTTGTATCACTTTGTGGTTTGTCAGTCTTCTATAAGGATGACTAGAAGAGTATTAAAAGATGTGAAAACCACTTTCAGTCGGTCATATTGCGCAGTGTAGCTTGAGTGCAGGTCAGCTTGTAGGGCTAAGTAACCACACTGACAATGCATGCTAGTTTGCATGTTTTTTAAGGAGGCTGCCAGTCTAATGATGTCATTCAGTGTGCAGTAGCATTCACTTGCATGTAGCAATATACATATTTCACTCTTTAATGACCTCGTAATTCAAAGGATCCAGTGATATTCGAGAGAAAAATGCTTATAGGACAATACGTATCAGCTTTGAAGCATTTTTGATAATCACAGGATGCGACGGGCAATTTTTGAAAACCCCATTCAGTTTTCTTATAGAGAAATTACTTTTAGACCTGGAGTTCCTTATATGGGCATAAGAGCATGGCGTCGACTACAGTGGTCTATAAAACAATGTCTCGGGCATCATTGTCGTTCACTTTGATCTCTGAGATTTTCTACCACTTTCCGCTGTTCTTTTGGCAGCATATGATCCAAGAGAGGAGTGGTCGTGTGCTCCAGGCTCTGTCTCCATACCAGTCTCCCCGCAGCTCACCCAGCAGCAGCCCCACTAGAGGGCGCTCTTGCTCTCCCCCAACCTACTGACCCCTATCACCACCAGCTAAAGGAGCCCCCATCTTTAGCAGTGAGGGAGACAATGAGAAGCAGTAAATGTGCACACATACACACACACACACACACACGTATATACAGAGGCACTAAAAAGTATTTGGACTCTATAACCCTTTAACCATTGGTGAAAGTCTTTAGTTACTTCATAAAATAGTTAGCAAAATCATATTTGTTTCTGAGAGAAACACTTTAAGCACATCAAACTGATGGTAGAGTTTTTGGCTGACAAAAAAAAAAGAATTCTAACCGGACAGCACTAAGATTTCTGTAAAGTGCAGATGTGGAAATGGCTTGGGGCTGTTTCTCTTGTGTTTATGGGATCAATAACTCAGAAGCATTCAAAGACATTTAGGGTGCAAAGCTTTAGAAGTCTGCAAAGAAACTGCTTAAACAATAATGATCTGAAACACACCAGCCATGTTTTCAAAGTATACTTTGCCAAAAAATGCCACTCGGTTTTATGTTTTGTCTCCTCACACAATGAACTCAATATATTTTGAAGTATGGAACAAATGTCCAAATACTTTTTGTGACCACTATATTACAAACAGTGAAATCCAAAAGTCTGAGATCACATTTTTCACTGAAACCTGGAAATAAACAGCAGCAAATTGTAGAATCCTGAAAAATTTAAAACAAAGAAAAGTTATGACAAAAATAAAGAAGAACTAAATTCTGCACTATTTCTAGGTCACTATTTACACTGAAGCAAATTAGTGAAACTGACCATTTTAAGGCCTTTGTACAAAGATTTTTTTTAGTTTTAAAAAAAAAGATTTTTTTAGTTTTATTCCTTCCTTTGAAACACGTTTAGACGGCTCCCAGCTGGGTTTGATCTACTGATCAGAGGCTTTTGCTCAGACTTATGGAATTCATGCCAGCTCAAGTGCACATTAAAGCAAAAAGGGGACCAAATACCAAATACTAAGAAATTCTGAATTTTATTTAAACATTCAAAGATTCTACTTTCTACTTAAATTGTCATGCTAATAGCATAATTTGTAATGAAAAACTCTGTATTCAAAAGAATGCAAAATAGACTTTTTAGTGGTCTCAGACATTTGGACCCCACACACACACACACACATACATATATATATATATATATATATATATATATATATATATATATATATATATATATAGATATATATTTAATAATAGACAAGTACGCACTCACACAAAACCAGTTTGCTGCATTCCAGTTTCACTTACTATTTGTTTAGAACTAAGCACTGCCTGTGAAATTACATTGACACTACATTGTAATTTTGATACATTACTACTATGATTGGTATTTATTGATGTGATTTTGTATTTATTGATTCTGTTGAGTAACTCAATAAGGTGTACTTGAATGAGCTCCAACATTTGTAATGGTATGCTTTTAAAAATGGAATAAACCACAACTCTTGACTAACAGCCATCCACAAACACAATTCCTCAACATATTCATCAGAAAGAAAAAGTGTCCAATATCAGTTCATGAACTCATTTTTATTTGTCTTGGGACCTCTTAAAAACAGAACTTTCTCATAGCAGAGAGTTTTCCCTTTTCCATACATACCTGACTCAACTCATCACCTAATTTATGAGCTCTTATTGAGGTTAAAATGGCAGTGTTTGAAAAAGCTAAACAAATACAGCGTTTTGGAAACACTGCTTTACAGCAATAAACATTTCTGTGTTTAACTACACATCCCTATAAAAATAAAGTCATATTTCTTCAGTATAGTTATTACTACTGTGTTCTACTAATTCCCCAGTGGCCTAAAAAGAAGTGATTTTATTAGGCACAGCAGTTAAGATGATTAAGCAAAGCTTAAAATGATGAAGTCACCAGCAATGGTGACGTATCCTTACCATATGACCTCGCTATAGACCATCACATGGGCGAGCTGAGATGGCTGGACATTTAAACTCTGAAACGCTCTTTGATTACAGTGCTGTTCTGTTAGTTAAAATGACCAGACTAAGATCACCCCTTAAACCCTGAGGGTCTGTATGTGGGTCCTCACTACAGTTTCTCATTTTCATAACTACATAATTTACATACGTTACCATGCTATAAGTCAGAGACTACCCTTTCATTCATTTAATATCCAGTCAAAACATTAAATTGTTCATTTTCCAGCATCAGGGAAAACGGCAGAAAAATCTATTTAACAGAGGTGTGTGCAAGACAATAATAAATATAAGACAATAATTTTTTTTCATTATTTAATATGTTCACTCTTTGCCTTTGTTACAGCTTCAGGAGACTTGCTTTCAGTTTTTCAAAGAAATCTGCTCCTTGTAAACATCTCCAAAGTTCAGTCTTAGAAGTTGGTTGCATTTTGTGCTTCTCATGATGCAAGTAATTACAAACACATTGAGGTCTGGACTCTGTTTTGGCCAGTCAATTGTTCTAACAACACCAGTGGCTTCTTTGTTTAATAAGTATGTTGTGATCTTCTCAGCCAGGCTGGATTGTTGTAGACATAGTTAAAAGAGTTTTTTCATTGCTTTAGCATTGTACATACTGCCTTCTGTTATTTCCAAAGATCTCAAATTTAAACTTCTCAGTCACTCAACAGTGGAAGGATTGAAATATTTTGATTGGACATTGAATAAACGAATGGGTGGTCTCTGATTTTTGCACAGTACTGGATTAGTTTTACAGTTACTGAATAATTCTTGAATAAATATTATACTGTGTCATGGAGTGTATAGATTAAAAACTGAGTACTAAGCCTAGGATTGATGCACCTATTGCAAATAACTATGCATGAATATGAATTACAGCTATTAAGCAAGCCTAAGCACTCTCTGTAGAGGAGGAGACATTCAAATTAGTTCATTTCTTATAGGGAATCTTTTATGTATAGCATTATAGTTAGTCTTAAACAAAAATGACCTGTTTCTGTACATGAACTGTAACATTTCTAAATGTCCCATCAGCAATCTATAGTCCTGCGCACAATCAGAAGTCTTTACAATATTCAGTGGCATCACTGAGTCTTGACCATTAAAACAAAGAATGTACTGACCTGAATCTGCACTCAGTTTACACTGGGAGAATGCAAAAAAACAACACAAAGGCAAATATATACATATCTACTGCATGTCTGGGCATTTTTGTTACAATCTGACAGGGAGTTTGAGCACAAAAGCTTCCCAACACACCACACAGTATTTCTCTAAGGCTTTGGCTACAAAAGAAACTTTCTTTGTATTTTTTTAACTGAAGTCATACAGTACAGTAGTTCTATAATCTACTGCAATCCATCAAAACTCACTCGTTATGTCTGCATGCTTAGCATAAAGTAAAATACAGTACTCCCTGCAAATAGACTCCATGATAAATAACTTAAAGCATTAATTTAGTGACAGAGAGCACAAATCTGCCTTTGGCTCCATAGTGTTTCCTCTTACGATTATTTGAAATGCATGCTGCATAATAACTGCAAGTGACTAGATTTCCCATGAAAAAGCCACTCTGCCTGATCTTCCACTAAGCCACACAAAGTGCATTTATCCCATGATATTTCAGCAATAGAATACAAAAAGCAATATTTCTAAAGCAAATGGACAATAAATGAATTCAAACCAAACTATTAAACAAGAATAGCTCTTTGGTTGGAACTTGCTTTAGATTCAAGCATGCATACAAATGTGAAGCTAGTCAGGGCAGGGCAGGAGGATTTTAGGTCACGTGTTGACTTTGAATGTGGACGCATCGCGTGGGTCACTGCTGGGGTTGCTCCAGTCATCAGCCTCTGGCCCTAACTGGTAGTGTCTCCACGCTGACTTGTTGAAAACCGGAAGGCGCTCAAAAGACTCGCTGGATAGTGCCTGAGGACAACAGTCAGAAACTGTCTCTTAATTTGTCACATCTGTTTGGAGTGGTGCAGTCTGTCAGAGCTCACATAGAGTTTGGAACAAGTTAATGTCTTGTATGATTTGTGTTATACTGAAAAATGTCCCACCATCAGGTTACACATAAAATCATCAGTAATAAATTAGCACTTGCTCAGAAACTTGGAAACAGCTTCCCTTTTTTTAAATCTTCTGAATAATGTTAGATTTTTACAGTTAAGTAAGAAAATATAAAGCATAAAACTATATAGCATATAATCAAACTAACACTACACTAAAACTTTGAGTACAGTTTATAACACTCCACTCTGTGTTCTTCATGTTCTTATTTGGTACACTGTTAAAAAAGATGGTTCTTCAAGGGTTCTTAGTAAAGGGAATGGATATATTTAGAACCATGAGCTTTCTTTTCTAAACTATTACTACATGTATATAATTCAATCGTCTTTTTTGTTCATTTTACAAACCTTAAAGTATCAAATTGCCTAATCAGCTATATTGCTTCCTAGTGATCTGAGATACTGAGCTGTAATGACATGAAATGATGTACCACCCTATTGCAATATGCCACTCAACAGGTGTCTACAGTTACAGAGAAGCAAGCAAAGCTTACATGTTTCTTGTGCTTACTTGTGTTGTTTGTGCCACGTGTCTCAGTTAATGCATTTACTGCCTTGTTTTATTTACTTATATTTGCCTCAACCCAGTTGACATTCTGCTTGTCCCAACAAAGTCAGTTTATTACCAAGGTAAGACTTTTTATCAGTTGTCATTTCAGTTTTGTAGTTTTTGGAAAAGGAAAAATACTAAGATCTAAACACCTTTCAACAAACCTGATTTCCAAAAAAGTTGTGACAGTACAATTGCTAATAAAACAGATAGCAGTGATTTTCAAATTATGTCTGATGTGTATTTAACTAAATCAAAAAGTGCAAAAACATGGTATTTCATGTTCTACCTAATGAAATATATCATATTTTTTGCAACATTAGAACTTTTGAGCTGTACACTGGTAGCAATCTGTACGGTGCTTTACTTCTTTGGCTCAGAGAACACAACCTCCATTATTTCCCTAAACAGAAATAATGGTCTGAAAGTCAGTCCATTTCAGATGAGTTCAAACCCAGAGAACTCAGTGGCCTTTCTGGATATTGTTGACATATTGCTTCTGCTGTGCATATTACAGACTTAACTTGCATTTGTGGATGCAGCAATGAGCAGTGTTTATTGACAACAGTTTGTCAAAGTATTTCTGAGCCCATGCTGTGATATTCATCACAGAAATGTGCCATTTTTTAATGCAGTGACGACTGTGACAGTCACAAGCATTCAGTTAAGGTTTTCAACCTTCTCTTTTACATCCAGATTTCTCTGGGTTCCCTGAATCTTTTAATGATGATATATGCTGTAGAGGGTGAAATACCTAAGATCCTTAGAATTACTTTTTGAGAAATGTTGCTCTTAAACTGTCTGAAATGTTTTTGCTGAAACATTTTTTGGCAAAGTGGCCAGTCTTAAAACATCCTTGCTTATAAAGGACAAAGCCTTTCCTGGATGTTGCGTTTATAGCCAAGCATGGTAGCATCACTTGACTAAGATGTTTTGGGACATTTCACAATGTTCCTAGTTTGAAATTGCCACTGTGTTGCAGGCATGCTAAAAAATTAAATATCTTGAATAAAATATCTTTGTACTGTTTGTTTAAATACAGGTCAGAGTGGATTAACAAAACACTGCTTTCTGTTTTTATTTACATTTCACATACAATTTCAACTTTTTTGGAATTGAAGTTTGTATTTAATATGCTACATTACTGCAAACAGATAAAAAAAACATGCACACAAACAACATGCGCAAAAAAAACTGAAAAGCTAGAAAACATTTGATAGGAAGCTTAGTTTGAACTAGGCTAGGCTTATGTGCTTTGAAGAAAGGATAGTCACACCTTTAGATAGATGACTGCATGAGTTCCTACACCTTCCATAGAGTAGAGGTTCAGGTCTCCCTGGAAGTACCGCGCATACAGTCTGGAGATCGGCAGGCCATAACCAAAACCAGCCTGCAGGAGAGTAAGACTGTTACCACTTCAGCGCACACATACACACATATAGCACTGCACTGCTTGGGGTGTGGGTTACCAGAGGTGCAGCTGTCTGGGAGGAATTCAGTCTTGGTGTGGGAGCCGTGGAGTACATGTAGTTGAAGAGACGGTCAATCTTTCTCAAGGGAACGCCACCTCCCTGGTCACTAATCTGTGAAAGTATATACAGCACTTATGCAACATCAGGAGTATATATGTGACAAACAGGCCACTCAACTTTGAAGACCTCGTTGGTGGAAATATTTACCTTCACGCAACATGTGGAACATTTTGTGACATCAGTTATGCTAAGGACCCATTGCCCAACTGGATGAATCTGATGATTGTGAGCACGTTAAAGGATGATGTAAGTGAATTATCTACTATTGTCCTCATATCTTCATCTGTATAATGTTGATTTTGCATTTGAGTTAATACACAAAGACTGAAAAAAGTCTGAAAAACCCCTGCCAAATCCAACGCAACACCTCTACATTTGCATTTGACAAAAGGGGAGTATTGTCTTTCCTTCAGTAAGATTAAGGAGCCATTATGTCGGGACACAATACAAGTAGCATTCTTAAGTCAAAGCAGTTACTTTAATGGAGAGATCTTCTTTTCCCAGAGTGACAAGCGTCTTCACAGGAGGGAGTCCTTCCCGGCTGTTCTCATGAAGCTCCACTGTAGCTCGCATGGAGTTCTGCAAATAAAGCCAGTATTATGAACCATCGTTAGTGCCTCTGTACAAATACAGAGTGAGACCAAAACACTGTAACCTGAGTTCACTTGCCTTGAACAGCTCAAAGAGCATGTGGAACAAATGGGATGGCACATATACCACCTGGATGGGCCTGTTTGGCTTCTTGGCTGAAAGATATTGGATCACATTGATAGACAGAAGGTGTGTTGTTGTCATAGGTACACGTGAGGCATTTACTTCTTTAAACTCTAAAACTTTCATTACAACCTAAAGATTATTATAAGGTATAAGTGAGGAATTCAAGTCTGGAACCATCCAGGTATGCAGGATGGTGTGTTACGTTGCTGGTGCTGAAGTTCCAAGCAACATATATGTGACGTGAATGATGACACCATGCTAAATTATTTGCCTTTTTCCCATTTTTAATTGTTTTTGATACTTTACATCAAACCAAACATGTTATACTGCACTATAATGAGGCGAGAGACAATATCTAAATATAACTGACACATCAGACTGCTGACGCACATCTTCTCTCTGCTCTTTCATTCTAGACACTTTATGCAAATTAACTAAGGGGCGACCAATCAGACAGCTAATATGTGGCACGTTAACTGACTGTGTCACGCACAGTCATACCGTAAGATTTAACACTGGAACACTCACTGAGTGGGATATAACAGTTGATACAGCGTTATTATTACGTTAGGGGCTTTTTTAAGTTTAAAAACAGAACTGGCCTCTTTGCATACACTTTACCTTAGCTTGTGTGTGTTTTAGTGAACTGTTGTTGAGGAAATTGATTGAACCTGCTATAATGAAAATGCATAGTTAATTTAAATAGTGCATGGCTGCTGCAGGTTTTGATAATATATTAATAAAAATAGAAAACAAAACAAGCACACATGAGTCTTTGCTACGCTCAAATAATAAAAAAACATTCAGATCTCTGTCATATTATTAATGTTTTTAGCAGTTGGAGTCCTGAAATCAGGGGTTGCTGCCACCCCTCAGCCATGAACTCCTCTGTTGTCAAATTCGATGTTACTATATATGTTTCTCTGTCTTTGCCATAATACAGCACAGAAATAAGGTTCAAACATGTCCATCTTATCATGAGATCATACATGACTCACATCTGGAGTTATGACGCTATAAAGAGGGGCTGAGATACACATCATCTGCCTCTCACCATGTGTAACTGGTGGATTTGTGTGTGCATCTACATTTTGTGTGAAACTGACCAATGGACACTAAGGACTTACTCATCACCCTTCATTCTTAATTTAGTCGACATCGGAGACACGTGACATGGCATGCAAAGAGTTTATAGCTGCTAAAGTTGCTGCAGCGTTACATATGGGTATCGTCTTATATGCAATTGCCTTCAAAAGCGAAATTATATGCAAAAATTGAGAAAATGCACTTAGAGCTCAGGGGTTAAAAGAAGCTGGGTTACTCGAAGCTGAAATGGCACTGACACTGGGAGAAATCTTTTTCAGTGGTTAATGTGTTCAACTTGAGCTTTTGTTCTACTGGGAAAATGGCTTATGCCAGTTATTCTTTCAACAAGCACTGTTGTCTTTTATGGACAATGGTGGAAACATTTTTGGGAATTACCAAAAAATAAATAATTAAGGCAAAAGCTGTGTTGCCATTTCATGTGTTACTGTGATGCAAAAATGGCCATACTTATCAAATCGCAAACTTTGTATCGCATTACACCCCTAAGAAAACGCACAGATTCGTATTTTATAACAAGCTACGAGATATAAATGAAACAAGAACTCACTGTTGAATTCACTGATCTGTAGTTCGGGTGCCCTTGTGTAATACTGTTCACACAGCATCTTTGCTGTCTCATATGCATCTGAAAAAAAGAAGGAGATATGAAACAGCTAGTCAAAGAATTTAAAAGACCATGCAGCTAAATCACCATTAAATCAATGTTAACCTGTCTAGAGTAACAATGACTAATGATAAATGAACACCTTCTGTATTACCACAATCACTAATATTAACCATACAGTCACAGGTTGTGCTTGCAGTTATTGCTTTTTTCTCACTCATGGCTCAAGGAAACGAGCAAAGAAATTCTGTTGAAAGTGGATTCTGAATTTTCAATCAATACCACATTTTGTTTGCAGGTACAGGAGAGGATATTATGTAAGGATTTGAATCTGATGAAATACACACATCTTATTTTGTGGAAAAAAAATCATGACATTGAAACAAATGGAAAAGTTGGAACTAGAGATTTGAAGCAGTCGATATGGAATGTAAACTGATTGTAAAGGTTATTCATTATGTAACTATGTCATTAATTGTGTAATTAAATACAATTTTTATAGGAAATATAAAAAAACTGTAATAACTAGACTTCTAAGGGTTCAATGAACATTTGCTACAGTTTTTTTAGTGGTTTATGTGTTCATGAGGAAGCTCATACCTCTCACTACCTCAACCACATTGCAGTTTGGGTCAATGCCCCCAATGTGTTTAGGAGGTGCAGGGTTGATGCCATCGCCAAAGAGGAGAGCTGTAACAAGACATACTTAAATTTGATCACCATTTTATATTGACACCTAATACATTTCTGATTAATCTTGACTGTGTTTCGCAGAAGCATCTTAGGACAGAGATAATTCTAAAATGGTAGAGCGACCATCACAGTGAACACATGCTCTACCAGTTAAGATGATCTTAGCATTAAGATGTTTTTGGGAAACTGGGTCCTGATGTGTTATAAAAATCCATATGATGTTAAAAAGACAACTATTTATGATCCATATTACGAAAGACAGTGTCACTGATGTGTTATAAAAATCCATATGATGTTAAAAAGACAACTATTTATGATCCATATTACGAAAGACAGTGTCACTGATGTGAAGCACCACACTTGTTAAGCACCAAAATCTACTTGAGTGCTAAAAGTGCCCCCTTGTGGAGAATCTACAGCCTGCTAAATGTGAGTGAGAAAGTGAATGAGTTACAAGCCAGTTCCATGCTTTGCATCTAAAAAGTCAAACGTCAAGACAATATTTTGGAGCTACTTTTACACCTTATATAACGTGAGACTATCTATGTAATATATAATAAGCATTAACTTTGATATAGGGGCACATTTCAAATTTAAGGAGACATACAAGCATTTAAATGAAAAAAATACATTACACTGCCAGGTATATTAGATTTGCTAATCCCATATATTCTCAATTGAAGCAGATTGCAAGATGCTAGCTCTCGCATTTAAAGGCACCTACTATGCTGATTGATGAGCATGCGGAAAGAGATGCGACTGGTGTAGAAGCGATCCAGGAAATACTGCACGTTGCTGCTGATAAAAGGGTCGAACCCAAACTTCTCCTTGTACTCGATCACACCCTGCGCCATGGTGGGAACCACATCATTGTGTCTGTTCCGGATCTGGATAAGAATGTCTAGGAAACTGAATCAAAAGAACAGTGGAAAAAAGCGCATCTCAGGAGAAGAGAATAAAAGGCCTAAGCATCAAGAACATTTTAGGGACTACACTGTAATACATGAACTTATGGACGCACAAGCTCTCTACCAAGACATGCTGTTATATGCACCAAAACAATAAAAAAGGATATTGAAATCTCAATCTTAACAGTAGAAATAAAATACATTTCCTTGTGAACTCGCTTTGGTCACCCACAGTGCATAGTCCTTTAAAAAGTTTTTCTTACATCTTATTTAATTATTTTTCACTTTTTCAATTATTTTTGATTCTAAATTCAATCAATGCCAAGTTTATGCTTGAGATGCTTTATTATCACATGAATTAGATGAAATATGTGTATAATCTAACTTAGTGGAAAGAAAAACTGTTGTTTACATTTTTGCCTTGTTTTTTATTTTCTTTGTTAACAGCGAAACATATGGAAAAGGGTGGAAATGCCAACTCAAACCTGACTATACAGAATGTGAATCATAAATTTAGACTTGTAAGGGTTAACCCAACACAATATTCTGTAGCTTTTTAGTTTAGGTCTCTACTGTGAGACAAAACTCACTCATTGAGGGTGCGAGGATCCTCTGGACTCCGGTTCTCATATTCTAGCAGCTCCTCAAAGCTCTGACTGTACCTGAAACAGCAAATTAACCATAACCCCAAGAGTTCAAAATGACTGCTCTTAGGATATAATACATTTCCACGATACTCTGGATAGTTCATAAAAAAACAGATACTCTCTTGCTGATACACAAAAGACACAGCAATTGTATCTCTTATGAAAAGATCAGATCCTGCCTGATCTTGTGGCCTGGATACATATGGAAGATCATTCTCTTGTAGGTATGTACAAAGCAAAGGCCAAAAATATACTGTATTAGCTTGAAAAGGAAGCATAATCAAGAAGATGAAAACCCCATGAATCCTAGAATTAGCTTCACAAGCATGGCCTGCTATCCATCTTTCTTAAGGATGCAATGCCTAAGGGGAATTAGGGGGATCTATTAGCAGAAATGGAATATAGTATACAAAACCATGTGTTCATTAGTGTATAACCACCTGTAACTACAACTCATGTGTTTTCATTACCTTTGAATGAGCCCTTCAGATCTACATAGGGAGCAGGTCCTCTTCCCATAGAGGCCGCCATGTTGCACTGCCATGTTTCTACCGTAGCCCAGAATGGACAAACCAAACACTGGTTCTAGAGAGTTCCTTTCACGTTTTTACATTGAAGCGGCAGCTTGAATTTGGTGTTGCTATGGTACAGGTTGGAAGATGTAGAAAGAATAAAAATCAGTGGTTGCTGCCGGTGCTGGTCCAAATTTTGACAAAAGGAGGATCATACTCACCGCTAGATGCCACTAAATCTTACACACTGCAACTTTAATTATAGGGAACGTTGTTAAATGTTGCCACTTACCTTTCAAGTTGTGTCTCTTACACCAATGTAGGGCAGCTGAATGCATTTGGAGGATATTTAGAGGATAACTGTCCAATTCTGTGACCTCACACTGTGTTTCCCAATCCAATCCTCAGGAACCCCAGATGGTCAAAACACCCAGCAGGGCTGAACAATTCAGGGAAAATATCTAAGGGTCTAGGCCTATTTTAAGTCAAGAAGACCAGCACATCCTCTTTTTCTGGCAGTACTGTCGTACTGCCAGTTAGTTGTGAATGTGTTGCTATTCTGATTAACTCGTCAACAGACAGTTTACAAGCCCTGTTATTGGGTTACACTTTCCCAAATAAAACTTCAGACAGCATTGATGATAATGTAAAATATAATAAATAAAAATAATAAAAACGGAAGCTCTTGCAATATGAACATTTTTGCTTCATTGAACCTCCAAGCTGAAATTTCGATATAAAAAAAAAATTAATTCATCTTTCAGCCCTAAAACCCAGCTCACAAAGCTTCCAAGCAATCAAAACCACTGAATACCCAGTACTGTCATGCAAAGATCTAGGATAGAGCAAAATTATGGACAATCTGCATTTCTCCAAAAACTGGATTGGGAAACGATGGCCTAACACAGGCTTATTGGCTAGTGTTGCTTTGTATCGACATGGATAACCTAAGCAAGCCCTCACAATTAATAAGATCATGGTCACTTGTGTTCTCGTGGACCCCTGGCCATGGATGGCTCTGGCTTTGCTGGAAATCCAACTTGGGTTCCAGCGTTAGCTGAGCAGACCCTTCAAAGTTTTATAATTGCTTCTGTACTCACCACTGTGCTCACACTCATCACCACCCCCGCCCTCACTGAGCCCCGCCCCCTCACCAGCTCTGGACCAACTGGACAGATGGCTGACTTAGCAGGTTGCCAGGCAACAGAGTGACTTCTCTCATAGTATTGGCCAATCGAACTGCCAGTTCTTTCCTCAGGAACATGTAGGCCGTCTTCTCACATGCATTTTCTCTACCTAGACAAGCGAGAGAATGTAGAAGTAATACTTCACTGAAGTGTCACTTCATTGTGAGTGAGTTAATATATGCCTATGTGTGAATGTGTGAATGTGTGCTTGCTTTATGCTTTACTGCTGCACCTCTGCTTCCCCTCAAAGGTCAGGGGCAGAAGGCCTTGCCAAGAAAGCGCACCATGTGATGAAGGTTGATATCAGCAAATACTTTACTATGTTTAGTTGATTGATTTACCAAGATTACTTGAAGAGGGGACATAAAAGATAGTGTGTCAAAAAACACAACACAGGTTTTGTCTTTACTTTCAATTCATATTCAGTCATATTCATAACTGCAACTCAGTAACAACTTAGACAGAGTTGATTATGAACTAGAAATATAAAATGTAAACTGATTTACTTTAAACACAATTTGAAGCATTTTGAGAAGAAGTCCTCTATGTGAATCAGATCTGTTAGAACAGAAAAACAGAAACCACACAGAGCAGCATGTCACCACAAATCAAGCTGGAAACTCTCCAAAGTGTGAATTTTTATGTTATGTAATTTTAATAGCCTACAGTCATGAAAAAGATTCTTCAAAGGTTATTTAGTAAGGACAATGGTTCTTTGTAGAACCATGACCACTCCAAGAAACATTTGCATGATAAAATGAAAATGCCTGGCGAAACGGTTCTTCAGATCGATGGAGAAGGTGTGGAATATGGTTCTATATAACTGAAGAATTTAATTATGCAAATGGCTCTTTGAGTGTTTGTGGTTCTATATTGAACCACAGTCTTTACTAAAGAACCCTTGAAGTACCACGTTTTGTGTGTATCATGAAGTTTTACAGGTGCAACTTAAGCTGGGACCTGTAGATTTCTTTAGTATTCTTTAGTTTCTTTTGTTTTTTCTGCCTTTGGTACACTGAAGAGTTTTAACTTGTGCCTCTGCTGCACTATAGTTCAGTGTTTAAAGTATTAATATCGTTATATGATTCCATTCTGCTTCTATATTGTTGGCAAGTTCCAGGCAGCTGTTCAGTCACTCCAACCCCACACTGAGCCCTTTCACTGTCTATTCAGTGCTCCAATAAACACTTTTACCTGCAAGACCGGAAGACTCAGACAAACATGTTTAGTTTGTGCAGCAGTGTGCAGCTCAGTGTCCTTAAAGGGAAATGCCACCCATTTTTCCAAACTTCTCAATATTTCAGTCCTTGAGATGTAAATAAAGTCTTTCAGGGTGGTTTGATGTGAAATGGTTCATTGTAGAGAAACTTCTGATCTGATTTCTCTACAGTGGTGGTGAACCAAGGGTCGCCATGTCTACAACACAAATATAGCAATTTTATTTACTACCTAAAACCACCAGTGAACCTACGCATGTCTTCTGAGTTTTTATATGTAATGCTGATGATGGTAAAATAGTCATAAATCTGTGTTCTTTGGGTACTGTTTTGCCTTACAACACCCTGTATGTACCCCTCCGCCATGAATGGATTCAAATGAATCAAAATACTTTTGTAGCCAAAACATTATCACAAAAAAATGTCTGAGGTAGCATATTTATAACAATGTCACGTAATAACTTTTTTGAAGGAAGTTTTAGAGGTGGACGTCTGGTTCCTATCACCACCACTGTGAACAATTTTGACTCAGTAAGCTTCTCCAGAACGGAGCATTTCACACCAAACCACTGGGAATGACTTTGTTTACATCATTGTTTTAAAATTTTGAAAAAGCCGTGGTGTTCCCCTTAAACGTTCACTTCGTTGCCTCGCCCTCAGCGCCTGACATGTTCCGACCTGCTGAACTCCGCTCTGCTCAGTAAGAAAATAAGCCTGAATTCCGCTCTCAGAGTATGCAGACTAGTGAACGGACTCGAAGGATTCACTCTAAAGACTCCTCTGGTCAACACTAACTGTCCACTGTGTCTTTAAAACCGCGTTTCTTAATCCTAGCAGTCTTTCTGCCTCTACAGCGGCTCGCAGCGTGTCTGTGGGTCATAAGTTGCCTGAGGCAAACTTCTGAACACACTACTCACCGAAATCCAGAAACTGTTTGATGGACATCGGCGAGGGCGAGAACCTGGAGTAGTACTCTATTTTGGGTGTGATATCTTTCAGCAGGAGGTTTAACAACTTCATGATTACGAAACACAGCCGAGGTAACAACTCGCTGTTGACACCCAGAAGTGCGGCTTTCACCGAGCGACCCGTCCGTTCATTCGCGGTCCGTAGGAAAAGCAAGAGATCCCAGCTTTGTGTCCATTTCGTCGCCTCTTCTCAGCAGAGTTACTTTATTACATTTAATCTCACGAGCTCGTCTGAGCCTCCGCGCGTGACATGACAGTGTGTTTATGGAGTGTCGCTGTGGGCCAGCAGGGGGCGCGCTTCCCCAAACACAGACAACATCAACCGTCAGCACACACAACAGCCTCTAATCCAACATAGACCCCATCATACAGCTATCACACAGCTATAATAATCATATGAAATTATACTGAAACTATAGAGATAATTCTACTGCAGCTATAAGAAATATATGAAACTCCACTATAGAGTTATATGGAGCTACACTATAGAACACACCCATCAGCCATAACGTTAAAACCACCTCCTTGTATCTACACTCATTGTCCATTTTAACAGCTCCACTTACCACACAGGAGCACCTCGTAATTCTACAATTACAGACTGTAGTCCATCTGTTTCTCTGCATACTTTGTTAGCCCCCTTTTACCCTGTTCTTCAGTGGTCAGGACCCCCATGGACCCTCACAGAGCGGGTACTATTTGGCTGCAGTGACAGTGATGCTGGTCTGAGTGGATCAGACACAGCAGTGCTGCTGGAGTTTTTAAACATCTCAGTGTCACTGCTGGACTGAGAAAAGTCCACCAACCAAAAATATCCAGCCAAAAGCATCCTGTGACCACTGATGAAGGACTAGAGAATGACCAACACAAACTGTGCAGCAACAGATGAGCTACTGTCTCTGAATCTACAAGGTGGATTGACAAGGTAGGAGTGTCTAATAGAGTGGACAGTGAGTGGACAAAGTATTTAAAAACTCCAGCAGCACTGCTGTGTCTGATCCACTTAGACCAGCGCCTGAGGAAGATCCACCACCCAAATAATACCTGCTCTGTACTGGTCTTGTGGGGGTCCTGACCATTGAAGAACAGGGTAAAAGGGGGCTAACAAAGTATGCAGAGAAACAGATGGACTACGGTCTGTAACTGTAGAACTACAAAGTGCATCTATATAGTAAGTGGAGCTGATAAAATGGACAATAAGCGTAGAAACAAGGAGGTGGTCATAATGTTATGCCTGATCGGTCTATATATATATATATATATATATGTGTGTGTGTGTGTGTGTGTATTATATATATATATATATATATATGTATATATATGTATATATATATATATATATATATATATATATATATATATGAGCTAGATCATATATTACTATATGACTGTTATATTTGACAATTTGAAAGTACCTTGAAGTCACATTGATATTACTATTTATTGCTAATGTTTTAGCTTATAAAGTGAATATTTTCAGTACCTCTCTTGGTGATGAATAAAATAATCAACACCAATAGATGTATTTCATAATGCTTCCCATAATCGTGAACTAGGTGTGGCCTATGAATTTTGAAACTGTTGATAAAGTACTAATATTCTTGATAATCTCTTAGGCAAAGTCTAACTATGTATTTCCTCAATTAGATCTCTTTTAAGCCATCTTAAAATGGAAATAGTCCCTCCTAGGTCTTAGTCATGCCCTACATGGCTTTATGACACAATATGTTTATGACTCTTGGCAGATACAGGGAGTTCACTATTATAATTAGATGTTACTGACTTATGAACTAGGTTGGGAGTGGTTCTCTTACGAAGCATGTTTGTAGCTATATGTAGATCATTGATCACTCAGCAGTGCATTTGGTGCTCTACATCTGACACACGTATATCTGACTTGTGTTAATTAAGAATGACACAGCTGCAGTGCCTTTACAGTGCAGGAAATGGAATTTAAGTAGATGGGTGTTCAAATAAAAAGCAAACAGCAAAAATAGAAACTAGTTAATATATATTTTTAGAAACAGTGACATCTTTATACACAAAAGTTTATTATAGTTTATTTATATGAGAGAACAGTGTTGTAGGGTTGTTGACAAAGTACTTGGGAGACTATAGCTCAGTTCATTTATGCCTGTATGGGGTTATTGCCTATCCAAAATTTTAAAGAGGGACAATGGAACTGTTAAAAAAAACACAAACAACCAAACACAAAACACCATGTAACCATGCTGTAAAAAGTGGAGCAGGGCAGTAGTTGATGAAGGTTTGAATTGATGTAAAATATTGCTTTTGTTTACCTAAACTAAAATGTGGCTTAGATTAAAATCTATCTTAAATTAAAATTCAGCTGAGTATGCCAAAATTCTTCTCCTCACCTGACCCCACCAGACCTCTTATCCCCAGCCTAAAAGCAATGGAGCACCCTCTTAACCTCACAACATAAGTGCTAACTTGCCATTGCATGCATGTTTACACACACAAGGGGCAAAAAAGGCAGCAATAACACACTGTAATACTTTAGTAGTAGGACCACAATGGTAGAATAGTTCAATTCAGATGTATGAATAATGTTGGAGGTCTTTCTTTCTTCTTGCACCCAGAGACCTGTGTGCTTTTGTGATACTGTATACTTGGTGTATATGCTTTATAATGACAAGCTGAAATGAACTGAAAATGAATACTGGAAGGTTAGAGGTAGAGATTCACAATGATATCGGAAACATATCAGTATCGGTAGATGATTGCTTAAAAATATCAGTATCAGACAGATCTGACTGATATTTCAAATTGATATCTAATGACGTATTTAGTGGAAGACCAGAACATTTAGTTGTTGCTAGGCTACTGTGCTAAAATATCTGCATTTTATTCATTTTACTGCATTTTGTAGCCCAACAGGGTTACCATCAAGGTGATTCTAGTCCCAATTTCTACATATTATATGTTTTTTTGTAGCAGCATTAGCATTGACAGATACGTACACAATAAAAATATATCGGATATCAGCCACAATTTCCATATCGGTGTGTCCCTAGCAGGGTTGGGCAGAATACTTTGAAAAAGTAGTGATGAATGGCTGAATACTGAATACACCATCTTAAATGTATTCAGGTATGTATTCCATTACAGTACATAAAAAGTAATGTATTCATACATTTAGAATAAATATTGTTAAAGCATATGGGAAAACTCTGCTGTAAGTAAGTTTGAATTATTCGCTGTTACCGGTTTCAGTCCTTTCATGTAATTCTTCTCTTCATGATTCATGAAAAATTCACTCATTTAAATGAAGTTACAAAATTCTCAACATTATTTTGGCTCTCACTGCCTGCTTTAGTCCACTGCCTGCTAATTCCACTGCCCTCTCATGAACTAAGCAAACAATTTGCTGCATCCCAATAACAAAATCTTGTGAATTTGACTATAAAGTGGGAAACCATGTAATTTTCAGTTAATGAAATTATGTAACTTGCCATGAAACTCACGCAAGAGTTCAGTACAACACTGATGCTAAGCTTGTCACTCATGAACATGTCCACTACTCAGGAAACTGTTCAGTTTAATCCTAATAACTGATCATCACATTGGTTTATCAGTCTACTCAGGCTTTAAAAGAGCTCTGTAATGCTGAGATTAATAGCTAATCATCACATTGTTTTTCAGTCTACTCAGGCTTTAAAAGAGCTCTGTAATGCTGAGATTAATAGCTGATCATTACATTGTTTTTCAGTCTACTCAGGCTTTAAAAGAGCTCTGTAATGCTGAGATTAATAGCTGATCATCACATTGTTTTTCAGTCTACTCAGGCTTTTTTTTTAATTTAATGGGTAGTGTTCTCATAAAAATGTAAAGGGTAAGTGTATTCTGAATACTGCCTTTACAAAATATAACTTGGACTGAATACCGATATTAAACTTCAGAATATGTATGCCCAATAATTCTGTTATGTCTCAACCCTGATCCCTGGTTGGAAATTAAGGCCTGGAAGGCAAGCAATAAAGTGAAGTGATCATTCTATAAGAAAAGTTATTTCCTGAACTAGTGAACATATAAAAAAGTGAGGCACATATGCACTTAAGACTTGTGCTTAAACTTATAGCACTGCTATAAGAAATATTGATACACTATAACACTTTTTCAACAAAGCATTTTAAAAAGGCATTGATACATTTCATAAATAGATCTCTCTCTCTCTTTCTCTCTCTCTCTCTCTCTCTATCAGGCTGTGTGCTCCTCCACTGAGTTAGGGCACAGGCTGATCTTAACGTTCATCTCGTTGTCGTTCTCACGCGGGTCCAGGTTGACCGGCTCATACATGCGTCGGTACAGCATCCGGGTCACCAGCGTGATGACGAACAGCTCCACAATCATTAGCTGCTGACTAAACGCTACAGAGAGACAGAGATTATAGTATTAGACTCTGTGCCGAGCTGAGTTCATTCATTGCAGTCTGCACATAATACTACGGTGTTCATTTTAGAGCATTCTGTACAGAATCACATTAAAAGTAATCTAACACTAGTTAAATTGCTGGTGTTAATCAGAGTGTAAACTACTTAACACAGTGAAAGAGATGTTTAATAGAAACAGCATGTGCCTACAGAGCACTCAGTCGTTAGCTGAAATACCAACCATTGCACTATAAAATGATTTATCCAAAGTTATCAAAATTGATGGCGCTTCTTTTGTTTGTTTTTTATTTTAGAGAAGGGTTTCTCAACCACAGTGGTCCTCTGGCCTATACTTAGGGGTTGGGGGGGTGGCATGAGCACTTAGAGGGCTGGTGATGGCACTTTGTCATAAAATTAGTAAAAATATATAATTATACATAAAATATATATTATAATAAAAATGGCTTTTCAGTTCAACCTAAAAATACTTCATGTGGTAACAAATAAATAAACTAGTTTTATTCAGCCTAAATAACTACTTTGAATGAAGGATTCTTTCAGCCAAAGTAATTTTTGAGTTGATTAAAACTATTTTTAGGTTGAACTGACAAGCCATTTATTACAGCAGAAGCAAGAGAGAGAGAGAAAGAGAAAGAGACACTCACTAGATCCTCGGGCAACGGAGGAGAAGGGTGGTGAGCAGGCAATGACGCCATTAACGGCCAGGATATTGATAATGGCTGCCTGTAACTGGCTCAGAACAAAGACCAGCTAAAAACATACAGAAACAAAGTTCAGATAGTCTGTTCACACCAGGGACTTGTCATTAAGGGGGAACTCCTCCAGTATTTTTAAAATTTCAGCACAATTAATTGGTTAAGATGTAAATGAAGTCATTCAGAGTGGTTTGGTGTGATCTGTTCTAGAGAAACTTAATGAGTCAGATTTGTTCACTGTGGTGGTGATAGAAACCAGACATCTAATAATATTATTAATCTGAATGAGAAAACAAAGGCAGACTGACCCCACCCGTGTGTTGTCAGCAGGCAGTCTGCACTGACACTGACCTGATACATGGCATACTTGGGCATGATCTTGACGGTGCGCAGTGTGTTGCGTACATGCATGAACATGATTCCTATAGGCCACAAGCCAATGATTGTCAGCACTCCTACAAATAAGTTTATCCAAAGTGCAACTCCATATATACTCAGCTGTGAATGAATAAACACAGAAGGAAAACATTGAAATAACATTTATGGAGGACCAACACTCATTTATTCCTACACTAGCTTTCCTGTAAAACCTGCTATTTATCATATTCCCTGCATTTTCCTGGGATGGACACTGAGAAATGCAATGGAGTGAACGCTTGTATGCCTTGTTCAAAAATCAGATGTTCTGTAATGATTTCATTTCCAGTAAGCATTGAAGTCAATGTGAATTGAAATCATAACACATTTTCCTTCAGCACCATGACGTAAAACATGGCATCATGTCAGGTCTCTGAGCTAGCTAAGCATTTTCTCCTGATGATAGATGGGGTTGCTGGGAGGAGGAGGTCAAACATGATATTATTGGTTAATATTATTTTTTCCCAGAAAACTTTTTCTGGTATTTGACATTAAGAATTACACTTTATAGATTAAGATAAAACTTTATTTTCAGGAACACATGTTGGGGCTTTATTAAGGTCTTGTTATTCATCCATAAAGCCCAAAATAGACACCTCTAAATGATTCATTCAGTATGCTTCATTCATAATGGCCTGTATTACTGTATTACTTTTGGCAGATGTGCCAAAATGATAAATAAATAAATCAAAAGGAAAATCAATAAAAAAATGAGTAACAGAAAAGTAAAAAGAAATAAATGCATTTGGGACATAAAACCATAAAAAAATAAATACATGTTTTATTTATTTATGCATTTATGTATTTCTACATTTATTTATTTATGTATTTATGTATGTATTTATTTATTTACTTTTTTATTTATAGATTTTAAATTTATAATTTAAAATGTATCATTTCTTGGATTTTACATTCATTCTGTTGACCTGCTATTTAGTAGTGTCTGGTCCACACTGCAAGCTAACCTCAACCAGTAGTTTGGTAGAATTAGGTTAGTGTTGCCCACATCTTTAGCACAGACTAGAGAAAGAAATACAGAAACAAATAAATACAGAAATTTAAAAATCTGAAATGAATAAAATATAAATGAATGTCAGCATTTCTGCTTATATGTATTTACTTATTCATTTATTTATGCATTTCTAACCTACTTTTATCTTTAGGTTACTTATTTTATAATTTTTAAATTATGGTTTTTATGTCTAACATTTATTTATTTATTCATTTAATTTCTTTCTTTTTTTATTTATACATATTCTGATTAATGTATGTATTTATTTATTATTTTGTCATGTTTTGTCCCCCAAATAACTGGAGGTCTGTTGTATGAAAATCAGTAATGAATGTCTTATTGGTGTATAATTGGCAGTATTTTGTTCCAACAAGTTCTAGGTAGCATCAAGTGACTTCCGGGCTTTATTGCTTTAGAGATAATAAGAGTTCAATAAGCCACTAATACTTAAAGGTGTGTCCCATATGAAGTGTGTAGAGTGTTAGTTATCAATAAATAGAGCCTAAAAAGATTTAAACAAGGTTTTAATAAGTGAGTTTGCATCATAAAGTCAGCACCTTTTCGTGCTATTTTTATTCCAAAAAGCACTGAAAACTCTTCCATACAAGAGTACAGTTTACCCACATTTGGTTATGTAAGTGGGTTAAGTAGCTTGTACTTTGGCTACCAAAAAGCAATGACATCAGCACAAAACAGCTTCTGAATACGGGATGCAAATTTACTTATTGACAATGTGTCTATTTGTGCTTTAACCTCTAATTAATGGAATATGGAGCACATCTTGAAGTATTAGTGACTTATTAGCTTGTATTAGTTCAAATGCACTAAACTCCAAACTCACTTGATCCTACCAGGAGCCTATAGAGATAGAATGTAGCCAAATATTACTAAAAAGATGTAAATAGAGATGATTACATGCTCAATAATTTGCTCAACAAGATCTTTATCACATGTTTATGGGGCAGTTATGAGTGATTTTCGAATTATGTACTAATACAGTTCATAATGAGCTTAGAGTACAGTGATTAAATCGTTTAGAATTATCTTATTTGGGTTAAAAATAACAAGACCTTAATAAATCCCCAGAATGTGTTCCTGACAATAAAGAGTTACTAAGAACATGCTGTTAATAAGTTATAAGTTCATTATTCATTCTGTGTATATTACTTAACTGTTCACTAAGCATCAGTTCTTACTTGGTAACTGATTAAGTAGTTAGTAATTACTATTGGAGTAGTTTAGTAAAGGATAATTTAGCTTGTCATTGGTTTAGAGCTGAGTTGATCATTAACTGTGTACATTTTAGAGGCAGTGAAATACTTTGATAGAAAACAAGAGTTTTGTGTTTTAAATGACACGATATGATGCACCATAACTAACAAGACCAGGGACATGAAGTAACAAAGCAAAATATGTTTCACACAGTGATTAAATTAAGTCAGAATCTACCTGTGTTATTGTTAGCCTACACACTCCAAAAGAGAACTTTACTGTTTGGTCAAGAGCCTCTTGTGTGTGTGTGTGTGTGTGTGTGTGCAGCATAAGAAGCTCACGTACAGTTGAAATATCAAAGATTCCATTGGCCCATAATGCAATACAGAAGATGGAGAACACGGTCCTCAGAATGGCGTACTGCAGAGACCCCAGCTTTAGCAGGAACAGCAAGCGCCTGAAGATGATATTAGTGATACATTAGTGTCTTATGTCTCACGGCCTAGGAGTACATGCTTTAACAATAACGTTAAATGTACTGTATCATGGAAAACATAATTTTCCTGACTTTTTTTAAACTAGTCTGATGTATGTAAACATTGCAAAGGTTTCAAAATGTACCTTTCACGCCCCACTACATACAGTCCATATATGAAGCTGCTGGTTTTGTGATGTCATGAAAAACCAGTGGACTTACATAAATGTATAACATTAAAACTTCTTGTTTCTACAGTCTTTGTTGATCTTTTCAGCTCCACTAATTGTTCTTTTATCACTTTGAAGTTCTACAATTACAGACTGTAGTTCATCTGTTTCTCTTCATACTTTGTTAGCCCCCCTTTAACCCTGTTCTTCAATGTTCAGGACCCCCACAGGACCACCACAGAGCAGGTATTATTTGGGTGGTGGATCATTCTCAGCACTGCAGTAACACTGACATGGTGGTGTGTTAGTGTGTGTTGCGCTGGTAAGAGTGGATCAGACACAGCAGGGCTGCTGGAGTTTTTAAACACCTCAGTGTCACTGCTGGACTGAGAAAAGTCCACCAACCAAAAATATCCAGCGGCCTGTCAGCGGGGTCCTGTGACCACTGATGAAGGACTAGAGGATGACCAACACAAACTGTGCAGCAAAAGATGAGTTACTGTCTCTGACTTTACATCTACAAGGTGGACCAACAAGGTAGGAGTGTCTAAGAGAGTGGACAGTAAGTGGACACAGTGTTTAATACCTGCTCTTACTATGTGAAGAAGTAAATGTACCCCATGAAATGTTTCTTTTGTTTTGTTTTGTTTTTTTGTTGTTTTTTTTACTTATGCAGACATTGTTTACCAGTTTCTGACATCTACTGGGAGAATTTTTTGCTCAGTCCTCCATGTACAATTCTTTTAACCGTGCAATGTTTGAGGGGTTTCTTGCATCTACAGCCTGTTTCAAATCGTCCCACAGCATTTCCACAGGATTCAGATCTTGTCTTTGACTAGACCTTTTCACAGCTCTTCATTTTTTCCATTTGAGCCATTCCTTGGCAGATTTACTTGTACGTTTGGGATCATTATCCTGTTGGAAGGTCCACCTCTTTAGATTCAAGATTTTGACAGATGGACACACATTCTCCTCAAGCACTCTCTGGTTCGTGAATCTTAGTTGATTCCATGCTTTACAGTAGATATGAGGCTCTTCTGATCAAATGCTTTCTTTGGTTTTTGCCAAACGTGGCTTCTGGTGCTGTGGCCAAACAACTCTATTTTTGATTTGTCTGTCCAGACCACATTGTTCCAGGAGTCCTGGTCCTTGCCTAGACATTCAGTAGCAAACCTTAGTCTTGGCCTGGCGTTCTTTTGGACAGCATGACCCATGTGGGTCAAATTTGTGCAATCTTTTTCTAATGATAGATGCAAGCACTTTGACGTCAACAGTAGCAAGAGCTTCCTGTAGATTTAGGCTTCTTAGAGACTTCTTTTAGCATCTTACTCTCAGGCTAAATTTAGTGAGGTGGCCTACCAGTGGCCCAGAGTTGGCAGTGGTTTTAAGTCTTCTCCACTTGGGGATGATCTTCCAGACAGTGGAATGATTGATTTCCAATATTTTTCAAATCTTCTTAAACTCTATCCCAGACTCATTGGTATGTACAAGTTGCTTTCTGAAAGCCTTAGAGAACTCTTTTGATCTAGGCTTGATAATACCACACACTCCAATAACAAAGAGCAAACCAGACCAGATATCTGAGGTTTAAATAAGACACATTCCTCCAAGATATTCAAGGTATACGCACCTGATTTCAATCTGACACATTTGAAGTAGTGATATATGTAGTGATGTACTTACATTTCCACATAAGAAAAAGTGTCACTTGTTAAATTATATCACCTTTATCTATCAGCACTGTTTAAATAAAGACCTGTATGTCCAAATATGTAGAAAAAGTCTAAACCTTTGTCTGAACTATCTTTTCATGGGTTGTTCTTACTTCTTCACGACTGTATGTATAATGATAATGGTAAAATAGTGCCAAATAAGTTTCCTTTTAAGGACTATTTTGCCTTACAATGCCTTGCGTGCTTGTCTCTGACAAAAAGAGTTTTTAAATATACACTTTAGGCCAAAACTGTATCGAAATAACTACTGTGAACCAAAGTCTTGGGGGCCATTCAGAACATTCATTAACCATAATCCTTTCACCACCAGCACTGTGAACAATTCTGCCTCTACAGGCTTCTCTAGAATGGAGCATGATCTTAATGCAGAATGTTATGCAGAAATGTAAAATCTGTAGAATAAGGCTACTGTAACTAACTAGGCTTACTCATTGACTGTTTTCAAGTTATGCTAAAGCCTCAGCCTTAAGGCTCTCAAGGATACTATATCACTATCACTGTCCCAAAAAAAAAACATTTTTTTTTTTATTTTTATTCTTCTACTTAATTTGAACACAGCAGCTGTCCTTTACACTGTGTTAAATACTCCAAAATGCCTAAAATACAATCTCTTCATATTAACTTACATTAAAGGTGCAGTGTGTAAGATTTAAAGGGATCTAGGTGCAGAAATGGTATATAGTACACACAACTATGTTTTCATTAAAAAGCTTAGAATGAGTTTTCATATCTACATAGGGAGAATAATCCTTTGTCTATAAATCCCACCATAGTGCATATTTATTGGTAGCTCAGTACATAAAACTTCAGGTAGGATATTTTGATAGTTTAAATTTCCTTACCGAAAATACTACAAGTATTAAAAATGTGAGGCATCTGGTTCAAATATTCCTGTTTCACCTTACACCTGGTGCAGCAGTTATAAACTGCAGGATCATTTAAGGTGGAATGGGAAAATTCAAACAAGAAGCTGGCAAATGTACTTATTAGAAAATGTTACCAGCATTGAAAGAACAGGATGGTTTGATCGCCTAAATCAGCTTATCAGGTGGACGTAGTGATATTATGTTGAGTCTGTACTGAATTAGCATCAGAAACACATTAAAACACTGAGTTACTAAGCTGTACTAATGAAATGTGCATGCTTGGCAGGATGAATTTTGTGTTATGAGATGTTTGAGAATCCAAATTTTGACAAGTAGAGGATCTTACTTATTATTTAGCACAAGAAAAAGCAAGGGAGGCTGAAGCCTCACTGCCAAAGAAGCAAAAACATGACATGACAGCCAGCCAGCATAGATTTTAGAAAAGGGAGGGTTGAGTTGGTTGCAATCTGCAACCTTATCACAAGAGGTTACACACTGCTTCTAGATAAAGAATGTTGTTGCCCACTCCTGTAAAGTTACCCTTTTGGAGATACTTGCTTTTCTGTTTTTGGACAGCGATGATATTTAAAGAGGCGTGTCACTGTGTCATTGAAAATCTAAATTATTTTTTGGGTTCCATGATTTGTTTTAGTTAAATAATTAAAAGAATATATGTTCATTGGTATCAAAATGTAATTTAAAAAAAGCTTTTGACCTGTGTGCACACAGTTGCTGAACACAGGTCTATGCTGGCACCAGAGTGGGTTTACCGTGTAATAGGCACTGGGGGCAGACAGGGGCAACAGCAGCAGCAGGGTCCCGTGCTAACCTTGATCGTCTTCTTCTCAGAGAACCTCAGGAAGGCCTCTTCGCCCCCACACTCCTCGAACAAGAGGATTAGAAACTTGTAGATTACGATAGCAAAGTATCTACAGAGAGAGAGGGCAAGAGAGAGAGAGAGAGAGAGGACAGGATATTACACACATCATTCTGCACACACACACACACACACAGTGATCTGGTGTAATATTTAATAGAGATTCTGTTATACTGTCCTTGGTCATTACTTATTACATGTTATAGGTCAGTGACCTCCTTCTCTTGACATTCTAAAGATTCTAAATAATTTCTTACGAGTTAGAAGTCATATCTGTGAACATAGTGGCTTTCGGGATCCACAGTCCAAGGCAACACATGGTAGAAATGACCTGCAAGAGGCAGGAACACCAGCGTCAGCATGTCAAACAGAATATCAAATTAAACATAGATCCAAGTGTCTTGGTTTCTATTGTACATATGTTCAGTAATTTGTGTATTTGGATAAAATATAACTTTCAGGTTTCGCTGTTCTGGCTCTGCCAGTCTAGTCATGCCATGGCAGGCATGGCAAATATACAGAGGGGTCGAGTAGTCTAAATATCTGGGATTTTTGTATTTATTTAAACTTAAAAATAGACAACATACAGTTTTTTTAAAAAATAAAATAAGGAAGAAATATTAACCATATCCATCCCTGGTGGAGAGGTACAAACTTGTGGGGTCTGTGCCAGCTTGATCACTGTCATTAAAGCAAAAGTACCAACTACTCAGAAATTCAGGTAAATATTTTAAAGATTCTACTTTTCACTCAAATTGTTATGTTGATAACATTATTTGCAATGAAAAAAAAGGTATTAAATTAGAAAAGATTGCATTTTCACCACTGGTCTCTGACTTTTGGACCCCACTGTATGATATCACAATACTAGAGGAAATTTTCACAATACATGATGTCTATTGCAGTTTCATTTGGTTTAATACGATAGAACAGACACAGTGCACCAGTACAGCTACATTTAAAAACTTTCACATACTGCACAGCACTATATTCAGCTAAGCAAGGTCAATTTTGTTCTCTTGGGTTTGTGGCATCATCAGCATTCAGAAACAATTTCACAACAATTTTGTGAAACCTTAAAGATAAAGGTGCCACAAAGGTTCTTTAAGTGATGCTATAGAAGAAGCACAATTGTTTCCCAAAAGAACCAGATGGGTGAGTGTGAAGAACCTTGTAAAGGTTTTAAAAGCCTTCTCATGATGTAAAGGTCCTTTACCAATTCAACCCCTTGAACAGCCAGGGTCCACGGGTGGGCCCAAAGTATAGAACACCTCAGCCAGTTTGCATTAAAGTCCCTGTAGTTACTGAATAATAAGCCTTAGTATATGATAAGCCTCTGATTTTAATGGGTTAAGGATTCTTCCTAGAACATTTACATTATTTGGAGGTTCTTCAGACTTTAAAGAGGTTCTTCACACTCATACATCTCATTTTCAAAAATGCTTCTCTAAAAAAGAACTTTCACATAATGTAAGTGTTCTAGGAAAAACCCTTAAATTGGTAAAGAACCTTTACATTATGGTCGCCATGGCATTTATATGAGGATTATGTACAAGGTTGGTGTGTGAACTCTTACTGGTGCAGCTCCAATGATCCATATGATGTTGGTCTTCTTTGGGTAGGGCACTTTTTTGTAGATGTACACACACATCTCTAAATACACTATAATCGACACCAAGGTCATGAATGTGAGGATGGTGTACAGAGCAATCCCGAACAAACTTAAGTCTGAGAGAGAGGGAGAGCGAGAGAGAGAGAGAGAGAGAGAGAGAGAGAGAGAGAGAGAGAGAGAGAGAGAATTGTTCATTATTTTATTCATACCCTGTCAACTTAAATTAGTTGACTTTACTTGAAAAAAATCATGCAAACCTATTGCCACATTTTCAGTGATTCAGACAGTCCAGTCATTTTAAATAGTTTCTACTGATCTGGCAGTACTTTACTTTTTCAAGTTCTGCTTCCTCTTGAATTAGTTTGGTTAACTTGAACCAAATACTTTTCTTTGTGTACATATTGACATCAATTAAAACAGGTCCATGCTATTAAATGGACTGATTTGTACAGTAAGGAATAAATGGTTTAGATCAGACTAGAATCAGTCATTTGTGAAAACTTTATTAGCATATTTGCTATTCTGTTAGCACTCATGGCTCCAGACTGAACTCGAAACACACCATCATGGTGAGAATAACACAAACATATGAAATGCATTTAGACTTCGCATTAAACATAAGAGTGCGCTGAAATACAAAAATAACAGTTTGCAAAGAGAATTATATTCAGAAATTAGAAAAATAAGAGTGAATTAACAGAAACCAACAAAACTGCTAAGAATGCTAGGAGGCTTTTTGGGCACAAGACTCTTCAGTGTGGAGGACATATCCAAATTAACTGATAAGACAAGAAATAGTAAGTGTTACTAGATTTGTATTATTTTTGACTAATAAGTGAATCCAAAAGAAATATAATTATGTTTTACAGTATACAGTGTTCTACTTAAGAGGCAAGATCTTCCTCAACTTCAGCTCACAAACTGCACAGTTCAGTCCTCCTGAACATTCACACAGTGTGTCAGTTGCCGAGCTTTACCACACCAGAGAAAACATCACCCAGGCCTGCATGCCAGACTTTAATAATGCTCAGTATGAAAGTTAATTGAGTGAAAAATTGCAGCAAGCAACACAAATATATCACACAAATAAAACAAGACCAGATAACAAAATAACGCTCAAGTTACAGGCATCTGAGGAAAAATAAACTCTACAATAAACTGTCAGTGATTGGAGGAATGTTTATTAGTTTCACAACCTGCTCACACAAATCCAGCTGTGAGATCAGTTACACTGAAAATTGTAGTGTTATTTCAACACTTAGAGTTCATTTACGCTACTTTTTAACACATTCTATGAATTTAGTTCAGATTGCAGTCCCACAGTAAATACTAAAAGCTATTTTAAAAAAAACTGTGAGGTATTTACACCAATGTCACTAATTGAGATATAAAAATATATGATTTGTATATATATAATATACATATATAAATATATACAAATCATCATTTATAGGGTACCTTCCATTGGGCTGTCCCAAAACTCCTAAATTTAACTTGTGAAAATAGTGCTTATTAGTACTTGTTTTTTAATGCTGTTTTTAAAAAGTTCTTTTGATTTCTTTTTTTAAATAATTTCAAAAATGGCTTTAGTCCATAGGCGGAGCCTTATTTTAGCCACACCCCTGCATTTTAGAGCAGGAGGTGAGACTGCATCTTTGTTCCTCATGGCCACATGGTGAGCAGTTATATCCCATTGTATTGAAGTAAATGTGTCCCACAGTCTAAAAATCAGTGTGTAACATTAAGAATTGTCACTACTGAAACATGTTTTCTGCAATTAAGTAAACTTTTTTCCTTTATTTTATATATGTATAACTGTTCAAAGCTGTGTTTGCTAGTCACGTAAGTTCTGCCAAAAATTACATCATGCTCAAAATTAAAATGGTCACTATCGAAACAGTCACTAGCAAACCACTTGGGAAAGTTCCAGAGGCGTTATTATTGTATTGGTAGTGACAAAATGGAATATTCATTTGCTTTAATAAAATAAGCATAATTAAAGTACAGAGTCACTCAAAGCAAAAGGATTTTAGGATTTTAGTCCAAGTCAGTTAAAACTACAGAACATGTTTTGAGCTCTGCCTTTGAGCCAATTCAGTAGAAGAAGCTATACAGTGCCACTCCACAGAGTGTAAAAAGTACACTGATCTGTGATCAAATCTACATTTAACAGTGTTGAAGTTTAAGACTGTTTTGAATGTACACTCATTTCTCAGTGTGTTCAAGAGGCACGACCAAAAACATTGCTGACAGACAAACTTGCACAGCAAGGAACACTTAATCTTGCTGGCTGGATCAAGGATCAGCCCCTTAGCTTTGACCCAGCAGGAGGTCACTATAACCTAAAAGCTTCTTTTGAACGGTGGATAGATGACCGCCCAAAAATGCAAACAACATTGCGCACAAGCCAATGAGAAGCCCTGAGTGCCACAATATAGTAGCGATCAATCAGTTCCAAGATGGATGATCACTCTTAGGAGATCCTGGAGTATTACATGTGCTTATGAAGACTGCTAAAGTTAGACGACAACATAAAACACAGCCACAGTGGGGATAATAAAACGGTAATTACTGTAATAAAAAGTAACAAACACTACAACAAAAAAAGAAAGAAAAGCTAATTAACAGACACTAACAAAACTGAAAGGAATCTGCATTCAGTGCTACAGTGTGGTCGACTTCTACCTTCACCTTCAAGTTTAATCAGCTCCTTGTAAGAGTGATGTGTTTACACTCCGTAAAATACCACTCTCTGTGTTTGATTAACACTCTGTGTGTAAAAATTACCCAACACTAAAATTTGAACTCACTGTGAAATTTGCTGTGCCCTCAAATTCTCAGTGTATCATGAAAGAACAGAAACATACGCTGGCTTTGAGACGACTAGAGAGTCCTGCTTTATGTGAAGATACATGTATATTACAGAACATGATTAGCTTTAGTAGGTTCAGCAAATTTGAATTTGACTTCATTCATTAAATTTTACAAAATGTCATTCAAGAATCCCTTCATATTTCCTTTACTACTAAAGCACAGGCTGGTTTATTTCATTTGCATTATGAGCTGTGAGTATGCAGACCTACTTTATTTACAGGAAAAGCTTCATTTATAGTACCTATAATTAAAATTACAGTGCAAGTCTATAAAACCAGGTGAACTTGGTGCCACCATCAAATGTAATCTTTGCTCAAAACCTGCAGTGATATTTCCTTCAATCCTATTATTCATTAAAGCAAATGCTAAGATAAGCACAACTTAATATGGGTCACTTACAATTAATGACCTCCACAGTCAGCGGGCGATCCCCTAAACATCTTGGATTGATAGTTCCGTTCAAATCATCCATTTCAAAGACTGACTAAAGTCCCTCTCAGTGGAAAGGAGAAGAGCTAGTAATGAAGTGTAGATTCCCCAGACTTGATGAATCCAGCTGACTGATCGAGGAGGGAAGCCTTCCAGCGCTGAACGATGTAAACTTCACCTCTGAAAGTGAAAATGTGATGAGCCCGTTTGCCGGATGGGCAACAAAATGAGAGGAACCTCCTCCTATTTTGGCGTTATTCCCACCCGTTTTACGGCAAGCCCCGCCTCCTGCGCGCCGATTGGCTAGTACTTACTTCGCTCGAGTGTGAAACTAAGAATTGACCAATAGCATTAAGCCATACTCGAGTAAATGTACCTTTCCAGAAAACAACCTGAGCACATGTACAACGTTATCAGGTCAGAAAACGACTGTTAGTGGAACTTCTCAGTGTATACAGCATTTCCGGTGCTATTCTTCTCTTTTTTTTTTTTGATGCTTTTAGTCAAAATTAAAATGATCAACTTCAAAGTACGTAGTAATTGCCCAGCTCTGACGACTAGCCAATCATGGCACAGGAGGCGGAGCTTATCGGGAAATCAGTGTAAGTGTGTCACTGCGTCTTCCAGTAAAATCCAATAAAATGCCACACTTCACTTTCTTTGTGGCTCCAGATTTTAACGGAGAGTGACTTCAGCTTCATGCCTTTTGGCATAAAACGATCCACCACCAAAACTGCGTTGACAAGTTGTAAAGAAATGTAGAGAGATGTTTAGTTAGATTTGTGTTGGTCACTTTGTTTTAAAGCCCTTGGTTAATATTTCAGTCAGGTGACTCATAGTCCAAGACATGAACTTTGAAATAGAAGCTTTTTTGTTGAAAAGCCAATGGCAATAAAGCTCTCATATAATGAAAGAACATGAAGAGTAGATCTTCTATCATGTGCTACCAATTCATACTGAACACTAACAAATCCCAGGAAATCCCAGAAAAATCATTAGCCATTGTTATGCTTTTCAACCAGCTTGGTCAAACTGGTCATGCAGGTCAACCAGCTTGGTCATGCTGTTCGACCATCTTGGTCAAGCTGGTCAACCAATTTAGTCAAGTTGGTCATACTGATTGACTAACGTGGTCAAGCTGGTCAACTAGCTAAATCAGGGGTGCACAACTCTGGTCCTGGAGGGTCAGGGTCCAGTGTGGTTTGGTTGTTGCCTTACTCAATCACACCCACTAAACTTGTTAATTAACTGAGGAGTTGAATCAAGTGTGTTTTAACAGTTAAATCACCAAATTCTACTGGACACTGGCCCTCCAGGACCAGAGTTGTGCACCCCTGAGCTAAACCATCAAACTCAAAGAAAAACGTACCCTGTGCTGTTCAACCATCTAAGTTGGTTCAACTTAAAAAATGTGAATATGGCATCCAAGGAATGTTATTCTACAAAACATATAAACAATAAGAACAACAAACAAAATCATGAGTGTATCAAATCTTGAAAACAAATATGGACATGTCTTACCAAATAGTGCGCCAGTCCAACAGTCCTACCCTAAATCATGTTCCAACAAAACCCACTCATGGAGAGACCTCTGATGACTAGTGTAGAATCTCCATCTCCTGAGGTTACATCATGGCATTTCTCACCAGTGATTCTTTCTACAGTTTCAAGGCTATGTTTTAGAGAAAACACCAGGCATGTCCTTTCCATGTGTTGATTTTTCATCGGTTCCCCTTGACCTGTGCAGTCAGTATCTGTTGCTCTTAGCTATGCAAACATTCACAGACAGTAGAAATGGCATTGATTTTGCTACATTTAGGCAGAATTCTATGGTTTCATCCCAACTCAAATGACTAAACCAAACATTTGAACCAATGAAATGACTGGTAAAGCATTAAAGCCTCAAAAAACAGTCACTTTTAAGTATACATTTCATGATAAATTTGGATTAAAGTACCTCCTAACTTTTGAACGTACAGAGGTATACATTATACACTAATCTGTTTCTTGGTAACATCAAAGCTTAGTGGTACATGGTCATTAGGTCATTCCCCTTTAACATGCTTTGTCATAACTCATTCAATTTCTGCTGCACTGCTGTGCACCAGAAGAAACACACCCTTACTATGCTGACATCCTCCTCAGAGATAATCACAGGAGAATGTGAAACAGTAAAAATCCTTGTTGAATAAAAAGTTTAACAAGGTGACAAAGGTCAAGATCATAACCTTAACTCCAGTTCATCATTTTGTTCTACGAGAGGCAGAAAAGGAAGAGTTGCCTGTCGCTGTTGATCTGGAATCAGCTTGGTACTTTCTTTAAGGAATACGTCAGCATTTTTCAGCCAGATCTCTATCTGTAGTATATGATCAACAACAATGTTGACTTATGAAGTAAATAAACAGGAAAGTCTGTTTTGAGAGAGCAGGTTTTCTGTTTTTTTTCTGTCTACAAAGAAATTCTTGTTAGTGGAAGCTGACCATAAGATACTGATGCAGTAGATAGAGATTAGGATGAAAATACTGATGTAGTCTACTCCTATAAGTTAAGATTTGGCTAGTCTCATACTTGTCTGATGCAGCTTTGTTCATTTTTGTAAAATCTCCAAGTGGACAATTTTGATAAGTACTGGCTTATCAAAATTCAAATCTCAAATGTTGTTTTCATCAAACTGTGTTATTTTGAGATTGATGTTTCCATTTTATTTCAGTCTGAAACTGCTTTGCTCCTAGACATCACTTTAACTTCTTAAAGGGCCAGGGCCTTCCGGCGGGTTCAAAGTTTTATTACACACTCCTATAATGTAAGAATAGCCCCACCAGTTTGCATTGTCATAAGTCCCTGTAGTTACAGAATAGTACACCTTGTATGTAATTAGTCTGAGATTTTAAGAGGTTAAATATGTTCCATTTTTATGCATTCTTTCATCACAATAACCATAATAAGTAACAAAGTATTATTGTACCTGATTTAAGGAACTAGGTGCACTTGTCAAAACTCTGATGTAATCTCATTTCTAGCCAATGGACATGTGAGTCTAAAGCTTGAGTTGATTAAGATGACTGTTATCAGTTCCTGAAGAAAGCTGAAGAAAGATGTTGAGTCTGCTTTAGTAATTATTGCATTATAACACTTGACACAGGCATTTTGCTAGAAGCTATCCTTAGATCAGCCCAGAATAAAGATTCTGCACAAAAAGTCATCAACACTGAGGTCTCTGACCCTAAAATGAATGGTAATCTGAGATGTTCTCACGTTTTCTCTGGCTGTTAATGGTTGTCTAGAGTGACTTTGTGTCTCCTTTTTATTGCGTCAGATAGAACCACTGCGTTGATGAGTCGTAACATGCACATATAAGACATATTTGTACTCCATTCAGGTTGTTGACCTTGTTATCTAGTAGCCACTAAGACTGTTAAGCACCAAACCCATCTCCAGAAAGTTAAAAAAGTTGGCTAGTTGAGTCTTTAGAGTATGATTACAGTATGATATGATATTTGCAGAAATTTACAGCACTAGGGGGAAAAGCTGTTATGTTATGTGATGTCTGGTCTGGTTGTGCTGGTTTTGATGGCCCTGAATCTTCAACTAGAGTGAAGTGGCTGGAAGGGGCGATGTCCAGGATGAGAGTGGGGTCAGCTTTAATTTTGCTGACGTGCTTCATTACCCTGCTGTTGTAGATGTCCTAAAGCATTGGCAGGCTCGGATTTCTTCACAGTGGTGGTGATAGGAACCAGGGGTTGCCATGTCTACAACACAAAAGTATTCATATATTTGTCTAGGCTGTCTGTTACCTCTTCAAAACAGTCCAGTTTGGGGATTCAAAGCAGCCCTGTAGCTTTTCAATGTCACCACTGGTCCAACTCTTCACTGTTGTGATGACAAGCTTGTTGGTTTTGAGTTTCTGCCTTTATGTTCAGGATTCTTCAGGATTCCTGAAGTTGTAGGCGTTCAATAAATATCAGTAAATGATGTATGGTCCTAACTAACTCCATTCAGTACAACTAGATGATTAAAGAGAGTCCAGACATCACAAAAACATACATGACACCTGGAACATCAGCACGAGACTCCTAACTAGCAAAAAATGATTGGGCCCCAACAATTGCCACTTACATTAACATTATAACATTATAACAAAATGCATGCATTGTCAAAAATAGTTTGTACATATCATCAGTGCTTGAATTGTTGCACAGGAAAAATGCCTTGATACGGCTCTGATATGTCTCATAATGTGATTAGATTGCCTAGACTGCAATATTCAGATTTTTTTTCAGATTATTTTTATTACCCTGGTATAAGAAGCCATTGTGAATTATCAACTGCACCTATGACTATGAATTTCAACAGCTGGTGACAACAAAATTACATTATGGACTTTGGTACATTTTATACCTCTAATAAAGATGAAATTTAAATATAGGGGGGCTGATTTTTCGCATTTGTTTTAACCAGCGTAGTGGTGTCCTTGCACCTTGCCCATCCCACCCCCCACCCCAGAAAAAAACAATCCCTTCATCTCAAGTATTCATATTGGTTGATACAGTTTATATATGCCTAATATTAGACCTTGATCATTGCTTTGACTTCTGGAGTTGTATTCACAAAAGTGAAAGAATTTCCAGTATAGTCCCGCTCCAAATGAGTAAGAAGAAACCACGTTTCCCATTCCCACCCTAGCCTTGCATTCCTAAGGCTTGGATGCAAGAACCATTCAGGTACCCACGCATTAACATACTCGCCACGTATCATGCTGTGGGAAGATAAAGAAGGTGACAAAGATATACTGTGGCATCTGCCACTTGGTCCATGTTTCAGAAGGGGCTTTAGGGGTGTGGCATGCAAAGCCCCCCCCCCATTAAAAGGACATCAGTTTTAGATGTTGGTTTAAGATGTTCACTGTGTTTTATTCTGTTGGGCTGCGGGTGTGCGTCTACCATAGAGAGAAGTGACCTTCCCTGCTATTCCACCGGTTTTTCAGTGGCATTTTCTGTAGAGCTGAAAGATTAATCATTTTTATGGCAAAATCCCAATTTAAGAGAGTGCAATTATCAAAATCGCAAGATCTGCAATCTTTAAAACTTTACATTAAAAACGTTGTCTCAAGTTTTTAGAAATTTAATGCAATAAAGTTGTGAAATGCCTCTAGAGTTAGACCAATCAGAGACAATCAAACCTGCATGTGTTGTGACAGCACAACCACAACTTACTGGCTGTCTGGCACACTCCTGGCCTCAAGCCAGGAAAAGTGTATATTCTGGTCTTCTCGGGAAAAAAACAGGTAATAATATCGCAATTTAAATCAAAGTCGCATTATTAGTCACAATAATCACAATATTTTCCCAAAATCATTCAGCCCTACTTTTCTGCTTTGTTCAATAAAAGAGCACTTCCTTGAGTAGAAATAATGGCATCCTCTGGTTCTTCTTCACCACTAATGCCACAACACTATTCTGGACCTAAAGCTGCTTTTACTGAGAAGGTTATAAAAGCTGGAACAATTAACCCATCAATGTTCATATCTGACATTTGACATTTCCTTTGGGACATATGTTCTCTTAATCCTTCTGAGCACATATCTGAAGAAAAAAATTCAACCTGTCACACCATATGGGTAAAAAGTGAGTTTTATTGTATTAAATCTTTTAGTCAGATGGGACTACTGACTTCAGGTCATTCTATAGAAATGTCCACTTTTCTATCTATCCATAGGTGTCACTGGTGTTACCAGTCCTCACTGGTGTTTCATATAAGAAAGGTAACACCAGTGACAGTAACACCAGTGACATTTTTGATTAAAAAAATGCACTTTACAAAATGGCTGCTACTGAGCATCAAACCACATGTTGTCAGTCATGGAATATCCCCTAAAATATGTCATTTGATCCATTTGTATTCTATTCTATTTATTCTGTTACCTCAGAATAAAGTAGGTCACACCAGTGACATCAACTAAAAGCTTCATATGAAATTAGAACATTTCTGATAACTAAAAAGACACAGTGGACTTACCATGTGCTTTTTTCATAGATCCTCAGAAAACAGGTAAAAGGAAGTGATGTCATCCGTGTGATTTTTATTTCAAAATAAGAGATTTTTTTGTTACGCAGTAACACCAGTGACACGACTCCTGGGGACAACAACTTTCATTATATATTTTATAATATTTATTTGGCATTTGTTTTCTTTATGTAATTTAATTTATGAATTCCATAGTCATGTATAGATTATTGTATTTAAAATTGCAGAAAAACGTGTTTTTTTCTTCAAAATATGGTGCTCACCCTTTACACATGACTGTGGGGACGAGCACTTCTGTGGTGCTTGGAATTCTAGACAATTGATTTAAAAAACAATATTGCTAAATTCATGGCTGAAGAAGGTGTAATTGTTAAAATAACTTACTGCTTTATTTTAAAATATATATAAATTGTAACCCTAACATGGTTTTTTAAGTGTAATATATCTCTAAACGCTAGGGACACAAAAATGGACGTTTCTGTAGAATGACCCCTTCATCTAAACTACAGAAAGTCCAAATCTGATTGTGAATGAAAGTACGAAAATGTCATTAAAATCAAATAAATAAATAATTGTTCATTCAAGATACAACTATACAACATAATCACTTCAGACCAATCAGAACACGTTCTGTGGGACTTTACTTATCATACTAAATGTACCTGTTGGACATGAATGAGTTAATGTGACATTATCAACAAAAAACATCAAAACAACAACTTGATTTTCCAGCGCGCGGAGGCGCACAACTCTCTGTAGCAAAGGTGAACTCAGTTTGCTTCTACCGAGTCTCCACCCTGCAGGGCTCGAAGAGCGTGACCGGGCACACCCGCCGATCTACACGTCATATTCACTGAGAATCTCCAGCACACAATCACTTAAAGATCTGCGGACGAGATCAGCGTCCGCCGAGCGCGCCGTAGTCTCAGCGCCGCTTCTTGGGTTTCGTCCCCGGCGGTGGGAGACGGCACTGCAGGCAGAGAAAGTGAGGAAGGCTGTGAAAATCACTGCCCGGCCACAGACAGCATTCACACACTCACGCACGAAGAACTCGTATGGCCAGGGCGACCTCAGGCTCCGTGGATCGCGGCAGCGCCGTTTGGATGGTTTCAGCTAGTTTATGATGGTGTTGTTAGTGGGCTAGCCTCAATTTCACTCGTGTTTGTCACGGAGGGGAGGAGGTGAAAACTACCCGCCGCCATCTTTTGGAAGTGACTGGGAGTGGGGAGTTAGCTTTTAAAGCTATAACATTCATTGGCCAGGCTTTGGGCCTCAGCTGCTCGTCATATTTGCTTATGAATCACCAACCTGCAAACATAATCAACACTAACGGTTCCGGATAGTCTAAATCAAACGACTCGGCAACGCCACAGGGACTGTCGCGGTGCTGAAGGAATAAACACGTCCAGATTTGAGTCCAAATCTGTGCTCCACTCTCTCTCAGCGCCCAGCTGCTTTCACCCTGTTCCTCCTCCCAGCACAGCTGTGTGGGCTAGTTAGCCAGATAGCCAAGTTAGCAGCCTAGCTAAGATTTCTTCTGTCCGGAGTCCTGCTCTTCTCAAAAACTGGCCGTTTGGACAGGTAAGGATGTCCGAGTAACTAAACACATTTTGTGCTTGTGTGTTTACGCTGTCAGCTTTTTGAAAATGACGGAGACATCTTGACCCAACAGTTAGCTGACGTGCTAATACACCAGTCGCCTAGCTAAGCTAGATAGCTAATTGCAGTAGCTAACGTTTGGCAGCTGTAAACAGGGATGGCGAGGACAGCTAGCTGTTCGGCAAGTTAGCAAATTAGCTGCTCAGTTTGTGCTCAAACGTTTCATTTGACATAGTAGTATGTAATTTGAAGTGTGGTAGGTAGTCAAGCCAGCTAGCTGAACCCGTTGTTTATAACCAGATAACTTCTGTTATTTTTGCCATCAGCCTCTTGTTTCAAATGACATTCCTTTTCCAACTAGCACGGCTAATAAGGCACTTTCTGTTTGTGGGCTAGCTTGCTAATATTGTAACTTACATGACTTTCTGAAACTTTAAGATGAACAGAGTTAATTGGTTTGGGCTAAGTTATGCTAGAGTTTAACATGCCGGCTAAATAGCCAGGTCACGTTATTTATTTTTATTCAGCCAAAATGTGCATAACGTGACCCTCTCCCTGCTTTGAAAGGTTGAGCAGTTTGGCACCAGCTCGCCTTGGTAATATAAAAATCAAGTTCATCTGCTTAAAATTTCGTCTGTGAAACCCTCAGTGATTATTGCCAGTATAACTGTCAGATATGCGAAAGCTGTGTACTATTCGCGTACAAGAAAATGCTCATGGACTCCTATTGCAACGGCACTCCCTGCTTCTCTCACACGCCTGATCTTGGCATTGAAACTGTCATTATTAGTCAGGTAGACGAGGCAGCCGTAATATTTTGACGTTGGCTTCAGTAAACCTGTTTGTATGTATGTGGCGATATGATAAAGAAAACGCGGCTGACATGAGTAATCGGTTTAACACTGAGCGGGTATTCCTTGTAAGCGCATTCACCGCTTACAGTGCTCTGACGTGCGCTGCATTCCTCATCCCACTGTGTTGACATTGCGTAACCGACTGAACTGACCAGCCAGCTCTGTGCTGCCTCATGATATCCTCTAAATAGGCATCATGTTTTTTGTATTATTTACAGAACAACTGATACTCATTATATTTGTTAACCGGGCGGAATTCTTTGCGCGTGCTCAAATTTAAATGGCTTCGTTTTGTTTACTTGCTCTGGAGAAAGCTGCACAGGTCGAGCGTGAGCTAACTGGGAGTCAGGAGACTACCTTCTTTACACCGTCCAGTATGAATTTGTTTTGGCTGTGTAGGTAAAACAGGTACACCACAGTCTTCTGTAATGAACTCATCTGCACTTCTGCAGCGCCTTTCACATTTAAAGTAAGGGAAAATTGACTTTTTTTATCTTCATGTTTCTGGTCATATTAAGCACAGTTGAATATACCATACAATTTAAGAACAAAGTTCTTGTTTTCCTATAATATTCAGTCAAAGTGTAGTGCCTTTTCGTTGCCTCAGACATTGAGTGTTGAACACATCTCCAGGTACCAGTGATCAGGGAAAATATTGACCAGTAATATTCTGTTTTACTCCCCAAACCCCCCCACCCACCCAATCTTCAGCCCTATACCTGTCGTCAAGTAAAATCATTCAACTCAGAGACCGTCTCTGATACTGTGTTTCACTCACGAATACATCACGGAACAGAAGAAAAGTGCGATTTCGGATTCACGTTAACCTTAAAAAAATATGACACTGGACACTGGAAAGGGCATAATCTTACAGTGTAGTTTTCAAAATGCAAAATCAGGATGATGAAGATACGATTACATCCGTCGATAACTTACTTATATCCTTGGAATACAGAAGTTGTAGCTGAGTTCTCTTTGAATTTTCTTTCTACATTCCCTTATTCAACAGATTCATCCGCTCATGGGGGCCTGAAGCACAACTGACGTAACAAAATATTCTTCTGGACGTTGCCACATTTCCAAATCCCAAAAACGTACATAGTTCACTTTTAATTTGTTGAAATGGCTGCTGCAGTAGTCATAGTAACAATGTGGTGACATATTTGTGATATTTGTACACACAGCCCATGATCTGATTAGATTCAAGATATTGGGTTCACGGTTTGGTATTCACACAATATTTTGAACAAAATTTGAATGAAAAAAATTTACTATAATCATGTTGTTGAGTCCATTTTTTATAGTCCTCTGAACTACATTTAAAATAACAGTTCACTAAAATTTAACAATCTTGTTGCTTTGCTGCTCCTGTGCGGTATTAACAGTATGAGGAGACTAATATTGCTCTTCTCTGATACAGCGGTAACTTGTGATTGTGACTTCATCAAAATAAACAAATCTGCTCAAGCAGTTACATGACAGAGCTGAGTCAGAGGATGCCTTACGTGCATAAGGATGACTGCTTACTTATTTGAGATGATTCATCAAACTTTTTGCTCTTCGTTGGTATACCAAACTATTATGGCAGATTTCTTGTCATCTGTTAATTTAAAGTGCCTCCACGTGTTTCCTTAGACATTGCTGCTATTTAAGTTTCAGTGGCCATATGGAGAGCAGTGCAGTTTGTTGCACTGTGAGGCAAGGTGATGTGGATGCCTGGCTTTATGATGTATTCAACTAAACTAATTTATTTTTTCCATATAATAACAATCGCTTTTCTTTCTAAAGGCTTATGTTGATGAAGCTTGTTGTAGGTTAGTCAACAATTTTGTGGCTTAAAAAGGACAAAGCTTTTGAATACTAAATAGAGAAATGAATATCGACATAAACAAATATTTGAGTATTCAGATTATTCAGGCCACTTCACTGCAAAGTACTGTTCAAGTGCGATCTGATTCAGAGGAATCAGAAGATACTTCAGAAGTCCTCAAAAGAAAAGTTGTTGAATACTTGGGCTTCCACCAGTACACTGTTCTGCACAGTTTACAAATGGAAGAGATGCATCACCATTGCTACTGTCCCCAGGAGTTGTCTTACAAAGATTAGTACAAGAAAGAAATGGCAGAACCCTAGAACCAGTCATCTCGGTTATTTACATATGGTGTAAAACAGTGTTTAGAATTATGAAGGGGGCCAATGAATCAAGAATTTCTATAGCACACTGTTAGGGTGTCTGTCTGTGATCTCAAACCTAAAAAAGTTTGTCATGTGACTTGACAGTGATGCAAAACAGGAGAAAACAGCCAAGTGGCTAAAACAGGAAACTTCATGTTTTATAATGGTCGAGTTCTCCCATCAATCTCATCGAAGTGCTGTGGTGTGATCTGAAGCAGGCATATCAAAAACATGTAAATGGAGATTCTTTTTTTTTTCTGTAGGTCTACAGAAAGCAGTTGGTTGAGGTCAGTTCCAAAGGAGGTTCTACTAGTTACTGAATAAAATTAAACAATTAAACCATACATTGATTGTTCAGGGGCGTCCTTGGATGGCTGTATAGAATCAGCTGTATTTGAGCAGGAAAATCATCAAATTGTGCTGGATGAAGGCTTCCCAGGACTAGAGCCCCAAAAATAAACCTAAAAAAATTATATTGCATGTTTGTTAGTGTTTCTATTTATTATTTGATCATTTTTAGGCAGTTTAGGTTTCTAGATAATGACATTAGTCAGTTTAGGTTTCTAGATAAACATTTCTCATAGCTGTATTTGTCAGTTTTTTTTAATTTCTGAAATATTGGTCTTTTTAGAACTGTACCCAGTTTGGGGTTTAAAACGGTTTTATACAACCTTACGCCTGAAAACATTTTAGCAGCCTAGTTCCAATGGGTTAGTGTATTAACTAATTTTAATATTTTATGCTTTAGTTAACATAATTGCCCTAGTAGCTTGATGACTTGTATTCTGGTCATTATAGCTTCAATTACCTCAGTTCCCACACCTGAAAGCGTAAAGGCCATAGTTCATTTATTCAACTACACCTTCAGTGGAACAGTAACAAGTAGACCCATAGTACTTGCCCCAACTACTCACAACACTGAACACTAAAAGTTAAGTATAAATGTGTAAACGTTTGTTAGGTCTTACCATAAGACACGAGACATAAGCACAGTTGTTTAGAGAATACTGTTTATATTCCACTATCATTTTTAAATGCAGTTTTGCTTTCTCATCCTGTGCTCATTCCAGGAAGTCTTTGGGAAGTCATTTTTGTCATATCTTACTTCAGAATCATGTGTGTGCTTAATGTGCAGTTATGTGCATGTCAGTATGAACAGAAGGAATACCACAGATATCTGAGATGCCTCCATAACTTAAGTCACTGAAGCAAAAGAAGGCTAGATGATTCACCTGTATTCTCTACAGGACTCTTTTCTTGAATCCTTTGTGAGTCATGTCAGTCTTGCTCTTCTGTATATATTTATGAGTTATGAAAATATTATTGGTATTTTAAGTGTAGCATGAATGGGTTGATTAAAAACAAGCCAAAGGTCATTGGTTTTGACGCAGCAAGTCATTAGACGAATTTACACACAGAGTCTTCCTTGTTTTCTCAGGTGCTCTCATGAGGAAATGTGGAAGTGACATTTCTTAGCAAAGTCTTTCCATGTCCCTCCTCCATAGATCTAACTCTGTCAGTGCTTTGTAAGGTTTACCCAACCACCAGCCAATAGAAAAAGGATGAACACCATAGTTATCCCTTTTGCAGGTGGTCTTAGCAAAGCTTTTACTTTGTGTAGCACTGCTGAGATTCAGTCTGCAGCTAGAGTTGATTTAGTTGAAATCCAGATTTTGATCTTAGTTGTTTAATTTTTGTTTTTGACAGTACAAGCGCTGTCAAATTTAGCATCAGCAGTGTAGATTTGTTGTATTACACAGGAACTACTGCTTAGCGTTATGACATGGCACCTTAGCCTTCTCGTAAAGGGTCTTTGCCAGGCCTTGATGTATTTGTTTCTGTGTTTGCATTTCAAGTAAATTTCTTGTCAGTTCAAAATGTACCAGTATTGCTGTGTCCTCGAGAATAGACTTTTATTCTAAAATCTGTGATCAGTTCTTTAGCCTTGTTGGTACTAATAGGTTGTTACATCACAGTGACTTTAGATGAAAGAAAAGTGTTTTAAAATGCATGTTTTCTAAAATAGAGCACCCTCGTCTTGGTCTTGACTACTTGGATAATACAGAATCCTGCATCCATTGTGTACTTTTTACACATTTTGCACAACACTCACCAGCTATTGTTGTTTTTGGGCCTGTCACAATTATAACATTATCATCCGATCGCAATTAGTTGAACAGACTGCAGTTGTTTTCCAAAGTTGTCAGCTTTTGCAAATTATGTGTATGTTACAATTTGTACAATTGTATGTTAGAATTTTTTTATTTTATTCATGAAAGTCCAGGAAATCGAATAGTATATTTGAATTTATGAGTGTTTTAGATTCTCTCTAACAAAGTTCTCAATGTAAGGACTTAACAGCAATAAACATCAAGCTCATTGTACACTCTACTGTAGATTTAATTGAATAAAACTTGCAACATAATTTAGTGAATTTATCGTGTTTATCTAACTTGTTAGCTAACTAATGGTTCACAAGCTTGAAAGTTTCAAGATAAAATAAGTTCCAGTGTGACTAGGGTAATAACATTAGCTGAGGTAATATATTACTAGTATTTGTCTGTTTATCCTAAAGACTTTTGATTGACTTTTAAATGTCACCAGGTTATTGTGGTCTGGTTCTAGATTTATTTTAATCCAGTAATAGAGACATGCTGAGCTCTGAGACAGTCAGCAGGGCTGGAAATTACAGACTGGCCAAGAATTTCATGGAAATTCTTTCAGTTGGGTGTGTTTTTGTTTCTTGTACTTGTGCAGAAAAAGACAATGAAATTGTTAATTGCAATAATTTATATGACAAATAATCTAGTTAATTATTTTTTTGTTCTTACAGGTATGTAACCATCTTTAATTACTCAAGCTCGGTATGTCTGTTTTTATCAAGTCTAACCCTGTGATGCAGTCAGCATCCTTGAACTCAGTTGGTCACTCAATTAACAAGTCAATTTAAATATTTATTGGCATTGATGTCAGTTCCATTATTTCTCTAACAGAGCAGTTGAATGGCTTTTATTTGTAGTCACTCTCCTCACCCTGTCTTGTGACTCCAGCTACTCTTCTGTTATCACGTGTTTTAGTGAAATAGATGTCAATTTTTTTATTATTATTAAAACAAAAACAGACTGTAGTGTGAGAGCGCCTATGTCATCACAACCCTCTTAACCTAGAGCTGTTTTAGATGTTATTTAAGTGTACATTTAACACACAATTTAAAAAAAATAAATTGGTGAGCATCACTTGTTCTAGTTATGGAGGGAGATGGGCAGCATGATAGCTGATGGTTTAGATGAAAAAGATGACATGATTGAGTTGACCTATGGTATGTTGGGGATGAGTAGCGTTAGAGGTCACTGATTACAGAACTGCTGTGTTCTACGTAGTCCATACTTGGAGCACCAGCCTGTCAGCTTCAGCCGAGTGGTAAAGTCTGCATGATTAAACTGCTCCAGGGATCTGGATCAATCTCCCAATACCATAATACCCAACTCTGTAGCATGAGAGGTTGCTGGAATAGGCTGCTCATCCACTAATGGTGTGAACATTTTTGATATAGTGTTTTAAAAAAAATGCTCCTCTATTTCTTCTGAGTTTCTCTCATTTGTCGGCTTTCATGGAAAACACTGAGTGATCAAAACTAGACATAATGAATTCCATTACTTTTTTTGGTTTTAGTCTTACTTTGCACTTTGACTGCATCGTTTGTGGATTTTTTTGGCATTTTAAAAATGAGGCTACAGATTACTTTAGCCTTTCCTTCTTCCTTCTGATGTTTTGCTGTACTCTGCATATCGAGAAGGACAGCATGTTGTCAAGTGGTTTCACACCTGTAACAGAAATGGTTCCAGCCTGTTCCAGAAGTTCCAGTTGCAGCGTCACTTAAGTGGCCTGGTAGTTTTGTATCATCATTGCTTATATTAATATTCACTAACACAGGTTAGCTTTTTTTCCCCTCAAAATAAAATTCTCAGCCTTTTTTGCGTGTAAAAATACACATTTTTTGTCTGTATTTCACTACTGGGTAAATATTTAATCAGTTATTTTAAAAGCTGTGCCTTTTCCTTTTCAGACTTGAGTGTTGCAGTGATTATGATCATAGGGTTATGGGCCATTCTGTCTGTTTAGAGACCCTCTGTGTCAGAGCCCAGTATACAGTTCACTGTTTCCTGCATTTAATTACTCTTAAATGTAATATTTCCAGACTTTGAGCACACAAGGTGATTAGGCAGTCTGCTTTGAATGTCATAGAAGCTAATCATTAAGCAAACCCGGTCACTCTGAATTTGAGCCTCGGCTGCTGGCTTTTTTGTGTGGTGGTGCCTTTATGACAAGTCGGGTCAGTAGGTCTGGGGTCAGTTTGTAAGGTTTAGAGGATTACAGGGACCCCCTGGTCTGTTCACTTCCAGGAGGCACAGCCCTCTTGGGGATAATCCTACAGGGAATCCACTCAGATCGCTGGTCTGCATGCAAATACTGAGTGTCATCTTTTCTCTCCATTTGCTGTCTGTCTCTGTCAGTCAGACTCATCAGTGGGATAATCTCACTGCAGTAAATGAGTGTGAGCGCACAGCCATCTTAATTTATTTATCACTGGACACTCTTCCCCAGCAGTTGCAGTTCTGTAAGATGGATAATCTTAGCCCATTTACTTTCACAGTTGTACCAACACATGTTTAGATTGGGGTTGATTTAAGTGCGGATAAGCACTGACCCATGTTAGGAATGTGATTTTCTTCTTTGTATTCATGGAAAGGAAACACTTGGAAGCACTTCTGATTTATTTACTAGAAGGCTGTACTGAGTGCAGTGAAAAGCTGTCACATCCAAATGTATATTTCAGTTATTTGAACAGTGATGGATTAGTGAGCATGTCTCTAATATTCTTATTTTTTTTCACTGTGTGTTGTAGGTCCCTATGCGTACACTGCCTCCCTCTGGCAGATGAGTCATCAGCGGGGGCTTGCGCGTCGCAGTCGCACGGCCAGATAGTCCCCTGCGAGCGCGGCTGCCTCCCGGGCTCGCAGCATGCCCTCCACCAACCGGGCAGGGAGCCTAAAGGACCCCGAAATTGCAGAGCTCTTCTTTAAGGAGGACCCTGAGAAGCTCTTCTCTGACCTGCGCGAGATCGGACATGGCAGCTTTGGAGCTGTGTATTTCGTAAGTGTTCGGCCCTCCGTTTCCATGCATTTCCACTTATTTCAGTGTTTATGGACATTATGGCGCAGACAAGTAACCGCTACTAAAGTGTCAAGGTTTTTACCTTTAATTTTCCTCCAAACTGTGAGTTTCATATTAAGATTATCTTTGGAATTTGGATTTTTGATTTTATTTTTTTGCCATGGACCGTCCTTCCACTCACAGATTACACTGTTTGATGCAGCAGTGCTGGTTTAACTTTTTTTTTATGTCCCCCTATTTTCTTGACCAATATCCTTTCTGTTTCACCTCTCTGCTTCATTCTGTTTGAGATTTCCTCCTCTTCTAAAGCTTTAGGTGTAGGTTACTCTAACTAAGAAAACTGTTTTAAGAAAATTGTTTTTTTTGTTTGTTTGTTTTTGTTTTTGTTTGGTGCCTTTTCCCCACAGCTTTTCTTTATTTCTGTCTTTCCATGTCTCATAAGGACTCTTAAAAGGAAATGCACAACTGTTTACTCCAGCTTCTTTTTTTTAACCTGCATCAAACAAATTTCGTAGACATACAAACATTATATTTAGTTTTTTGACAAGGAAGACATACAGTAGGTGTAGAACGTCTATGTATGTTGCCCCCAAAAAAGGCTTTTTTCCCTTTTTATTTACAAAGTGTAAGGAGTATGGTGAAAACACATTTTTCTTGGCTTACAGATTTCAGTTTGTTTGGTTGCACCTCGTCCAACTTTGTACACCTTGAGGGAAGAATTTTTCCCTGTTCTTTCTTGCTTAATTGATCAAGCTTAGTTAAAGTGTGTGATGGCCATTAAGGACCTGCCCTCAAGTCTTTCCAAAGATTTATAATGGGATTTAGGTCACAGCACTGACTAGGTCACTAAAAGACATTCACCTTCCTGTTCTTCACCCACTGTATGTTAGCAGTGTGGTTGTAGTCATGAATCATCTTCCCATTTTCATGTTCCTGACGGAGAGCTATGGATTTTCTTCAAGGATTTGTCACTGTGCTTTACTGTATGAATGGTGTCTGCTGGGTGGTAAAATGTGTTGGGTTTTCACCAGTTTTGCAGGCTTCCCTACATTTTGGACTCATACACACCAACAGCTGAGTCAAACACCACTAACTTTTAACAGGGCTGTAAAGTATGACACGTTTGCTCATAGTTGTAATTAGTTAAATATATACCTGGAACCTGTTTCATGTCTATCATATCAAGCACAGTTTATCATTTAAAAGACAAAATAGTTATTTTACTGTAATTTCCCATCAAAATGTAGTGACTTTTGCCTGGCTGTAAATGCATCAGCGTGCAGGGAAAAGTAATATGAACCGATAATGTCATATTTCGCTTCCCTCTCCCACCACCTCTAGCTGTCATCATTTGAAATGCTCATGTAGCTCAGATGGCCTCCGTAATACTTGGAAATATGGAATATGTGTTATGGTTTCCGATTTGCGTTGACTTTAAAGATGAAAATGAGAAGGTACAGCCTGTGTGGCTGTAATTGGTTATTGCTCTAGCTGGTGTTAACTAAAAAGATTCTTTCCAGTATCATAATATGATGCATCTATTGTATGTAAACTAGCCATCGCAAGTATGACTTGGCTTCTGATGTATAACCCTTGTATCTTGGTACAGGCACGTGATGTGCGAACCGCAGAGGTGGTGGCCATTAAGAAGATGTCCTACAGTGGAAAACAGTCCAATGAGGTGAGACATCTCGAGATTCTCACCTGCAGTAGTACTGTTAGAATCAACCAGTGGCAGTTTTGGCCATGCTTATACTGGTGAAATAGACAGTGGTACATTTGCATCACATGTAACAATTATAGCTTGATCATACCAAATTACATTTTCACTGTCTTAGCATTACATGTGGGCTTTTAAATTGTCCTCAAGTATTTGTTTCCAAGTATGCACTCACTCATTTCCTATAATCTAAAGCGGATTAAACAATTGTTTAAAGCTTTAAGGTGTGGCATTGTAACTTTTTACAAGCCATATAAAAAGATCATTGACCTAGTGTTATGATGCTTAAGGTCACTCAAGTATAACACGTCAGAACAAAAAGGTCATTCATAGCTTGTCAGCCACAGCAAAATTTTCCTTAAAATTTCGGATTAGTGGTAATCAGATAACAGTATAGTCTAATAGATTTAAAATAATGAACATGGTTGATTGCAGTGTATTTACTGTTGTTTCTCTTTTGCCCCAGAAATGGCAGGATATAATTAAAGAAGTAAAATTCCTTCAGAGAATACAACACCCAAACAGCATAGAATATAAAGGATGCTATCTACGGGAACACACAGCATGGGTAATATGAGCTTATGTTTTTTGTCTAATTTTCTATTATGTGTGCACAATCAATTTTATTTTATTTTCCACAATGTAAAATTCGGAACATTCCACTTTTCTTCTTTAGCTCGTGATGGAATACTGTTTGGGTTCAGCCTCCGACCTCCTTGAAGGTGAGCTGTAAATTTCGACCATATTTATTCATCAGATGAATTCATTGCAGTTGCTTTGCATTTTCCAACAATCCAGATATGTTTTAAAGCAGGATTGTCTTTTTCATATTTCCTTCAGTTGAGAAAGTAGCTTTCCTGCAAGATTAGCTTGCTTCCTGGTTTTGACACATATGTCTATCTTCTAACTAGTCTGAAAATAAATCCAAAGTAATTAATCTCAATATTGGAGCACATTCAGCATTAAATAAAAAAAGTTCAGCCTCAACAAAAAGTGGGGGAAAAGTGCTTTCTTGGCCCCCTATAGGCTCAGCTCACAGTGGCGCTATGTTAAATATTCTGCTAATATTAACTATTCTTTTCCTTTCAGTAATTTATTTTTTTATTACTGACAGGGATTTTTTAATTTTTAATTATTTTTTTTTTAATTCACAATGTGTGGCTTTAATTTTACCCATTTGATTCACTTCACTTTTTCTCAATTCAGTTCACAAAAAGCCCCTTCAGGAAATGGAGATTGCAGCTATCACCCATGGTGCTTTGCAGGGGCTTGCCTACCTTCATTCTCATAACATGATTCACAGGTGGGTGTGTTTGTGTGTGTTTGTGTGTTTGTGTGTGTGTGTGTGTGTGTGTGTGTGTGTGTGTGTGTGTGTGTGTGTGTGTGTGTATCTACATTCCATTTTGAGCATACCAATTTGTCTAACGTGTTTTACTTTATATCTAATGTCTCTTGTTAAGTATCATAATCATTCCTATTTTCTCTGTGTTGGACTTTTCTCTGTGAATGTTACTCACTTATTTCAGGGATATCAAAGCTGGGAACATCCTGCTGACCGAGCCTGGACAGGTCAAACTGGCAGACTTTGGCTCTGCCTCCATCGCCTCTCCAGCCAATTCCTTTGTGGGCACGCCATATTGGTGAGACCACAGGCTGTTTGTGTCATAAAATATATCTAAGTGCTCCTTTTTAGTAGCCTCATTATTTGGAATTTTTCCTCTCTCTACTCTCAGGATGGCCCCAGAGGTGATTCTGGCCATGGATGAGGGACAGTATGATGGAAAAGTGGATGTCTGGTCCCTTGGGATCACTTGTATAGAACTAGGTGAGATGACTCCAAGCTAAATTCTGTGTATGCATGTCTGTGTCTGTCTCTTAAGGGTTTAGACTGAAGCCTTTTGTCTGACATTTTTTTGATCTGCCCTTCTTTCTTAAGCTGAGAGGAAGCCCCCTCTGTTCAATATGAATGCGATGAGTGCCTTATACCATATAGCGCAGAATGAGAGTCCAACTCTGCAGTCTAGCGAATGGTGAGTCCAGTCTCACAGTAGTTTGTTGCATCTGTAATGGGCCAGTAGTCCAAGATCAACATCAGCTTGTTCAAAACAAGGCCAATATAAAAACATTTTTAGCCTGTAATCATTGTGTTTTCTGTTTTCCTAGGACGGATTACTTTAGAAACTTTGTTGACTCTTGCCTTCAGAAAATCCCCCAGGACAGACCGCACTCAGAAGATCTGTTGCAGGTGACCTCTAAATAAGTCTCTCCTACCTGTATTAATATTACATATTTAAGAAACCCACTACATGAAGATGTGAATGCTTATTCAATGTTACAGTGCTTTTGTAGGCTTTGGAATCGCCAAATTCACCTACCTTGTGGATTTTTTTTTTTTGAGTGTCTGTCTTTTGCTGTCATCAGAAAATTTACACAATCCATGACAGCAATGCTGAACAGTAAAGCCAAAGCTTTGACTGAACATAAATTTGATTTGTTCATTGATTTTGACATTTGAAATAGCACTATTGTGCTGTTTATGTTTAAATTAGCTCTTCAAGAGGAGTGTGGTGCTGCATTTCCTGCTGAATTTTTCCTGAATGTTATGTATGTGTTAATGAAGCATTTCAAACGTTCCAGTGTTCACGAGTAAATGCAAATATTTCTGCAATGCTTTTTTTTTATTTTAAATTCAATATAATTATGTATTAATAATGCTTCTAATTCAACTTCTCTGCATACAGCATGCCTTTGTTCAACGTGAGAGGCCAGAAACTGTCCTGATTGACCTGATCATGCGGACCAAGGACGCGGTCCGAGAGCTGGACAACCTGCAGTATCGCAAGATGAAAAAGATCCTATTTCAGGAGGCCCACAATGGGCCTGCCACCGAGCCCCAGGAGGGAGATGAGGTTAAACACTAACCTCTAAATGTTAACAGGCCTAAGTGGTTTTGTATATATTAGCACAACTTAATACATGGCTCAGGTTTTATGCTGTTTTATGTTTTACCATCTACATAAGTAATAACTTTATTTCGCACCGTGTTTGCATGTGTAGGAGCCAGAGCATGGTGCTGGGCGTACAGGCACAGTGAACAGCGTGGGCAGTAACCAGTCCATCCCCAGCATGTCCATCAGTGCCAGTTCTCAGAGCAGCTCAGTCAACAGCCTGCCTGATGCTGCAGATGACAAGAGTGAGCTGGACCTGTTGGAGGGAGACCACACAGTCATGTCTAACAGCTCCGTCATACACCTCAAACCTGTATGTTCACATCACTCCTCCTGAGACAGCCCAAGTGTTTCACTCCCACACAGTGTCCTAAGAACAATATTCATTGGATGCAAAGAAAATCTTACACTTTAACAGTTTAATTGGGCCCTTTTTTGTTTAGTGCCATTTCTGCAAGGAATAGCAATTTTCAAACTAATCTCCATGTAATTTTTCACATTTGTAGCATAAATTTGATTAACATGAACAGTAACTTTTACTATACTTAGACCAGAAAACCAGTTGACTTGAAACTGATGCATAATAGAAGCCAGTGGGACAGTGATTCAGTGTGTTTTGAGTCAACTGGGTTGAAAAAAAAAGATCAAAACGATAAAAATGATCGTCCTTGATAATCGACTACATGATACAAATGTAGCAGATACAGATTTTGCTGTAGCCGTAGGGTTTTTTTTTATCTGCCACAAAGCCACAATTTTAGCATTCAATAAATAACGTTATTTTTTTAATTACTGAATCATCTTACAGGTTTTGTTCTCTCAAGCAGTAGCTCTAGAATTTAACACATGGTTAATTCTGAGAACATTCTGAGATATTCTGGAAATAGTAAATTGCAGGCATATTGAGATTTATTTATTTTGTTTGTGCTGGTATTGACAGGAGGAAGAAGAAGTTTACCATGATGACTCAGAGGCACGCAGTCGTCCATCTGAGGCTTCGGCAGCTCCAGCACAACCACCCCAGCGCAAACATCACCGTAACCGTGAGCACTTTGCAACCATCCGCACAGCCTCACTGGTGAGTCACTGCACTGTTTAAAATCACAACTGGAGTAACTCTGGACTGTTTTTTGTCTTCACCTCCCATCAAATTACATAATGGAGCCTTCAGTGAATCTCAGTGTTGGTTTAGAGTTCAAAGATGGGGAAATACATAAACAAGACTGAGTAAGTGATATTTGTACAGAATGTTAATCACTAGCCCTTTGCTCCCCAGGTAACAAGGCAGATGCAGGAGCATGAGCAAGACTCTGAGCTGAGGGAGCAAATGTCCGGCTATAAGCGTATGAGACGGCAGCATCAGAAACACCTGATGGCCTTGGAGAACAAACTGAAGGCCGAGATGGACGAGCACAGGCTGAGGCTGGACAAGGAGCTGGAAACCCAGAGGAATAGTTTTGCTGCTGAGTTGGAGAAACTGGTCAAGAAGCACCAAGCAGCCATGGAGAAAGATGTAAATGTGCATTAGATTGTCAGTCACTTCATAGAACCTCTTTCTGTTTTGAGTGCTTTAGATACCCTCTCAAAATAGTTAATCTTGGCTAAAAGACAACAGATCACGGATGTGTTCATTAAGTATTGCATATTTATATGTGATTTATTTTACTCTGCTGTTCTCTTGAAGGCCAAGTCATTTGCCAATGATGAGAAGAAGTTCCAGCAGCACATCCAGGTTCAGCAGAAGAAAGAGTTGAGCAGTTTCCTTGAATCCCAGAAACGAGAGTACAAGCTACGCAAGGAGCAACTGAAAGAGGTTCCAATTAATGCTTTTTTATTTCTCTCTGCAGCTGTAGTAGAATGATATTAGCAATACTGAGAAGTTTTTAAGAGTAACCCAGAAAAAACTTTCTGCTAAATAATGTTAATCTGTGCATTTTGTGCCAGTGGGTTTTGTCACTTTGGTCAGTAATTGTGCAGGAATGCTGGTTTGCCTGAGAACATGCTGCCTTCTTTATATACTTTGTCACTTGTTTCTCACAATGTGCTCAGGAGCTGAATGAGAACCAGTCCACACCTAAGAAGGAGAAGCAGGAGTGGCTATCAAAGCAGAAGGAGAACTTCCAGCACTTCCAGGCTGAGGAGGAGGCCAACCTACTCCGTAGACAGCGCCAATATCTGGAGCTGGAGTGCCGGCGCTTCAAACGCCGCATCCTCATCGCCAGACACAATGTGGAGCAGGACCTTGTTCGAGAAGTATGTTCAAGGTTTAGCATAAACAGATATTGAATGTCATTAAAACTAAAGTCAGATTTTGGAATGTGCCTTAATATACTGACTTAAGCTCATGGTTCCCAACCCTGTTGTTTTTCCTGCTTTAACACACGTGAACAAGTTAATCAACTAATATGCGTTTCCTGAATTGAAGTGGGTGTTTCACTGCAGGGCAGGGTTGTTCTAAGATAGTGGCTGGTAACAGAGCATGTGAGTGGAGTGGAGCAGCAGAAATTTCCACTTCTCACTCAAAGCCTTTCTGTAATCAGTCCACTTCAGCTCCGCACCAGGCTTTCTATTTTCGCTCCTCGACGCTCCTTAGCTCACATATCAGAGAAACCGCTCCGTGTCTGCTACCGCTCCATATGTCCCGTTCTTATGATATTTATTTTATGCCCTGAATGTATTGAAGACACTACGCACTTCATTTCATGACTTGTGTAGTTTATGGCCATTATTAAACGAAAAACTAGTTGGACATACTGTACTACACAGGCTTTTTTCAGAAGGTTTAGGCGTGAAACAACGGCCCAATCACAAGACAAACTGTGCAATATAGTGCTCTGTTGCTGTCGTGTGCAAGCTGTAGCAGTCACGCTGCCTCGTCACTCATTGCACAGAGGTAGTCAGTGAGGGGGAAAAAAGGACTGTCTGGCTTGTGGGATGGAGTGATACCAGAGCGGTTTCTGAGCAGGAGACAACACTGTGCTCTGACCAAAATCGTGTCGCTCCGCTCGCCTCTCTGCTCCCACTCCACCCTGCTCAAATGCTCTGGTTGGTAACCATTAACATTTTATGCATAATAGATCACAGGATTTTATTAAAAAAAGGTCCATTGTCTTGCTCAAAGTACTTGCTCTTTTACACTGCCTCTCTGAACCTGTCTTTTTCTTCTGTCGGTCCGATGCAGGAACTGAATAAGCGTCAGACACAGAAGGACCTGGAGCATGCCATGCTGCTGCGGCACCATGAGTCCATGCAGGAGCTGGAGGTGAGGCAACTGGGCACCATCCATAAGATGAGGACTGAGCTCATCCGCCTGCAGCACCAGACTGAGCTCACCAACCAGCTGGAGTACAACAAACGCAGGGAGAGAGAACTGCGCCGCAAGCATGTAATGGAGGTTCGCCAGCAACCTAAGAGCCTGAAGGTGGGTGAGACAGATATTATGAAAGAAGGTATGACGAAAATTGGTTAAAATCGAATGAATGATCAATTTCATCTCCTTTCTGATTTCTTTCTTTTGCTGTTATTGTGCTCTTTGTCTGTGTGTACCACCACCCCCCCTTTTCTTGTGTGTCTTTCTGCTGGCCTTTTTGTCTCAGTCCAAGGAGCTGCAGATCAAAAAACAGTTTCAGGACACATGTAAAATCCAGACGCGGCAGTACAAGGCCCTGCGGAACCACCTACTGGAGACCACACCCAAGTCAGACCACAAGGCTGTGTTAAAGAGACTCAAAGAGGAGCAGACACGCAAACTGGCCATCCTTGCTGAGCAGTATGACCATTCTATCAATGACATGCTCTCCACACAGGCTGTAAGTGAAGAAGGAGGGGTTGCACATGTTCATTAATCACTATCAGTTGATCTGTAATATTGATGTTGCTGTAATATTCATATATTCATACTTTATTCATATTTCAGACCACCACTGTCTGCCAAGTCCACGAAATGTAAACCTGAACTTAATAACGTTGCAAAATAAGGCCAACCTAAGCTACTCATGGTGAGCTAAGTTAGCCAGTTAACTACAGCTTGCTAAAACTGAATAGTTAGCTCCACTGACAACGGTTTGATTTGGCACTTTGGCTCAACTTGGCTCTCACGATTCGTGCAATGTTCGTCCACCTCCTGTAACCAGCGTTTCAAATTAAAAGCCCTCTGCAGAGTTTTGTAATTGGAACTTTATGGCATTTTATAAAATGCTGAAGCAGTGCCGGCTGCCACTGCAAAATATATATATATTGGGCACACTGTAGATTTAGCCTAAGAATTTCCAATAGTGATTCACTATTTGCAGCGCAGTTTAGTTCAAGACTAGACTAAATCTGTCTAAATCTGAAGCCCTAAGTGTTTACCAGTGTATTAGATGTAATGCAAGGTATATCACAACTGCACTATGTAGCTGACTAATTGCAGAAAGATACTTTGTGTAATCCTAATATGGAGTATTGATTTGAGGACAGTGAGTGTACACAATGAACTGTGCTGCAAGCGGTTTGTCTCATAGGGTATTCGTGGAAAAATCAAGATGCTATACAGTTATTATCATTTATGGCAGCAACCTGCATTCCGTCCCCACCCTCTGTTCTGCACCTTAGTTGCGATTGGATGAGGCCCAGGAGGCGGAGTGCCAGGTGCTGAAGATGCAGCTGCAGCAGGAGCTGGAGCTGCTGAACGCGTATCAGAGCAAGATCAAGATGCAGACAGATGCTCAGCATGACCGCGAGAGGAAAGAGCTGGAGCAGAGAGTCTCACTGCGCAGAGCCCTCCTAGAACAGAAGGCATGTGACTACTAAAACCAAACTAAATTTCCCCCGCCACTGCATGGTTTTGTGTTTTTTTTTTTTTTTTGGTGCAGCTGTTGCAGTAATCTGACCTTTGTTTTGTTTTATTTCTTCTCCATCTCAGATAGAAGAGGAGATGCTGGCCCTGCAGAACGAGCGTTCAGAGAGGATTCGCAGCCTGCTGGAGCGTCAGGCCCGTGAGATTGAAGCGTTTGACTCGGAGAGCATGCGTCTGGGCTTCAGCAACATGGTGCTCTCCAACCTGGCCTCTTCTGATGGCCACAGCCACAGCTTCCCAGGGGCCCCTGGGGGTTGGGGCTCTCAGCATGGGGCCAGCTCCCAGGGGCCGCACTGGGGAAGCGGTGGTTCTGGGGTAGGGGGGCATCATGGCAGCCACCATGGCCACCACCACCATCACCACCCTAGTCAGAGCGGCTCCATCCAGCAGCCCTGGGGCCATGGCTTGCCCTCTGGCGGGCCCCCTCCCTGGGGTCACCACAGCTCTGGGGGTAGCCAGCGTTCAAGTGGTAGTGGTGGGGGAGCAAGAAACAGCCCCCAGGCGGTGCGGCGGACCTCGTCAGGAGGCCGTAGTGACCAGGGGATGAGCAGGAGCGCCAGCATCGCCTCTCAGATCTCCAACGGCTCGCACCTGTCCTACACGTAAGACCGCCCACACTCTGCCCACTACATCCCGCCTCACACTGTTCCACAATGCCACAGGAGAAGGGGACAGGGGTGCATCATAGTGGGGGCTCAAGGGGGGAATCTGAGCCCTGAGTGTCATCTACTCTCTTTCTCTTCCTCTTCCATGTTTTGTTATTTCCCTAGTTTTCAGAACACCCTTCTGAATTTTTGCACCTTATATGTAAGGACATATGTTTTTAAGGTCCTGGTTATGAATGAGAAAAGCTCTTAAACATTCAGCTCAGTTCAGTTAGCTGACACAGTTGATCCACATAATGTTTTTTGAACTTTGTGGAGCACAGTAAAGCTTCAAAAGTCATTTTAGTGGTGCATTAAAATTGAGTGGAACAGAATGGAAGTATGTGAATGTGTTTGGTGCTGTTGCCTCAGTATGTTGAGCATTTACGTTATGCTGTTTGGGCTGACTGCAGTACGTTTCCTGACAGGAAGTAAGGGTTTTTGTATGTAAATCTGTCATGGGTTTTATCATGATCTTGTTTGCAGGTTAATGCTTTCAGTTCACCGTCAGAGAATTGTACAGTCTGTGTGTCTTGTCGTAAAAACCTTTGCAGTACATGTGGTAAAACACATGATGTGGTGTTCAGATAGAACTGTTTTTAATGTTGGCATACTTTTAATAAAAGAGGCACAGAAGCTACAGGATGTGGACAGAGATAGGAATCATTTATGACTTGTAAAGCCAGTCATTTTTCGGAAATCGGTCCGTTTCCACCATGGCCCATAATTAAAATAGCTTTAGAATGCACTTGATTTTATTTCTTTCTCATGAATGCTGTGCCGTGAGTGAAATTAACAACTTTGGTTCATTTTAAAACACTAAGCACTAATATTCTGAAACATTGTTATGTTCTTTTTTTTTTTTTTTGTCATCTGGATATACTTTACTATTTACAATGCTGTGAGAATCCCAGAAAAATTTGGCAGTGATGTTCTTGTTTCTATGTCTTTTGCCAGATTTGGTAGTCTTGAACAGTTGTTATCAAAGTTCCTACACAGTGCTGGTTTTCAGTATAAGCACATTATAAGGCCAGGATTGATCAAAATTGTCAAGGTACCGTTTCTTTTAACACAGTTTATCTTGCCATGTTGTCTCTGTATCAGGTTGCTTATGGGTCCAGGCAGCCAAAAGAGGAGTTGTAAGTGTGAACGCAGAACAAGATGTCGGTTTTTCAATTTGTTTTGGGAAGTCTGAATGTAAGTATATTGACATTGGAGATGGACAGACCTGGTATATGTAAAGCTAAATGGGTACAGAAAGGAAGAAGACAGGAGGATGGAAGGATGGACCCATGAGTTTGTCAGTGTTTAGCAAGGTGTAGAAGGGAATCAGAGAAGTAGGGTTTTGTCTTAGACTGCACAAATGGAATGTCAGGAAAAAATTGACCTGTGTAAATATGTATGTATGAATGGATGTGGGTTATGGAAAAATTGACTGATATCAGTCAAATATCAGATTTATATTTAGAATGCCAAAGTTAACACTCATCCCAGCTATGCACAAGGAAGCTTTTATTGTCTGCGATGAAACAGACAAAAAGGCCATTATCTCTCTCATTTTGTCTGCTGTTCGTTTTCCCCTTTATCTCTTGGACCTCTGATGCTCCCCTTGCCCCTTCCCCAGGCCTGGCATCAGGGCAGAATGTGTGGGTTTGGGGGTGGGAAGGTATGTTTTGGGCAGGCTTGCGACCGCTGAATGTTTTTGCTGGGGTGAGTGGGTGCCGCTGCTGTCGCCCCTACAATGCCTTTGTCACTTTCATGCCCATCCCAGAGCTTCGGCATCTGCCGCCTAACAGCCTCCCTCAACCGAGCATTTATAATGATGTGTACAAAAGTGATAAAAGAAGAAAAAATTAAAAGTCAGAAAAGCATATATAACAGTGTGATATGTCAAAGAGATATAGTGAGAAGACAGCTTTAAGTGGGATGTATAGGAAACGTTTGTGTATATTGTACATTTAGAAAATTTAAAAAAAGGAAATATAAAATTATGAAAGATAAACCCAACTAGATAAAGAAAAAATAACTGCTTGAATGTGAAGACAAAAAGAAAAACCAGCTTGGTTTATAATTTTATTTAAAGAAAAAATATCAGGCAAAGTCTCACAGGGATTAAGCACAGCTGAAACACCTTTGATTCACCCCACACCTCCACAATCCTAATTAGAATTTTCCCTCCACTGACAGTGTCGCTATTCACTGTATGTCTGCCTGGATTCTGTCCCTCCTATTTTCTCTTGTTCTCTCATAGTCAGTGGCCACAGAGAGATCTGTGAAGTTTACTTTTATCACATTTCTTAAGGGTTTTATCGCATTCAGAATGAGATGAAGCCATAACTGCCATCATGGTTGTCAAATTATTTTGACTTTTTTGATCTCTGCTAAAGAATGAACAGTGACCCAAGCTCTGAATGCTTAAGTGTCTATGCTGTCATCTATAAACTAGCTTGGTACATGTTGTGTGCATGGCATCACTGATTACATAGAGATGCCATTAAGCTCAACCTTAACTAGCCTATATCGCAAGCCAACTGAGCCATTATTCTTTCAGGCCTCAAAGGACCTGGCCAAATAAAGGAGAAACTAAACTAACCATGGCGTTCTGATGCAACATGCCAAAACCATTTAGCCATCTCATTGCTCTGTTGGTATCCACAGAGCAGCCATAGACATAAAAATCTTACAAACGTTACACAAATGTTACACGAGCTCATCTGTTTATTACGCCAGGCCTTTTAAGAAAGGTCAGTCACCCTTGTAAGAAGGTCCATCCTGCCTGAGTGCTGGAGCTGGACTTCGCAGTATGTTTAGAAGAGAGAGGAGGTGTGCCCCCTTGTAGAAGTGTAACCGATACAGTGTCACATTGGAGCCCTTATTATACCCATGTTTTAATGACCCTTTTCAAAAGTGTGAGAACAAGGGGAATGGGCAATAACAAAGCAAGGGGTACGTCTCTGTACAGTGTGTTTACCAGTATTCCTTCAAATGCTTTATTTTAATGGTCATTATTTTCCTTTTTCCTGCTTCAACATTACCATAACAATCCATATATAACCTGTATTAAAATGTATAGATTGTGAAAAGCTGAATGTTGGAGAGATTACAACAAATGTATGGCTATTCATAACAAGAAAAAAACTGAATTAAAATGTAAACAAAAAAATTCTGAAACCGTTAGGGGACAAATGTAATGTTTTGTTTGTAATTACTCCTTTTGTTGGCAGAGGGCTACTGGATCAAGAATCAACTGTAATAAAGTAATTTTAGTACATCATGGTCCTGAAAAATTCTTTGTGGGAGGGAGAAAACCAACAATATGTTTTGCGATGTTTCAATTAATGCACAGGCCTCCTGAAATGGGGTGAAGTGCTAGTTTTCTTTCTTTCCTAGAACTATGTGTTGAAGGGTCTGTTGCTCTGTCGGACTCTCCGAGTCTCAGTCTTTGCTTTTGCCCCCACTGGCTTAAAGATAAAAGATCCCCATCAGTGTAATCTTACAAATGAGTTTGTTCAGCTTAGGTGGGAAATCACTAAATTGTGCATGACTGGAAGGCAGTGTTATTAAGCCCTGTGCCATTCAGGATGTTTGAGTGTTCTGTAGGTAGTATTGTCAAGAAATTGGGTCCTGCAGCCTGAAGAAGCAGCAGCAAAATGTTCTCAAACTGCTCTAGTGGACTGTAGGGTTCAGTACAGTCCTTTTGTGCTGGGTCATATTTGCTGCATCTGCCCTTCTTCATTTTACATACACACTCAGCGAGTGTATGATCTGTTCCAAGTGAATGTGTCGTGCTCTTCTTCAAATGGAACCAGCCCTGAATGAACTGAGAGTTGTCTTTGTGGACCAAAGACAGGCCTCTCTCTCCTGAACATGACTGCTCTCCTCTTTCTGGGTAACACTGTACATGTCCTTTGCCTGAGACTTTGAACAGCACCCTGTCCAACAAATCCTTCCATGACAAAGTTCCTCTCCTCCACTTTGAAGAAATCTCCCACAGCCCGAAAGTATTCAAGCACTGCTTCATGACTCCAGGACCCAGTGCCTCCATGTTTCTCCTGCATGAATCCGCAGTGGCTTCCCTGAGTTGTCAGAGCCAGAAAGAAATAGGGACTATTCCGGAAGAGGGATATGGGCAGGGTTGAAGAAGGAGGCAGGAGAGGGTCATCGCTACTACATAAACAGAGAACAGGAACAGCTACTTCATCTGCATCTCGCAAAGGTTCATTACGATCCCAGTAACCCACCCAGTCAAACTTCATGGATGATCTTGATCTCTGCTCTCTGCCCTGGTCCAGTGTGTCCATCTCACTGTTATCTTGCTGCCTGGCTGAACAAAATATGAGCCTCTCCATATCTTGAAGGGAACGGGAGCGGAGGATTGTCTCAACGTCCATAACTGAGCTTAGAGCCGTTGCGTACCTGCATTCAGAATCAAATGGAAAAGGCAAAATCTAATGCAAAACGCTGTGCTGGAGTTTAAATGGACGTGCACTTTTTTTTTTTTAATTATAATTTTTCCCATCATGCAAAATCCAGTGGTATAGATGTAAAACCAAGTCATAAAAAGTGGTTTGATGTGAAATAGTTAATGGTACAGAAACTTACTGACAATGATTTCTTTAGTGGTGGTGATGAGAACCAAATAATAACTATTTTATTTGCCATCCAAAACAACCAGAGAACCCATGTCTTCTAAATTTTTTAATATGTTGGTAAAATAATAACCCATACATCGATTTTAAAAATACATTTTAATCTAAACAATCACAAAACAATGTCTCAGACATCAGGCAGTGTGTTTATAACCACTTACATACGTAATAACTTTCAGGCAGGGAGCTTTTAAAGGCATTGAACACTTTGGACATATGGTTCCTATCACCACCACTGTGAACAATGCTGATTTTATTTTCTCTAGAACAGAGCATTTTATGTCAAACCACTCTGAAAAACTTTATTTACATCCAATAATTTGGCAGACTTTTTGAAAAATCAGTGGAATTTCTGTTTAAATCAGGTTACTCAAGTGCATCTGTATTCCTATCTAAATTATTTCTTAACAGATATATAGTTTCTAAATGCTTTATCCAGGGAACTAGTATTTAATTAACAATGTCATAAATACTTAATCTTCTTAACAATGGTTTACACTTATTGTAATTTCAAGTATTATTTTTGTTACCTGCTGAGTTGCAGTTTGCGGTAGAGCAGGACAGCCTCATTATAAAGCCAAGGGAGCGGCGTCTCAAACCACGCTTGTCCATGGAACACTGGTGAAATACAAGCTGCTGCTACCAGGTAAGAGGATGATCCATATTCCCCAAGGTAAGACAGCAGCAGGCCAGAGCCAGAGCCTTCACTGACGGCAAGCAGGACAGAGGATGGATGGCGATTTCGTAAATATGCTACTGCCTGCACCAGGTCAGAGGGATCCCCAAACTGCTGGTAGCGTGGAGTAGTAAGTGGACAGCTACCATGGCCACGGCGACTAAAGACCACAGGGTAGAAACCCTGTTGCAGAGCTAAGCAGCATAAGCTGAGCAAGTGTTGTGTGATCTTCCCCAAAGCATTGGGGATCAGAATGATGATGGGTGGGTTGCTGGTATGGCAGCCTAAGACTCTTCCTCCAGGAGGACAGTCCTTTTTGGCCTGACCTTTCTGGTCTTTCAGCCCAACGGCCCAGTCCAGAGCTATAATACCTCCATCCTGTAAGAGTAAATTATCCCTTTTGAAGTAGACTCCACCATCTTCCTCTGTGGGCCACATCAAATTGAAGAGAATCTGCAGATGGGGGTCTGTCCTTGGCCACTTAGCCACTGGGGAGTGTATTAAAATGTGACAGTGCTGCTTTATATAGTTGGCCAAAGCTGTAGGCTTGCAGACCAATTTGACTTCTGACTCTTGGTCTCCAGGAGTATTAAAAAGAACAGGGCGTGGAAGCTTTAGTGTCCAACAGGTTGTGATCCATATATTCCAAGCCACCAGCCTCATTCCCTCCTTCACAAAATAACCACCTTTATCCCATCGCAACAGTAGAGAAATCAGGAACAAAAGTAAGAAAGGCCAGAGGCAGATGAAGTCCCACATGATAGAAACAACAAGGCTTGATTCTAAAGCTTCAGGCTTAAACAAAAGCCTAGCAGAAGCGCAGGTGCCTTAGTGTTCTTCTTCTTTTGGGTGTACTCTACTGTGGTCCAAACAAATGGAAACCGAGAGAGGGCCTCTTAACTTACATGCTCTGTTACCTCTCACTGGACTCTGTTCTTCATGTTTTTCGCCTCCTTGTTCAGAAATCATTAGCAACATTGATCAAACAGGCTCCTTTGGCTGAAGGAAATGAAACCAACCAAGGTAACAGATGAAAGTGTCTTGACCACATCCTTCAATCCTTGTAATTAACTTACAAGCCTATTCTAAGATCCGATCAGAAACGTAAGAATGACTATAATGAACCACTGCGGTGGCAAAGGAGGTGAAGGACCTGAAGAGTATTGCACCTGAGCAAACTTTGCACTTAGATTTTTTTTTTTTAACGTGTCCATGACCATAAACATTCTTGTTACTTCTGTAGAAATCAGATATTGTGAAAACCTGTTTCCTCTAGGTTGACTAGGGAAACAAAATAAAATTAATAATTTTTGTTTTTCAGTATTAATAAATGATGTCAATCTCAAAAATACCTCAGTACTTTGACTGCTGATGTTCAAAGTGCATTGCTTCAGGTCCACAATCATTTTGCAGTCTCCCAGAAGTTTTACATTTTTATGATCATACCTTTTGAACATCACACCTTTAATCTCACTGTGTTAGTTCAGAAGCAGACTTCTTGAAATAAACAATATTATCTGCATATATAGTGAGAATTTTGCTTGATAAAATGACTTAAAACAAGTAAAGCATATTGAAATAAGTAAATTAATGAAATATTCTAACAGCAGTCTTAAAGTGGGAAATAATAGACTAGATTTGTGATGATTTCACTTGCTAATTTATCAGTTTTTGCAGTTTGGACAGTGATTAGTTGGATGAGGTGTGTTTAGATTAATGATTAGCTGTAGAGATCAAAATCAGAGTCTGGCAAACCTTGATTTAGCATAATGAATGAAGTGTATGGGAAAGCTTGTGTCACTACAAAAGCAGCTTCTAACAACTTGCTGATGGTAGTAGTCTAGTTTAAATGTTGCGAGGGATGAGCCATTTTTCTCTTTTTTCTTTATGTAGGTGGGACAAATTTTTTTTATAACAATGGTGCCATATATTACTTTAAAGTGCTTCTTAGCAATGAAGACCTTGTGTTTTGATAATATAGTTTAGTAGTCTTATGTCGTTTGGCTCACCTGACCTGTGGCCATTCAGACAAAACTGCTTTACACAACAGTTCAGGCTTACTTCTGTGCTTTTTTCAGCTAGCACATCATAGCTTATGAGCAGCAACTAAAAACTGAAATCGCACAGAGTGAAGAAAGTGGGAAAGTGATTTTTTGATGTAAGTTGCATTCCTTCTGTGCTCTCATCTACGATAGATTGTATAGAATGATTCCCTGTGCCTGAAAACACCATCTCACAGTGGCTATCTTGCATTGCTGTCCCCTATTCGTTGTTCGGCGTTAACAAAAATATTACTGTTAGAATTATTCTAGAAATACCTGCTATTGGAACTTTGTATTACCCTTTATATTTATGGTGTTGTTTAGGAATGTAACAAATACCTTAAGCCACTGCACTTTTCACTGAGGCATTTCCATGGGCCACAGTGTTGTGGCAGCACCTCATCAGGACACCCAACTCCAGGTGTTTTGTCACAGATGAAAAATTCATTTTAAGTTTGGACAGTGTCTTGATGTATGGTGGTAGTATGATGGGAGACTGATTGAGGGAGTAGGAGTGACCTGGGGCTGGAGTTCTGGGCGACTTCTGCCTTGGAGGTACAAGGCCGGACCGCCCTTTTGGGACAGTGGTACAGACAGAATTGCGGAACAGGGAGGAGATGGGGTGCTGGTGGAGTTTGCAAGATTTTCATCACGAGAAATGAAAAAAAGGGCGTTAAAGTGGAAGGAGTAGTGGTTTCAGGCATGAATCCTCCCCCAAAATCTCAGGAGCTATTCCATTCTAAGTCCACAATGATGTGTGGGGACACCAGAAACTTTTATTTATTTATTTATTTATTTTTACAAAAAGATGTTTTATTGATATCATTCTCACAAATGATCTGCTACAGAAAACACAAAAGTCAACTTTTTATGTCTTTGGTTTTGATATTTCACTTTTTTTCATATTTTATTTATTTTTTAAATAATATTTACATTTTAAAATGTATAACCAGAGCCGCATGAGACATCTTTCATGTTGGTCAAAGATGGATAGGTGGGGCTGTGTGAGTCTGGGTGCAAGAAATGAAAGGGTTGCTTTTTAACACAGTACTGTGGGAGCCACAGCAAGAACATGTCACAGAGTAGAGATGCTTGGGAATCCGTTTGTACTACAAAGATATATTCTATAGCTATTTGGGTCTGTCATAAATACACCTTAGGTTTCTCTGCATTTTTCTGAGATGATTTGTCATGAAATGGCAGACATAAATGATGTAAATGGGCCTTTAAGGTATAGTCTGCTTTATTTCAGCCTAAAGTTCAATCTTACTCATTGAGTTGTCTCAACCATCACCGCTGTATGACAATTTGGGCTGTGTGGTCCAGACTGATTTCACTATAATGCATACATGAAATTTGAGACACATTTGTTTCTTGGCTCTATGACAGGTGTTGTTAGTAGACTCCTAACAATGTCTGCAATTTTACTGAACTAAGAGCAGCTGTATCAGATGTTTTCATGAATGTAGTAGTGTTCTATGTTACTGCAGTAATTACATCAGAAGCAAATAGGACAAGAAAAAGAGGAGTCTCCTCTAACATTCACTCCCCAACAAACAGTGTCAGTAAACTTGAGTTATTCACACTATTGACTTAGCTTAATGGGGACGCCTGATGGCTTTACATTGAAGTACTGTTGAGCAGCAGAGCAATAGCAGTTACACTACACACAGTGCACTATATATTTAACACTTGGAATATGCAGGGGTTGTAAACTTGCCATACTTTTTGCCATGGCAATATACTATCAACTTAGAAAGTGTTTCCCAGATTCCCAGCTTCTTCAATTACTTAAGCTTTGTTTTCTCATGTAGCACAGCACTGTGCAAAAGTCAGAGACCACCCTTCATATTTCATTTCCAGTCAAAACTGCCATTAAGTACAAGTTATTCACGTTTCAGGAGATAATTCTAAGGAGATTAGACATAATATAATCCACTTGCATAAGGAAGGGGGAAGTCAAAAGAAAATAAGTTAAAAAAAAACATAAGTTTCCAAAACTAGAGTTAAAAATCTGATTAAAAGATGTAGAGAAAATGGGACTCAACCACACAATACAACCAGCAACTGTCGCCATCAGATAAACAGTACTTTCAACTTTGAGAGAGAAGAGAAAGTCAAGCTCCACTCTTGCTTCAGATTTGAAAAAAAAGTGATTCTGTCCATCCTTCCACTGTGAGAAGACACCTCAATATAAGGACAAATAGCTGACAAGAAGCCGTTACTGAGGAAAGTTAATAAACAGAAACAATTGCAAATCGAACCAAGAAGCAGCTGGTGTTCTTGGAATGATTGACTGACGACCCCAGAGTCCAGACCTCAACATCATCAAACGTGTGAGGGATTTCTTGGATTGGGAGAAGCTGAAAATGTAACCAACTTCTAATACTAAACTTTTGTGGTGTGGAGATTTCTTTAAAAATCTGAAAGCAAGTCACTTAGAAGTATCCAAGCTGTAACAAATGTAAACTGTATTTATTTTTGAATTTATTTTGTGAATTTTCTGTCAAACGTTTTAATACTGATACCTAATGGCCTTTTTGACTAATTTTTGACTAATTTGGAAATTAAATGATGAAGTGTGGTTTCTGACTTTTGCACAGTACTGTATATCCAGGTCAACATAGTTCTGGAAGGTTCATACAGTGGCTCCCACAGAGAACAGGTCAGGTTGAATATGACTATTACAAAGAATTAACTATTAACTGCAGGGGAAATCTATAATCCTGTAACATTCTTCAAGTTCACACTTGTGTAGCTTATGTGCAGTAAATGTCCTTTAAAATTATTATGTGTTTGAAAACATGCTGTAAAGCATGAGTGATAGCATTAGTAAGATCCATCATTTTAACTTTGACTATTGCTCATTGCCTCAATAACAGAAGCTGTAAGTAGTGAATGCACTTTAATAGAAACTCAATCAATGCTATGGTAGTGTGGTATACATGGGTGCATCTATTAGGAGTCGGTGGGGACTGGGCAGTGTGTACAGGGATGACTGTGCTTTACTAAATCGGTCAGACAGTGCCGTTGGTGTACTTGGAGAGTTTATTCTCTAAGTCACAGATTCGCTTCTCTTGAGAAAGAACTGTGGCCTTCAGACTTTGAATTTCCTCCACAAGCTTCTCCAACAACTGAGGCTAGTGAGCAGACAGGAAACAGGAGAACAAAGGCAGAGTAAAGAGGAAAGCAGAAAGATGGTGAGGGAAAGAAAGAGAGGAAAAAGAAAAAAAGGGATTGGTTTTAGAGACAATAGTGGAGAATGAAAAGGTGCAGAAGAGAAGCTACAAGAAATGGAAAGCAATTGAGGGGCAGGATAGATCAAGCTTGTGGAAGGGCCGTACAGCTCTGAAGGAAGGTTCTCCTTTTGAACTGAGACTGAGAGGTAATAAAAGTGATAGAGAAACAGTGTACTCACTGGCAAACTGCTCCCATCAACAGCAGACAAGCTCCTGCGAGGTGCAGGCCTAGAGTCCAGGACATTCTTCTTAGACACTTTTAGCTCTCTGCTCTTTGGTGGAACATAGCCGTCCCTCAGGGAGATCAGGATGGGGTCTTCATCTCGGCCATCCAGCCACTCTTCGGGCTCCAGTGCTGGGTCTGGACCCACGGTATCTGGGTAGAGATCATCCTGGAACAGATCCGACTGGCAGGAAGGGAGAGAAAACATTAAACAGAAAGAAGAGTCAATATGATGTGTATCAGAGGCCAGTGAAGACTGAGTAAATGCCTTAAATTGAGCTGTTCCTGTGATATTTCAACATTAATCACTTTTGTTTTTGTGCTTAAACTGTTATTGAGTTGTGATTGCAAGAAAGTACTTACCTTTCTAGGGACTGTCATTATGATAGGCTCACATTTCCTTTCATGGAGCTTGAATAACCTGAACAGAGAGAATCAAAAAAGGATTTAATCCTGAGTGAAAGTGTACCATTTGCTGATGTTTTCTTTTTCTGTTAAATAATGTTTTGAAAAGACATCTCTTGTATTTGGATTCACAACTAAAATGATAAAATAAAAGCACTTGTTCATACACTGAGTTGCCAGTTTATCCTGTATACCTATCTTACAGTGTTCAGAACTGCATGAATTCACTTGGGTGTCTCTTCTACGAAATGCTGAACTTGGTCAGTAATGATGTTCAGATATGCCATGCTGTTCAAACGTTCTTCAAAGAGTATCATGGGCCCTACACATCACACTGCCACCACCGCCGGGGCTGCTGACGTCAAACAAGATGGCTTCATGGAATCTTGTTGCTTGAGTTAAATTCTGATCCTTCTATCAGCATGATGCAAACCTCCTCCAACCAAGTAGCTTTTTCACAGTCCGAAGCAGTTCAGCTTTGATGTTCCTGCACCCAACCAAAAAATCACTTTCTTGTTTTTCACTGATATTCAACGTGGTCTTTCACTGTTGTAGCCCATTCACAGGCTTGGAATGTAATGCATTCAGAATACAGAAATTAAGTATCTGTATTACGTCCAAGTTATATTTTGTAAAGGCAGTATTAAGAACATAGTTAGCTTTTACACTTTTAGGAGAATACCTACCCACTAAATAAAAAATGCCATCTTTTAAAGAAACACAATCGATATTTCTTTATTAACCATTTTAAAATCAGCTGATGGTATGTAAAGACAGACTCTAAAGAAGAATTCAAAAGACAGCTTCTTTACAAACACTGAAGGTCCTGTTAAAACCTATGTAAACTGATAAATCAATGTGATTATCAGTTCTTAATTTTAGTGGCACTGGGCTGCACTAAAGCCTGAGTAGACTGATAAATCAATGTGATGATCAGTTATTAATCTCAGTGTTACTGGGCTCTGCTAAAGCCTGAGTAGACTGATAAATTAATTCAAAAAGCAAGTTATTAATCTAAGCATTACTAAACTCCTTTTAGGCATGATTGAACTGAACAGTCTCCTAAGTAGTGGACATTTCATGAGTGATAATCTTAACACTGACGTACTGGATTCATGCATGTTTTGTGGCAGGTTGCATATGTGTCTTTAACTGAAAATCACACGACTTCCCATTTTATACTCAAATTTGCAAGGTTTTTTTAATGAGGATTTGACCAATTGTTTGCTTAGTCCATGAGATGGCAGTGGGATTATGGGAGCAGTGGTAGACTGAAGCAGGCAATAGGAGCCAAAAAAATGTTGAGAATTTTGTAACTTCATTTAAATACATGAATTTTTCATGAAATGCATTAACAGAATAATTACATGAAGAAAACTGACAACTAGTAACAGTGAGGAACAGAGTGAATTAAATACAGATTACAACAGCAGCTGTAAGTAATCCTAACAAGTTAAAGTGTTATTCCATTGGCAGATCATTTTGCAGACAACAAGAGAGATGACATTTTTTGCAGTGCTCCAACTATCATGCCATATCACTAAGGTCACTCATTTTGCCTGACACTCAAATGAACTGGTGCTATTAATGATGGTCTGCCTGATTTATACCACACACTGCAGTCATGGGATGTATGATTTGTTGAAATGTAGAATTTACACGAATTACTAATAAACTGGCAACTCATTGTAGCTGCACTGCCATGCTACAGTACATTCACCCAACAAAACACCTACTCATATGTAATCACTCATGTCCAGCTGACCTGGCAATCTCACATTTGCTGACGTCCACTCCTCTCTTGGGCATGAAGCCCATTCCTCGCTGTGGCTCCTTGCTACTGTATGTGCTGAGGTAGTGCACATAGGGAGGCTCCTCTGTGATCTCAAAATACCGAATGCTGCTGTCCCCCTGGAAGCAGAGAGACAGATAGAGTCAGACTGAAACACATTTAATACTGGGCACCGGATTAAAATTATTCTTACAGAATGCTAATCCACTGACACTTACTTTGCCACACAGATATACCATGCTAGTGTCTGGATCATAAAATGGCAGTAAGACCCCATTACTTGTGTCCAACTCCAAAAGTGCAATGGGCTCCTCAAAATTTGTCTACAGAGATAAAAAAAATAAAATGGACTATCTGAATTTTGTACATTGAGAAATACATTAAAATATGATTTGACCCAGATGTGTACAGAGTGTGTGTCTAACCGGGTCCCAGAGACCAAGCTCTCTCTGGCTCATCCTGGTGAAGCCCGTGGTGAAGATGTTGCCCTCTTTGGTGAAGATCGCTCTCATCGGCCTGATGCCTTCATGTGGTGACAGTCTCTCCTGCAGGAACACAAGACAAGAGAGCTCAGAGCCACACAGCAGAAACTGTCAGCAACACACGTGCATTTCGAGCTGGTGATAAATGACAAAACTACTGTTTTGAAAACTACACTTCCCACATTTCAAATATCAGTTAGGGCAGTCTCAAGGAGTGGGCAGCCTTGGGTTGAGTTAACAATGTAAGGCTCATCTGACGTGTTGCGATTAGAGATTACATAATTACAAACTAGCGTATTACAATCTAAACATCTCACTGATACAATTCACAACTGGAAGAATTAATGCCCTACTACTATTCTTTGCTAATAATAAACAAATAAATAAATAAAACTTTTAAGCCCTATTTAAACTAACATGTCTATTGTGTTACTGTTCAAATTTGCTGGTAATACACCGGCATGTTCAACCACAGCAAACGTTGCAGACGTCTGGCTGAATTTGACTCACAGTACAGTTCTGCGTTAGGGTCTAAACTTTGGCCTGGCAGCATTGGGACGTAATGTGTGTGGGGGTATTACTGATTCTTGCATAACATCAACTTTCCAAAATACTATTGGTTAAATGTAAGCTCCCTGGACAAAAATCCCAAGAGTCCCATCCATCATTTTTTCTTTATTATTTGTTTACATATCCCCCTGTCTCAATAGCATCTGCTCAGGAAAGGACTACACCAGTCATCTATTCATTTTATGCCACTCTTAGAGTAAATGGTTGCATATTTCAGTGGAGTTTGAATGTATGTGTGCCTATTTCAGCATTTCACCTACTGCTGCAATTGACAATACTAGAGAAGAAATGATGCATCCAAATAATGTTTGGTCCAGAGAGCGTATTTCCATGTGTCTGGCGCTTCACAACATGTTACAATGAGAGGCCTGAGGTGGGCAGTATGCTTGCCACTTCAAAGTGATGACCCTGCTGCTCCACGTTCAAGTCACTCTGTCAGAAGGGTTCAATTCCAGTACTATAGTGCAACAGCACTGCCCCCAAACTTATACAATCCACATGAATTTGGGCATGAGATCCTTTCACTCCCTCTCCATACTCACCGCCACCACCTCTCTCTTCCTGGGATCACAGACGCGAAGACGGCGGTCTTTGCAAGTGGTGCAAAACAGGCTTCCATTGTAGTTCCAGCTGACGTTATAGATGAGGTCTGGGTGATCGTCCATTGTGATCAGAGGCTCTCCAGTGCCCACATTCCAGATGATGATCAGATTATCACTGCCTGTGACATACACACACTTATAACTACAATATACTAGAGTTTCAGAATCTTAAAAAGTTTTGTTACTTTTTGATAACAAAAAAGCAAAGATGAGAATGCAAAAAACACAAGGTCCCACACCAGCAGTGAGGAGAGTGTTGCGGGCAGTGGGGTGCCACATTACAATGCCCACACGTTTGGAGTGTCCCTCCAGCACTACAATGGGCTCGCTGATTGGCCGGCATGGAGTGTGGTCAGGAATCTGCCATACCTGCCGAACAAGGAAACCACAGTGTCACACTGAAATATGCACACAGAACACTTTCTCAAAGAAAGCTCATGAATTTAATCACTTATTACAACCCAAACATAAGAGAAGTGGGGCAGCAGCTTGCAGTTTATATCTTAATCAGTTATAGAGAGATAAATACCAGTCTATCTCCATGTATTTAATTAGAGTAAAAAAATCTTTTTTTTTTACAAAACTGTCTAGGCCTTGTCTCCATGGAGCTGACCTCTTTGCCTACAAGCTCAGGGGAACCATGTACTATGAATTCCTCAAGGTCAAAGTAAGGGCTAATTATGGGCTAAATATGTTCTCTGAGCTCAGCTGAAAACAAGCATGTGTTATATGAGTCTTTTCTTCAACAACACAATGCAGCTAATGAGTAATCACTGCCAACTTGCTACACATCTATTGGGACAGCATTGTGCAGCCCCTTAATGTTACCAGGAAAATTAAATGAATGTTGTTTAAATATGAGCGCAGGCCCGCTAGAAGTAACAGCTGCAGTGAGCCTTCTGCACCAAACGTGCATAGAATGCATGCCTTTCACATTTGTAATGTAATGTAAGATGAAGACATTAACATCTTGATCTGTACATTATCTCAACCAACAGAGTTTAGATGACTTAAATATAAAACTATTTTAAATAGTTTACAGGTGTACAGGGTGGGAAATATTACAATATTTATTGTTATAAATTATATTTATTACATTATGATATGATTTTCTGAGCATCAATGTCTTCAATACTTAAGGAGAGCATAATTAGTCATGGTTTATTGGATTTAGTGTACAGAAGTATATTGTACAAAAATCAACATATTCTTAATTTTTCTGTTGGTTCTTTTTTGTCTGTTCCAACTTATCAAACCTCAGAAAAACCAAACATTGTGATGCGAGAACTGCAATATTATGTATTTGCCAAATGACCCACACTTATGGTCTAAATATGTATGATATACATATTAGAGATAAATACGTTACAGATACAAAACTGGGCATTGGTATTAGGCCGATATCAGCAGAAATTGCTGGATCGGATCCAGACAGAAGGAAAAAAAAGAAGCAGATCCGATTGTGTCACAATTCTTGTCTAAAATATCACAGAACTGCAAAGTCAGTCACATTATAATATCAGTAACATGATAACATGGTATCAAAAATGTAGTGAAAAGGAACCACTTCAGCACTGAGTCAGGGTGTTTAACAATGTACACAAGTGTGTGTGCATGTATGCATGGGGAGGATGGGGTTATGTGTAGGCTGAGTTCACATTACTCAACTTTAGCCCTCCTGCGAGCAGATCCTATCTGCCACCCCATTAGTTCATATGACCCAGTTCTGGCTATGTACATTCCGCTAAAATATGTTTATAAATACCAGCCTCGTCTCACGCCCCCTTAGTGCTAGTCACCCTGAAAATATGTTCTCTATGATCTTTTCTTCCAGTGTAGGTAGTCAAGTGTGCAGTGAACACATGGCATCCTTTCCTAACTTCTTCTGAGTACTGCAACAGATATAGGTAGTACAGCTATACAGGTACAGGCATTGTAACAGGAGTTCTATTCACAATGATATGTATTGTATAATGTTTTTACCATTGAGCAATATGGAGAAGTTAGGTAAAGACAGGATGAAAGAAAAAAACTACCATAGCAGTAGTGTCTTCAGATCCACTGGCCAGGATATTGTCATTGTGGGGACACCAGTCAATATCCAGGACAGGCCCAGAGTGTCCTATGACCAAGGGATAGTTTTTGTCCACACGGCCCACCTGCAATGTACAACACCAAACAAAGTAAAGAAAAACAGCAGAAAACAGCATAATCACCTAAATAATGTCATATTTAAGTTGTATAGATTTCTGGAACTGTGTGTGTTGTACAAAATACAGCTAGTCGTTATAAGCCATGACGGATTGTGGAATTTCAGTTGGCTAATTCATGTTCTACTGACATGTCACAGCTAAATGAGACAATCATTGTAAAGTGTTACATTAAATTAGGTAAATATTCAACATTATATGCTCTCATCTACAGCCATTCACATCAGTAGGTAAATGTAACATTGGGAGTCTTGTCCAAGAACTCTTACTGGTACTGCACTGATATTCTCGCCTGAATGAGGTGCAGAACCTTCAGTTTTCTGTATGTGGGGTGGTGATGTCATCCACTGTATCAGCTATTTGAGTGAGTTGAAAATAAAAAATTCCTAGTGCTTGAGCGTCAGTGCACGTGTGAGCTAAAATGGAGCACTAAAGTATCGGTTGACTTCCAATATCAGAACGCTAATTTTACATTTTCCCATTTATCTGCAAATAATTCCACAGATGTACTCTGTACCCCTAGTCTAGTCATCATAATTTACACCAGGGGTGCCTAATTCTGGTCCTGGAGATCTACTACCTTGGAGAGTTCAGATCCAACACACCTGCCACTAATATTCAGATGCCTTTGAAAGCCTTCAGTACCTGGATCAGGTGCAGGGTGGTAGATCTCCAGGACCAGGATTGGGCACCCCTGATTTAGACTGACAATTGAACGATTTTTCAATACAAAACTGTGCAAATGACACCATTCATTGATTTCCAGTGAAAATGGTCTTTGAGTAGAAGTTATAAATGTTTTAGTATCAGGAAAAAAGAGGAAAAAATAGAAATTGCACAAAAGCCTTGCTTTCAGTTTTTCAAAGAAATCACAATAGATGTTTTTCACACCTCCAAAGTTCAGTCTTAGAAGTTGGTGGCATTTCCTGCTTCTCACTATCCAAATAATCCCACACACATTCAGTGATGTTGAGGTCTGGACTCTGGAGTGGTCAGTCCATTGTTCTGAGAACACCAGCAGCTTCTTTGTTTGGTTGGCAAATATTCTTCCTTTTTGTCTATTTTCTTTTCTAAATAACAGCTTCTTGACAGCTACACATCCTTTGAGACTCATAGTGCTGTGTTGCCCTCTCACCTGCAGATGTTCTCATATCTGAATCAACAGTGGAGCGCACTGAAGGCTTTCATCTTTAAGACATATGAAAACTACTCCTATATGTTAAAGATGAAAGCTTTAAGTACTGTTTATCTGATGGTCACTGTTTTGGTGGTCTACCAGGTCTTGCACGGTTTCTTTTGATAAAAACTCCAGTTTTGGAAACTCCTGTTTTTTTAGCTCCTCTTTCTTATGCAAGCATATTATTTTATATCTAATCTCCTCAGATATCTTTCCTGAAAAATGAATGAGTTTGACAGGAAAAAAATAAATAAATGGTGCTCACTGACTTTTGCACAGTACTGTAATTCTAGCATTTTTAAAACAACCAGAACACAACAAAAGATCATTAGTGCTACGCATCACCTCATTCAACAAGGCTCAGACAACTTCAACATAAAATTATGAATTATAATTACTTACAAATAGTTTACAGATGTTTGTCCATCTACAATAATATACACTCAGTCAAACATAATCTTCAATGTACGTATGTATAGATTACAAAAACAGTACAGCCTATTGCGTTATCTCTGCTATGCTTGGCACACAGCAGTGTTTGGATTCAATCAGCCCCAAAAGTTTAGCTGTGATCAGAGTCTCAGAGCAACATTTTACGCACTTAGCTTTTGTTTTTGATGCTATCAACAAGTCTCTACTTTCTGTGGTATAACTCCCCACCCCAGTTGTCAGAATTCCACCAATTGCTGTTCAGTCAGTGTGAACACGTTTCTTCCCTGGACTGCTCCTCCTTCAGCCACTCCCCTCCCTCCCCTCCCCGCACTACACCAGTGTGTATTTATAACCCTGTGACGAGGCGATGAAAAGGGAGTTTTTCTTTTGACCTGCCTGGGACTGGACGCAGGAGAGAAGGCAGGCAGGGTATTAATAGTGTGTCTGTTCAGCCCCGCTGATATATGCTCATGTCTCTGTGTAATGAATCTGCATATGGGGCTATACTAACAAACTCTTAACACTTACGACAGACCCCCACCTTCCCTAAACAAAGGAATCTGCACTTATACTCCAAATGATAATCAGTGAACATCCTTTCCAAATAATCCTCTAATATGGACACTGGTCTGCCATGGACATCAGAAAATAGCCAGCTTCCATATATGGAACTGTAGAAACATTTTGAAAAACAGTTCTATTATTTTATTTTAGAGGTTTATAGGTTATTTTAGGGCAACAAGGAAAATTATCAACATGCCAGCTGTGTTTGTCTAATCTTGAATGTCACTGCTTTTCTTACAGTAAATAAAGAGACTAAATGAAATATTAATTTTCCACTGCTCAGATTCACGTTCGAGAGACAAATGAGTCAAAGAGGCATGGACAAACATAAAGGCATGGAAATATCCTGGTGAATGTGCAAAAAAGGAAAAGATATAGTTAGCATCTAAATGCAATGACTAATCATAAGACCAACCCTAAGTAGAAAAAAAGTCAGACTGTTTTTAGAAGTGTCAAACAAGGCAATTTTTAGCAATCCACCATGGTGACTAGGATGGGCAACAGTTCATATGCTAGCTCTTCACAATTTACACATTCTAGTACCAGCACAACCATTAAAAAGGCTGAAAAAAGAAAAAGAATGATACTGCCCAAAAATATGGACATTATATTTGCTAATATTGCTTTGATCATGGTAATCAGGATCAAATTATATGACAACACCACAGATATGTTTGACAATGCCGGTATATTAGATTTCTGGGGCTGCACAGTTTTGTAAAAACAGCTGATTTATTACATATTAAAATGCAAACTTTCAACAATTCTATGTTAAAGGTCTTTTTAACCAGACATTTAAATGAGACATCACTCCCAACTAAAGATTCAACTTAGACATGTTACAACAAGAACAACAAACTGTGCCATGATGTAAACATCCAGAACGAAGACTGAAGAACGCTGCTCTCAACACCAAGTTCAGTGCTGGACACACTGCTTATACACTGTATATCCAGAAGTTTGTTGACACCTGCTTATGCAGCGTTTCTTCTGAAATTAAGGGTATTAATACAGAGTTTGCCCCCATTTGCTGCAGTAACCGCCTCTTCCAGGAAGGCTTTACACTAGATGTTGGAACATTGCTGTGAGATTTTTACTGCATTTAGCCATAAAAGCATTAGTAGTCAGGTACTGATACTGGGAGATTAGTTCTGGAAAACAAACACCACTCCAACTCATCAACTCTTCCCAAAGGTACTAGATTGATGAACCTCATGACTGATGTTGCCTCTGAGGCTAATATAATATCTAAAAACTGCACTATGAACTATAATGAATGGTCAGTTAAACACAATTTTCTATTCACTCTCACTTCTTAAGTGTATTGGTAGTTAATCTGACATGTAAAGCCTTCAGTTTTGCTACTGTTTTGGCTTTATTAACCTAGACACCAAAACATAACAATGAAATAGGAGTAATTCCACAATATTTGCAAAGTTTAAATACAACAAGCACGCTGATTCCACTGAATATAAACAAATTAAACATTCCAGACATGTATTCTTTAGTTCCCAGACATAATTAGGCCATGACAGCTTCCCTCTGGAATACACAAAACATGAGTACAGCATAAATGGTTAACATATTTTGCAAGAACCAATTCTGGTTCGCCACCATCTTCATGGCACCTAAAACAGCTCCACTTTGCTGATCTGGAATCAGTCCAGCAAAAAGAGGCAAAAGACTTAAGATAATTAAGATCGTTAAAACATGACATACTGTAAATCTGCATATGTGTCCTTAAGAGGCACTTATTCCTGTGACACAATAGAAGTTGTTGCCTACATTTAAAAGTTATTCACAATTCGAACTTGCACGTCCTCCAGTGTATGCACTGGCATATTTGCCATTAATCAGCTACATACTATATATAGCCTGGAGGAATAAAACAACCTAGTGTTAATTCCTTTTTGACCTTTTGAAGTCACCACAAGTATTTCACATTTATCATAGCTGTACAAAAACATTCATAGCAGGGAGACCGCAGGTGTCCACATTTGGGGCAGTGAACATAAAGTGTTATTCTTTTGCAGAAAATGTAGTGACCACTTAGGTGTCCACTTGATAATACTATGTCCAAGTTATCTTAAACAGTGCTAGATTCACTTCATGCTTCCATCTGTGGGAAAAAAAAAATATTTAAAGGTTGGTCTAAATCTTGAGAAGAAAATGTAAGATTCTGAGCAGAACCAATGCTACTTCACATTTGTCAATTCTAAACATATTCCAGCACAGGCATTCATCCAGGAGTTGATTTTGATCTCACATGAGACTGTTTATAGTCAGCCGACATCCTGGTTGGAGATTTAAAAGATTAAATCCATCAATTACAGAGGCAGAAGTCAAAACTCTTTTTCTGGGTAGTGGACAAATTGGTCAGTATAACAGACCCTCGTTTTAAACTTGAGAATAGGGACTTGTGCCCTGTGTTACAATATGGATTCTCTCTTTTCTTGTATGTAAAATAGAAGCAGAGTGGGGGAAGGGTGTCCTAAATAAGAGGTGATTGAGTTGAGCTGAGCTCATGCTTCTGAACGAATATACTCACAGCTACAACCATGTCAGTGAATGCATATTAGTACTGAATGAGATTTATTGCAGTTTCAAAGTAGACCAACCCAACATTTGTTGGATCCACGGATTCTTCTTCTAAAATCCTTTCTAAAAAGCACTTGCTTTCATCAGTCTGACTCTAAGCTCAACCTCTGAGTGCACAGGGACTTATTGTTATTATTACTTCACACAATGTTCTCTTATCTTCTTACCTTTGACAGAGGTAGAACCAAAAAGGCCCCTCCTCCGCTGGACTCCACTATAACAGCCAAAAACTTTGGGTTGACTGCACAGAAGGAGCTGTCCCACGTCACCTTGGAAACTCGAATGTCATCATAGCTCTGCTCTGCCTTCGCAGCCTGTCCAAAAACATGCCGGAACTTACTCTGGCGCACAATACTGCGACTCATCACTATAAGAAGGAAACAGAAAAGAGATAGAGGGTTAAAAACAATGTTGAAAAATGTTTTTTCATGAAACTTCAGATAATAGTGATCATAATTAGTCATTAATAGCACCTAAACATTTAAATATTTCTTCATTTGCATTGTTGATATTAAATGGGACAAATTGACATCTCATTGCCTCTGTCATTCTTCTTACTATTATTGTTCACGTTCAGGACTTACTAATAAAACATGATTACTTATTTACTGAGTGATGGAATTTTAACTGCCAGTTCATTCGTGCAGAGGCAGACATTTTAAACCCTCACTGAAGTATGGCTGAATCAGCACCATAACTTCCAAGATGACTGCCTTTGCTTAGAAAGAGCAATCAAAATGCCCTAATGTGCTTAAAAACACCAGGTCTAGGACAATTTTGCTCTTTTCCCTGCTAAAGCTTAATTTACTTCTTATAATCCTCATATGCAACATTTATTTTTCAGTCAGCGTCAAACTGAATCCGAGTTTACTAACAGAGAGTACAGCAAGCTTTGGTGAGATATTGAGATATTGAACTGCCAGGTCCTGGCGGGAACTACCATGGGTGAAGAAGAGGTAGTGTTGAACAGTCACTATTTGCATATTCAAGAACTCAGAGGTACAGTACAAAAGCAGTGGTCTTTCCTTCACCATTTATTACCAAAAGGTTTTACCAAGTATGATTACTCATTATGCTATTTATACCCTATTCACTACTTAATCATCAACTCAAGCAATGGAATTCTGGCATGGCAACGTCCTTCCACTGACAGTGACATTAAAACTACTTGTGATCATCTTAAATGTACTCCTCAGTGGTGCAATTATTGGGATTAAAACAGAGTCCACATGATGTAGGACTTGTTGCAATGTGAGTTCGGACTGTGCCTTTGGTAGTATGAGAACAGACTATATGACTGAAGGGGGGAAGACTCTGAGAACTTGGGTTGGAGTTTTGGGCAGCTTTTGCTTTGAGCTAGAAGGCCAGATCACCCTTTCCCCCTCATTTCTTGATGAACGGGGTAGGACTGAAGGATAGAACTTGGGAAGTTAGAGGAGATGGGGTGGTGGTGGGGCAACAGGAAAGTAGAGGTGAGAAATCAGTTTGGACGACTGGACAGAAGAGGGACCTCAGACATGGTCAGTTATTCTGTAACTCAATTTTGTATAAAAAAAAAAACAGTAGAGCTTGGTTCAAGTTTTCCTGTTTGTATATGTGAGATGAATATGGCCACAGCCGTTATCTGAGAAGTCTAAACCCTGACCTGCATGCAATGTGTGCACTTTTGATCAAATATACATATCCTTATTTCTCTCTCAATGAACAGGCTGGCAGTTTCTCCATACCTACATGTGGCCAACATGTGGTCTATTCAGAGTACTTTGTGAGTACAAGTGCAGTGAACTGACAGAGTGCTGAACAAAGCAATACAGTTTGACAGGTTGCCAATACGTGCCCTTATGCTGTTGTTGCTGCCTAGCTGTCACACTACTGTGCTAAGCCATCATGAAGTTATTCCGGGAAGCTTCCCAAGACCACGACTGACAAAAACAAACAGGACAGACATTCTGCATCACTAACACAATCGCACCCTGAATAACTTGCCCAGGGGACAAACCATGGACAAGCTTTAGCTGGTGAATGATGGTGAAGTTATTCTGGTAAGCCTTTCTGATTTATATTTAGATGTAATAAACAGCCAGATTAAAGACAAGTTGTGTGTAAGTGATATGCTGCTGCCTTTTTCCAACTCTCAGCAGTGACACACTTAAGAGCCACCCTTGTAGCGGAACTGGGTCTGCTGGAGGCTGATTCTGCTGTAGAAGCCGAATCTCCTTAGACTGCAGCAACTTCCAGTGTTCCAGCCAGAGTGTCTTCTCCCTGGAGAGAAGAACCCCTCTCTTGTGTCTCTAGACAGAATGACACGGCCATTTTCCTAATATAGTCATGCTAAACTGCCTCTCACTGCCCCCTACCCCCCACCCCCATTTCTTCCACAGGGCACAGCCAGCCTCTTACTGTGGGTCAGTACGAGAAAGAGACCCTCATTGTCCCCACTAAGGAAGAGCAGGTTTCTACAGCCACACAATACCCTCCCCTCTCGCACACACACACACACACACACCTGCCCATTAGCCATAAATACTCCTGTGCTAACCCCTCACCGGCCCTGCCTGGAAGCACAGCGGGCTCCATTAGAACAGCCCGTCAATGTGTGACACCCCGAAAACAACTGCGCAACCACGATGCCTCCAGAGCTCGGGAACGCGCACGGCGTGACGAGGCAGTATTAAAAGAGCTAACTACTGAAAAAGACTTTCCTCTATACTCCTCTCTTACAGCCATTCAGAATAAATGAAGTCGCTCGGCTTACCTCAGTACTTTGGAGGAATACACAGCAGGACTCGCTTCTGAATTCTCCCTCTGCTCCGCTCTCTCTCTCTCTCTCTCTCTCTCTCTCTCTATCTATCTATCTATCTATCTATCTGTCTCTCTCTCTGTTCAACGGCTCTTCTGCTCTCCGGTTTGTGTCCCTTCACTCTCTCACAAACTTGGACGGACTCGCGGGACTCCAGTGCGAGTTCCACCTACAGAAAAGAGAGAAGCAGACTGTGGGGGTCTGGAGAGGAGGGGAGTCAAGGCGGTCCTGTCTATTTTCGACCCGGCTCTGTTTCTCCCATCGCCTCTGACAGGGCTATAGATTGCAGCGGGAGCGCGCGGCCAGGTCAGGTGACGGCGCGCGAGAGCACTGCGATCCTTTTGAATGCTATTTGTCTTTTCTTTTTTTTTCCTTTTTTACCTCAGGACCGTTAGGTTTTGGAGTTTAAGAAAAGTTATATACGAGTAATTTATATTTTTATATATAATAAAAACTCATTTTCATACAATCTAAACATTGGCAAACAGCGCGGGGGCAGCGCTGGGATTGATCAAAATCAATATCACGGATGTTTTTGTCAAATACATCGCGGTATTTGATGATACTCGAGTGTGCATTCATAAAGTTAATGAACCAATGTTTCTTGAGTACTACAGGGGTAACTTGAGGGAAGGTGCCCTCCATGATAAAGATGCCCTCTTATTTTCTCTCCTGACCCACTGACAGGGTTGCACAAAATACTTTGAAAAAGTAGTGATGGCTGAAGACTAAATACACTGCCCTGAATGTATTTAGTAGTGTATTCCCTTACAATATATTAGAAAGTGACATATTCAGAATACATTTAGAATACATATTGATGTTTGTTTTTTTTTTAACTTTCTCACTGTTCCTCGCTACTGGTTACTAGTTTTCTTCGTGTAATTATTCTGTTAATATGTTTCATTAAAAATTCACTTTAAATAAAGTTCTGAAATTCTCAACACTTTTTCTCTCTCAAGACTGCCTTTTGTTCACTGCTGCTCCCACAATCCCCCAAGCAGGAGTTTGATCATCCCTCAAAAGAATGGATTATCACATTGATTTATCAGTCAACTCAGGCTTTAGCAGAGCTCAATAACACTGAAATTAATAACTGATCACATTGGTTTATCAGTCTACTCAGGCTTTAGCAGAGTCAGTAACACTGAGATTAATAACTGATCACATTGGTTTATCAGTCTACTCAGGCTGTAGCAGAGCTCAGTAACACTGAGATTAATAACTGATCACACTGGTTTATCAGTCTACTCAGGCTTTAGCAGGAACTTCAGTGTTTGTAAAGAGGTTGTTAATGGAGATCCTCTGTAGAGTTTGTCTAACGAGTCTGTTTACTACATGCTGTGCGCTAATTTTAAAATAAATTTGCAACTGATGGGGCAAACCTAGTAACCAACACATTCACTGAATTGATATGGTCTAATTCTTAAATTTCATCTGGGTCAGTGCTTTCATGGGATCTACAGGAAACTTTTTGTGGTCAAATGATCTATTTTTTCCTATACGATAACCATGATCTATGCATATACACTTGCACAGTTGTGGAAGAAATGTATTTTAAAATATGATTACAGAGAAAGCAGTGTATTTGATTTTAGAGGAAGAAAGATTTTTTCTTCTGATGTGAAATTGGAAACTTAAATATTTGAAGAAGTGTCTCCAGACAAGGGGCAAAAGGTCTTCCTTAGCATATTGCCCCCCCCCCAAATTTTTTTCATCATAAAAACATTCTTTTTAAATGTTCACTCTATTTCCAAATGGCTAACTAACATTAGCATTACATGCTAGTCATAGTGACTGTGGGCTAGAATTAGCCAACATTTTAGCCGTCTTGCTGGTGAAGAGTTGTACAGCTCTACAGAGGCAAAACACCTGATTTGTTGTTGTATAATATTATACAAAATGACAAAATAACAATACTACTACTACTACTACTTAATAATAATAATAATAATAATGCACCTACCAATAAAATGTTGATTATTATTGCTTTTTTTTTCACATAAATCTGAAAACCCCAGTTGCCCTTTGCTGTCTGAACATTTCATAATGAATGGACTAACTGAAAATTACTTGTAGTAAAATCTCATTACATTATCTTATTTTTTTGTTGTTGTTGTTTTTCTGTAAAGGTTGCCATTTTGCAAATAAAGAGTCTTGTTTGGACAGTGATGATATGGATATTTGCATCTCAAATGACAGACATACTCAATCTTTGTTATTCTTAAATTTTCTTTTAATAGTCACAGTTTAAGCACAGAATAAAAAGAAAACATTTACGTTTCCAGTCTTACAATGAACAGAAATAAAAGAAAAATTGCACTGTACATCAACCATACAGGCGACCCTAAGTACACACTCAGCAAGCATGCTTCCAGAGTACAAACCACAGATTAAAAAAAAAAGTAAAACATAATAAAAAAGGTAAAGTGCATATTAAAAACTCCCCCGTCTTTGTTTATTTTACTAAACAAAAACCCAGAAGGGAGAAACTGCACTTAAGAATTGAACAGACAGAAAAGGTGCACACACTCACATTGAAGTATAGTCATACACATCCATAAAAAGTAGGCTATACATACATACATACACACGTCCACTGAGCCCCATAGATCTACATTCTAATAACACACCCCCCCCCCATTCTCAACTGACCAACATGCATACTAATCAGACATCCAAAATAACTTTACACTCAATTACATTACATTCACCACAGAATGTATTTTACATTTATGCACCCATCTCACTTTGTCTCACACCCATACATACACACAAACAAAATCCCCAGAGTGGAGAATTTCAGCTCGGTGAGGAGCATTCTGCAGTACGAGATCACAGACTGACAGGTAATTGCAAGTTTATCACTGTGTAATAAACTAGCTGACAGACGCTGTGCAAAAGTATGGATCAGTCATAGCACTTCATTGTTTTTACAGAGCAGCTATTTCCTACTGACGGGTCCGGGTTAAACCTGCCCATCAACCCCATCAGAGACATGAGCTCGATACCGACACCCTCTCTGATCTCTGCCTTCTGATTCTGATCTCTGTGTGTCTGACGATAGGCTACAAACCTACCCTGCAGTTGTTTTTTGATTTCCGGTTTTGTAAGGCCCACTGAGGTATGTGTGGATAAAATTACATTGTAAGACGCGCACGCAACAAATAAGCACACAGACAGAGCCTGGGTCACATGGTGTGGTAGGGGAAGTTCGAGGTCCGTTTTTTCAGCCTTCTCAAGGGGTGGGTTCTCCCATACTGTTGCCGTGTTGCCACAGGTATTATGGCAGGGACTGGCACAGGAGTGTATGATGGGTCCTGCACCTTCTCCCGCCTCCAGCACTGATTGGACGGTGGCAGTGAGGTGGGGGCCTCGTCACTGTCACTGTGCTCTCCTTCTCCAGTCTGGTGGTCCTCCAATGTTTTATCTGTGCGTGATCCAGCAGAAGAGAGATAAGACGTGCAGGTGGAAGGGAGAGAGGGCGTGCGCCTGGGCAGAACCCGCTTCTTTTTTGAGGTATCATCGGTAAAAGAATGAGGGCGTGGCTTAACGGTGGGCGGGGACACAGAAGCAGGACTCCGCTCCAGCTCGCTCAGATCACTAGCGGACAGTTCCAGGGAACCTAGCTTTGCTAATGAAGCCGAGCGCTTTATCAGCGAGGGTGGTGTCAGGCCGGCTTGGCGGATCCTGGCCTCTACTTCTTTGGCTCGCTCTCGAACGCTCCGCCCCTTTCTCTGTTCTTTTCCAGCCCATGGCTGGCTGAGCCTCTTGTCTGATCTCCCGCTCACTTGGCAGAGGAATGCGCCCAGCTCTTTCAGCGTCTCCCACGTCTCCCTCATGTCCACTACCAGACGAGGTTCTGAAGGGCAGTCGGTGCTAGTCTCCTTCTCTGTGACGCCCTCTAGCTGAAGAACCACTGCTGGAGAAGAGCTGGATTGAGTGGAATGGCTGTGCCTTGAGTGCAAAAGGCTAGCATCCTCCTCTAAAATTCCAGTGTGTCCACACTCTTCTTCCCTGAGTCTTATTTCGCCCCCTTTTCCCATCCCCTCCTCTATAGGAGAAGCTTCCTCCTTCTCCATCTTCTCCTCCACAGTGCTCTCAGGCTGATGGTGGTGGGCTGACACAGTGCTTGGATCAGGAGTGAGGTCTGTATGAGATGAGGTGTCCTCAGTTCTGTCTCTGCTGCTGGTGCTGACAGTGGAGCGGATCGAAGGACACCCGAGAGCACATGATAGCAGCATGGACGAGGAAACTTCTTGCTTCATCTTCTGTTCTAGCTGCCTGGTGGCTCGCCGCACTGTACCCTTTGGCCAATCTGTTTGCAGAGCCTCTCCGAGCACCGCCTTCTCCGTATCAGCTCCTTGTGGTGTGCTTTTGACTAACTCCTCCTCCTCCTCCTCCTCCTCCTCCTCGGAGCTGCTGGAAACATGCTGGCTGGTGGAAGGACGAGGAAGAGTCACGCTGTGCCTTACGGGCTCCAGCTCTGAGACCACATCATAAACTGAGACACTGCAGCTCTCCTGAGAAGGTAAAATAGAAACAGAAAAAGACAAGGTGAGGGACTGAAAAAGTCCTAAAGGTAACCAAAACTCAGACTGCACTTTGACCACCAACATCATAATGGAGATGGAGTGCTCCATGCAACATTCTTGTTCACCAGAAGGTGGCAGTGAATGACATGAGTTCAAACTCAAAGCATGTTAACAGTGATGCATGGAATGTCGAGACATTTGATTTTAATAGAAGGTTGGCACTTACTCTCAGCAACACTACTCCGTTGCTGCAGAATAACGATAGAGCATTTAGAGAGATATACTCAAGTACATATTGTGCATTCAATTTATGCAATTTTTGGCACATTTTGTCAGTTCTAAGGAAATTCTGACAAGGATGTCTACCAGTTCTTTGAAGATAAAGACTGAAATAAAGATTAAGCCATAATGTATGCTTAATAAATAGGTTGAGCCTTATTAAATAAAGTTAAATCCTTTTAGAATATGCTGTTCTGACAGAGATAAGACTCAACTGCGCATTGACAAAGCAAATGTGAAAATGTTCTTTAGATACATATTTTACCTGTTTTTGGTCCTCCTCCCTTTTAACAGGGTCCTCAGAAAGCAGCAGCTTTGACTCCTGGTTGGGACTTCTGTCTTGGGGTGTCTGCTGCACTGTTTGCTCAGAATTCCCGCGGGTTTGCCCCTCCTGAGA